CATTTTCACTAGCTGGAAGCTGGGATGGTGGGAGATTGGAGCCAAGATCTGTGTTTTCCAAGAGGTATGGACATTCCTTTTCGTCATCTTTGAGGTGAACAATAAACTAACATAATATTCCTATAGGTCTATGAAACACTCATCTATCTTCTCGCACCCTTCGTTCTTCCGATTTCATTTATCGTCCGCCCCGAGTTTTGCGGTATTCTTCTCGGTGCTACCATTGGCATGTATATTGTCAATGTCATCATCTTCAACGAAATCCACCTTCGGCTGAAGAAAGAGCGCATCAGCTGGACCGTTCTACTCATTTACTACACAATCTACAAGATCGCACTGACAATCATCAACGTCATCAGTTGCTACTGGTCTTTGTACAAATATGCTCGTTATTTTGCCATGCGTCACCCAAAAGTTATTGAAGATGAACAAGCTATTGGGGTTGTTCTCAGTCTTGAGAAAGATCTCGGCACATCTACTACATCTCTCGTCGAGACTGAAAATCGGCCTGCCACTGCCAAGACCCTAAAGAGATTGACTTTGACTCGTGTCCAGGCGGATCAGGCAGCACTATCTACATTCGGGGCGTTGGAAACGCACCAAGATTCACCCCGATCCCCATGCTGAGGTTAAAATTATAGCTCATGCTATCATGGAGTCCGGAGTTCTTTTCATTGCATATTCATTTTACACACTTGGACGCCTTTTTATACATAATGACACATCCACCTCGAGGGAGCAAAATAATGGAACTAGCGGAGTTGAATCAAAATCCACCATTTATGGGTATTAAGCCCTGGGCTGTTCACTAATATATTGATCAATAATATAATTACTGTACAGTGAAAGTCGCGTTGCCCTTGATATCTTCTGAGCTACTACCGACGAGGGCAGTAAATGTGCCTGGCTCAACAACATACTTCATGCGAGTATTCCAGAGTCCAAGATCCTCGATTTTGATAGGGATCTTGACAGTCTTCGTTTTCCCAGCGGGAATGACAACCTTCTTAAAGCCCTTGAGTTGTCGATTGGGAACAACAACTGAAGCAATGTTGTCGGAGATGTAGACTTGGACCACTTCTGTGCCATCACGCTTCGTGTCGGTATTCTTCACATCAACACTGACGGTTATTTTGCTATCAGAAGCTGACACTTTGCTCCGGTCGACACTGACGGATCCATACTCGAAGGTGGAGTAACTTTTGCCGTATCCGAAGGGGTACCATGGCAGGGGGTTGCCGAGGACATACTGATGACCGAAAACAAGGGATCCATTGCTGAGTTCCCTTCCAGAGTCACCAATCGAACGACCGGAGTTCAAGTAATCATAGAAGACAGGGAGGTCTCCAACATAGCGGGGGAAGCTGACAGACAACTTTCCAGAAGGGTTATAATCACCAAATAGAACATCCGCAAGAGCATTGCCTCCTTGCTCCGATGGATAAAATTGCTGGATAAGAGCAGAGGTGGAGTTAGATAGCCAAGTGTCGGTAACAGGTTTTCCGCTCGAGAGAACAACGACAGTGGGGACGCCAGTATCCGCAATTGCTTTGATTAGCGGGCCCTGTGCGCCCACTAGAGAGAGGTCATCTACATCGACGTGCTCACCGGTCCTATATTTAGTCAGTACCTAGTATGATCCGCATTCTGACACCGCAGATCAACTTGAAGTAATTAAACAGTGTGCCACTCACGTTGCGTTCAAGCCCTGCCAGAGTTCTACCTGATCCCGCGACCAGGTGCCAACAACGACAACGGCGACGTCAGATTTCTTTGCGGCTTCGACCGCCTCGTCGAATCCAGATTGATCGTTGCTCCACCTTTCGCATCCTTGGGCGTAGTTGATCAGGGCCTTATCCCCAACCGCCGCCTTAATTCCGTCCAGTGGGGTAACACCTCGGTATTGGCTTTTGTAGACAACATAATCGCCATACTAGAAAAAGAGATCAGTATTTAGGTCTTTGTAGAGCTGAATTGATGGCGGAGTATACAGACGTTCATGAAACCGTGCGCCATAGGCCCGATGACGGCAATGCTACCCGACTTGGACAAAGGAAGAGTTGTATTGTGATTCTCAAGCAAAACGATAGACTCCTTGTCTAAGTTTCTTGCAAGTTTCACAGCCTCGGGGCTATTGATGAGCTTCTTCCATTTATTCTCTGGGGCGGCGGTATATGGATTTTCGAAAAGGCCCATCTCGAACTTCACGCGAAGCAGTCTGGACACGGCGGTGTTGACAGTAGCAATGTCAAGTTTGCCGGATTTGACGAGTTCGGGGATTTTCTGGAAGTTACTACCTAGTGTGAGCCTGAATTTTTCAAAAGTATGCCGGTAACCTGGTGAAGGGCATCATGATGCTTACAAGGAGCCACCGCCCATCTCAACATCGATTCCGGCAGTGATTAGCTGCGTAGTCACTGACTCCTGATCAAGAGGATCACTTTCACAGAGCTTGAAGTAGCTGCAGACTCGGTCGCTGCCGCCAGCATCAGTCATGACAAAGTATTCATAACCCCATTCGTTTCTCAGGATCTCAGTGAGAGTATGGTAATCCGAAACAGCTGGAATTCCATCATATCTAGAAAAGTCATCAGCCATAGGTCATTGTCAGAGTTTCGGATTGAATCTCACGAATGGTAAGCAGCCATAATAGACCACGCGCCCGCGTCAATGATAGCTCGTTTGAAAGAAGGAAGCCAACTAAAAGTCCATGTTAGTTTGCTACTGAGCCGAAAAGAACAAAGTTTAAACTTACGTTGTTCGCAACTCTCTCTCACCACCGTGCACGGGTCCAGTGTTCAAGCCTTGCTCCGGACTGCTGAATCCAGCAAAATGCTTGACCATTCCCGAAACTTTCTTGCTCTGCAGGCCCTTGACATAGTTATACCCAACCTCGCCGGCCAGGAAAGCGTCCTCCGAGAACGTTTCTTCAACCTAAAGGGGAAATAAGTCAGAGATCTGTGGAAAATTCAACAGTAGTCTCAATCGAAGCCTTGTAAACCTACACGACCATATCGGAGCTCTCGTGCCAGGTCGACTACAGGGGCGAAGAGCTGGTTCACACCCAGGGCCTTAGCTTCCTGTCCAATGATTTCCCCCATTTCTTGAATCAGCTGTAGAAATCTTGTCAGCTTCGGTGCGGTACAAGAACCACGTGTATTCCTCTTACGTCCATATTCCAAGAGCATCCGTATGCAATAGGGGAATTGAAAATGGTGGCATTGCCGATCAAAAAGCCATGGATTCCTTTAACATAGGGCGTTAGCTTGTTTTGATGGTCCAGTACTATTCACGAGTACTCACCTTCGGTCTGAGTGATTGCAGGAATACCTAGCGTGGTATTCTGCACCAGGTAATCCTGAGCGCGCTTAATGTTGTCCGCGATCCAGTCCCAAGCAACAGGGTATCCAACTATATGAAAGTCAGCATTGACTTGATATCATGGAATCTTTTGTCTTTTAATACCATAGAAGCTGCCGGCCTTCATTTCCATGTTCGTAACTAGCCCTGTATAATTGAATGCGCCGGATGTCTGGTTCATCCAGTTGGTGATATCGCCTTGAGAAGAATTGGTGAGCCATCCAGACAAATATTCCGGTGGAAAGTTGGAAGAATACCTTGCATCAATTGAGCCATCTTATCTTCGATTGTCATTCTACCCAGCAGATCCTTCACTCTCTTTTCAACGGGTGCACTCGCATCCTTGTAAACAGGAGTACTTGCTCCAGCAACCAGGGTGGGGAGCTGCGTGAGCAGCAGCCCCTTGGTAATTCCTTTGACCATCATCTCGACAAAAAGAGACGCGTCAATCACCTCTCCTGCCAGAAAACAGTGTTGAACAAGACAGAGAAAAAGAAAACGCAAATCCTGGAAGGAAAAAAAAGTGGTTCAGGACTAATAAATGCCGGTCCTCATGCATAGAAATCATGCAATACCAAAGACCGCAAATTAATCTTCTCGACCCCGCGGGGAAATGTCCGCTGGGGTACGCTGCGGCTTGTCTCTCCGAAGTCGTTTCACCACAAACTTGAACCGTTATAGTAAAGTGGATATTGGATCGAGCTTGATCATGCAGCATTGGCTTGATCTGGGATTACTTCGGAGATGAAATGGTCACGGGTCAAGCAGCTAGTCTTGTAAAAAGCAGTCGCTAAGAACTTTTTTCGTGCGCTAGAACTATCATGAAACGGAGCAACCTCCCCCGCTTCTTGGTGTTGATTTAGTTTGTTTGAAGCTTGGACGTTCGCTTCTGCAGGCCGCAGGTAAAAGGCTAACCTCCGAGACCCTCGGGTCAAAAGGACCGGATAAATGCATCTAGGCACTTGGTGTGGCAAACTCAATGCTTTAGCCGGTGACTACGAGTACTTGAATACTAGTAAGTAGGCGTAGTACTGGAGGTGGTCAGTAGTGATTAGTATGTAGCTTTAAGTCTTAACTAATTTCACGCATGTTCTTTTTCCACCTATCAGAGAAGAAAGGCCCCCTGGGACTTGCAGGATGTAATCTTATTCAGTCTAGATGAAAAAGCCAAATCATCCTACAATTTCGTGTTTACTCCACACTCAAATTGAATTGCTAGAGACTTTGATTGTTCATACGAGACCTAGTAGAAACAATAAACACAAAGAAGTAACTTGCGACAAAAAAATTATCCTTTTGAATAGAGGGAATAACCCGGGTATGGTAATTTAAGATAATGACAAAGTGGAGGATATTAAATGCATTAAAAGAAAAAAGTTACCCCGCAGAATGCAATGCCAAAATACAGCCCAGTAAATGTCCACAAGAAAAGAAATACACCAATCCCCGCCACGAAGAAGCTTACAGAAAAGAAAGGAAATAAGAGAGAAAAGAAAAAAAGGGAAGAGGTGAGAGAGGATGTATGTATGGTTTGGAGTGACCCAGCCACTCGTCATGTACAGCCCCTAGAAGCAAAGGGGAGACTAAGGAGTTCGTTCGTCCCCCCTTGCTGTACTGCGCAGCACTGCGTTGTGCTTCGCTTATCGAGATGCGGTAGAGGTATTAGCATCGTCGTTCGAGTGATCGGCACTCGGTGTCTCATTGCTTTGCGGTGTCGCAGTCTCCTGTGTCACCGCACCGCTGGCAATTGCATGTTCGACGTTGCTACTTCGCAGCGCACCACCCAGCCACGCCAAGCCACCGCTCCACGAGTCGCTGAAACTGCGAAGTCGAGTAACATCTTCGCTGGGCTTCTGAGTGGGTGTGTTATAGATATCGGTTGCGAGCGCAGGGGTGGATCGACCGCCCTCCACACCTGGGGCGACGAGACTAGTAGCCGACTGAAGTCGAGCATTGGCAATTGTGATAGAACTGTCATGACCTCCTTCGCCGTCGAAGTATCCAGGTTCATCGAAGGCGCCATCCAGCTGCTTGCGACGACCTGATCTGCGCTTGGAGCGATCTTTGAAAGGACTGTTCTCGCCGCGTCGAAGGGACTCGGCCACTACAGCACTGAAACCACCTGATAATGCGGGGAGAAGGGGCCCTGGTGAGAATCGATTGGAGATAGAATTGCGAAGCGTCCGTCGTGTAGGTGTCTCGAGTGTCGTGTGGCTTCGGTCTGGAAGCTGAGCCTGGTTGCCTCCAGCCGGTGTTGAGGCACGTCGAGCGGTCGTGGCATTTCCATTTGATGGAGAGCCCTCCATTCCGGGTGCTGGGGGGAAGCGGAGGAGCACTGTAGATTCTTGGACAGTACTACCGTCGGACCGGGAGTGACGGGACGAATGTCAGAATCGCGTCCAGAAGCAGGAGATATTTGCTCGTTGCTGTCCGCCCAGGGATTCGACATACGAGATGGGGGCCGCAGTGGAGACGGGCCTTCGAACGACGGGCCTGAAAGGGGAGAATCCATGGGCAATGAGCCGCTTGGAGAAGATGGGGCGGCCGAAAGAGCACCCCGCGGAGTAAGCTGGTTTTCATCAACTCCATCTATCCCACGGCTTAGTAGAGACCCTGATGGAGACTGCGGAGCATCATCGGTATAATCAATGGCAGTATGCGGGCCGTTCGGTGCTCGTAATTGCTGGTTCGGGGGTGACAGATCAACTCGATCTTGATAGCGTTCACCATTTAGCAGGCCAATAGCCTCCTCTTCGTCGTCAGTTGAAAATGTAGACTCATCATCAGATCGAACTCTGCCGCTCGTGATGCAATATACACCCAAGAAAGTCAGGAAACAGCCTCCAACAAACTCGCCAGCACGTCTGGCCGACATTGACTCAAAGTCACGATATAGAACTGCACTTCCAATAATGACAGAGAGTGTGAAGAGGACAAATTGTGTTGGAATCACTTGCGTAGAGTCGAATCGCTGGAGGGCCCGATTGATATAGCGGATCTGCATCAGAGCGCTGAAGACGAGAACAAAGACCAGCAGATAGGTGATAGGAAAGGTGATGGCGTGCCATAATGTATATGACAGAAGGGAGGAAACACCCTTGGTGGAGAGAGCTGTATATCCGCCTATCCCATCTTGTTAGTATCTCTCTAAGTCGCATAAAAACGAGTACAGCTACAGGGGACTCACCAAATAGTGCTACCAGGCCGACATCAATCAGGATTGAGCGAGATCCATATCTGAAACTAGCCCACATGAAAGCAACAATCAACCCACAGGTCAATCCGAGATAGGTCTCAAATTCCCAAGTGGTAATCATCGCCCAAATTTCATCAGGGCCAATCTTCTCTTCCGACGACTTTGCGCTGAGAACAACGACAACAGCACCTGCGATTGCAATCAAGACACCCCAGAAGTCGCGCTGTCGGAACCTCTCCTTCAATAAACAAGGCGCAATGACGCAATTCGATATCAACGCCACCACGCCCAGGGGCGAGACGATAGAAGCCGGTGCAAATCCATAAGCCATGAAGTTGCCCGTTTCACCAAGACACATCAGAATGATTCCAGCCCACCAGTACGGAGACTGGAGGTAAGACTTGCGGTCTCCGAATTCATCATCCTTGTCTCCGGGCCGAGCTGTACGATCAGACGTAAAGGAGTTGCGCATAGACTCCGGTGATTCCGAGCGACCCCTCCTTCCTCGCGGGGGATCATCAACATCATCTCTGTACTCTTCGAAAATACGGTGTGGCGCGTGCCGTTGTTCTTTCCGCGGCTTCCCCGGCTGATTATCATCGTGAGAACGTTCGTCTCCTACGGCGCCATATTGGGTTGCTGATCGGGTGTCGGATTGGGATCGCCTCCAGTTGGCTTCTTTCTTGACCTTGTCCTGCTCCCATTCCCGCGCGATCCGGAGATGCGCATAGCGCTGGATGTTGAGGGCGACGGAGATCAAGACGTTGCCGGCAAGAGCAGTGATGATACCGATAGTAGACGACCACTGTCTCATTTTCCCCTCATTATCCCACTGTCCATTACTACTTGGTGGTAATGAGGGGACAGGAGGTGATGTAGCGTAGGAATAATGCGAATAGGAGGCCGGGTACGAAATGGCCGTGGCCGTGGCCGATGAAGGTGCGATCACCGACGTGACGAGAGAGGTGAGCAGCCCTGCGACCAGGGGCTCCTGGGGAGATTCCATGCGGGCGCGTAAATTTGAGGGCGAGAAACGCAAGTACAAGTCTTTGATCGCATAGACTGAAAGGTCCGGAATTGAATCGGGGTACCGACTGGGGGGGGGGGGATCTTCGGGCCCGAGCTCTTCAATAGCGGTAGTCGACAAGTCGACGTGGAAAAAGGTTAGGATCGATGGGCGAGCATTTCACAAGAAAAGAATAGGCAGCATCCCGCAATGTCCGTTTGGTTATCGCCTTCGACGCTGCCTCGTCGCGTGGAAAGGCAGAAGTTTAGAGTCGAAAAGGTTCGGAGCGGAGAGAGAAGAGGAGAAAGATTGCTATGTCAGCAGTTGGTAGTTGGTAGTTACGTACCTCGTATAAACCATAACAGTCACTCCTTGCTCCATACTACTGTAAAACGTGCCTCCCACACAACTTTGCAACCAGGAATCGCGCCCTAAGCCGTGCATGTGAGGTCCAAGCTCGTGCTGGTTCTGTTTTGAGTGTGTCATTGGTAGTTCGGGCGGGCAAAAGAGTGCACTGGCGATCGCCGGGTCCCTGAGGACGTCATCTAGCAGCCAAGAAAAGAGGGGAGATTGATGGACATTCACATTCCTGGGCTGTCCCAGCAAGGAGGGCCTCCATGCGCCCTTAGTTTCATGTTCAAGTTATACTAGTACTTATTGTTGTAGCTGGGTCGAGACTGGATTTCGAGTTTAGTTTCTACAATCCAAGGGCAGAATCATGGGAAATGATAGTCAATCATCAGGATTCATAAATTTTATTATACATGATTGGCAAATAATCATTGTCGAGCCTTTTTCTTCTCCGGGCCCTCCTCTTCATCATCACTCAGCTCGGCATAAATCGCGTTAGGTTGGGTTTCCTTGTATGCCTTGGTGAAAATCGGATCCTTCTCGGCTTTATCGGCATATTTCAAAAGCGCCTCGCGAGGGTCCTCATCACGCATAGAACTGAGAGGAATATAGTCTCGGATGAATTTCTCGTCCGACTGACCCTTGGCAAAGGGAGTGACAGCCGGTAAATGTGGGCGGCGCGGGTCTCGAGAACGTCCAGAGGCTGTCATGCCCACCGTTGGGTGACGGGAAGAGAAGGTTGATGAACTATAGTGGGGCACACCATTGGATCCTACAACCACCGAGTCTCCAGAAATACCTTGGGTCAGGTCAGTTGTGAGAGTGGCATTGTCATCGAAGTGACGACGCTTAGGTGCGCGAGACATGACCAGCGCGGCACCCTTAGTCGACATGGTAGGGTTGTAGAGAACATGCGTTTCGGCGTTGGCGGAGCCGGTCAGAATCTGGTTCAACTTTTCATGCCACAAGACAGTGATCAGTGGGGAGCCAGGCGTAACAGGAGTGACGAGTTCAGGCTTCAGAGTGGCCGGGTTGAGAATGTGCAGGTGGCCGGTTTCCGAGCCAGTGATCACATTTGCCGACGACGGGGAGAACTGAATGTTCGTTGTAGGATAGCGAGAAGATGTTGAAGTATGTGTAACGGTGTTGACAGGAGTCTTGAATTTCCTCGTGTCCCATAACTTGATCGTATCATCGCCACCTCGGCTGACGACAAGCCGCCCGTCGGAGCTTATATCCAGGCCGCTGGTCCAGGTATCCCGAGTGTGAGCATCTCGCACCTCGGCCGCGGGTCGAGTGAAGGGCCCCTTTCCACTGTACATCACCAAGCTACCATCAAGAGCCGCAGTAACCAAAACATCAGAACCTCCCTGCTTCGGAGAGCCCCAAGCGACGGCCGTCATCTTGGTCCGGCCAGCGGACCCAGCGACTCGTGATTTATGTACGATCACCTCCTTTTGTGAACGAGCTACATTGGCATCCCATATACGCACAGTGCCGTCAGAACCGGCAGTAGCACAGAGGTTTTCATCCGACGGGCACCAAACTCCACTAGTCACTTCTGAGACATGCCCTTTGGTATTGTGAAGATCCCGCAAGTACATATCACCCTTGGCAAATTCAAGTAGAGTTTCACCATCACGATCGAGAATTCTTGATTGAGATGATGCCGGTACAGCGAGGACGTAACCCGGGGTGATAGGATTGAATGCGACGTAGTGGACGGCATGGGTGTCTTGTGCCGCAGACTGTTTCTTCAACGAGGGATCAACGGATTTGAAGGCGCGAATGGTGGAAGGTGTCATGGAGGCGAAATCATGGAGTTTCAGTGTGCAATCGGTAGAACCTGTAATTAGTCGCGCCCCCGAAGGATCCACGGTCATGGTCGTCACGGCGCGTTCATGCGTCTTGAGGACCATCTCATGCGACACGGGGAATTCATCTTCGTCGTCGGAATCGTCCGAGTCATCAGAGTCATCATCGTCCTCATCCGATTCATCTGCACGCTTGGGAATGTCTTTTTGGGTCGATGTGCCAGCCGCAGTAGCTGCGGAGGTTGCAGTTAGTTCGCTCCCCTCATCGTTGGCGGGTGGTTTGGCCGAAACCTCTGCACGCTTGGAGCGATTGATCTGGGTATCAACGTCGACTGATTTCTCCTGCTTGCCAAAGCTAGAAGGGAAGAACTGCTTGAATGCTTCCTCATCGAAACCGTCCATATTTTCAAGATGTGTGACGTTAGACTGGGCCGATGCGATGCGCGGTGGATGAATTTTGGAGCCGGGGAGCTGGTTTGCATTGTTTGCACTCGATAATGGGACCCACTAATCAATTTCGGGATAAAGATGCTCACTTCAGAACAACTTCAGAACAACTTCAACAATTTGAACAATTTGAGCCATGGAAATTGGTATCTACTACGCTCTAGGTTGATTGCTTTCCGATATTGGTAGTGTGACCTACTATTCTACAATGAAGCCTACTTTTATGGTTGGAGGACATTACAAACAGGGAACTTGAAGTATATCAAGGTATAAAATCTCCGTAAATCGCTTGGGTTCCATTAAAATACAGATCTAGCCCTGAAGGTCTCCAACATGACCCTTCTCCACCGAGTACTGGTCATGTTTACAAGTACAGTCCCTCCACAGGGCCACCATCCTGCTTGGTCTTCATAATGCGTTCCCGAGCGGAACGGAAGTCATCCATCTGCACCCTCATACGACGCTCTCTCAGAGCCATCAGACCAGCCTCGGTACAAATGGCACGGATATCGGCACCGGACAGGTCATCCTTCTGGTTGATGAACTCATCCAGGTCAACGTCATCGCCCAGGGACATCTTCGAGGTGTGCAAGGTGAAAATTTTCTTCTTGGTGGTTTCTGGAAGAGGAAGGCAAGTTAGTCAAGTAAAAGGCAAGAGTCAATGGGTGGGTAAACTTACGATCAGGGTTCTCGAACAAGATCTTACGATCAATACGACCGGGTCGGATCAGAGCCGGATCCAAGGTTTCGATCTTGTTAGTGGCCATGATGACCTTCACGTCACCGCGGTCATCGAAACCATCCAGTTGGTTAAGCAATTCCAGCATGGTACGCTGGATCTCTCGCTCACCACCAGAAGTCGATTCGTAACGCTTAGTACCAATGGCATCAATCTCGTCAATAAACACAATCGAAGGAGCATGATCAGCAGCGACTGAGAAGATCTGGCGAACCAAACGCGGGCCGTCACCCAGATACTTCTGAATCAGCTCACTACCGACAATACGCAGGAAGGTAGCGCTTGTTTGGTTGGCGACAGCCTTCGCAAGGAGCGTCTTTCCCGTTCCGGGGGCACCGTAGAGAATGACACCCTTGGGTGGCTTGATGCCCATCTCCTCATACAGTTCGGGGTGTAGTAACGGCAGCTCGACGGACTCTCGGACTTCTTGGATTTGTTGTTCCAGACCACCAATGTCGGCATATGACTCGGTTGGGGCCTTGTCGAGCTTCATGACCGACACGAGAGGGTCAGACTCTTCCGTCAAGACACCAACGACTGACACGGACTTGTGATGCAGCAGGATGCTGGCACCAGGCTCGAGAAGATCCTTGTCGACAAAAGACATGATTGAGACGTAGTACTCTGGGCCAGTTGCACTAGAAACAATAGCATGGTCATCGTCGATCAGCTCCTCCAGGTTACCGACGCCCATCGGGCTGCCACGCATATCATCGACTCGACTCCGCTCATCGGCGTTGCGGTCCATCACATCCAAGTCACCTCGGTCGACGGTACCCTGGGTAGCTTGGGCCTTAGCCTTGCGCAATCGCTCCATGTTCTCAACGTATTCTTCCTCGAGCAGCAGGTGGTCGTGGACTCGTTGCATTCGGAGGTATCGTAGCTTGCATCGCGAAGTTGGGTAGATATCGGGAAGCTTGGCGGCAGTGCTGGGACCAGCGGCCTTGCGCTTCTTCTTTCCGATGCGAGTGGTTGGAGGTGGAGGGGGCTCGTATCTAGGCTTGTCCTTCTGCGAGACGCGGTGTCAGTGCTGATCCAGTAACCAGACGAAATCAAACGGATTCAATCATACCTTCTTATCCTTATCATCACGACCATCTCCTCCTTGGCCGCCGCCCATATTAGACTGCTGGTTACCCTGTCATGATGGATCATTAGTACATGCAAGCCCAAAGCCGGGTGTCAGGTAGGGCAACTCACCATGCTTGTAAGCCAGCGACAGGATCGCTGTCAAAGCCCAAAGAGCCGAGCTGAGATAGATATCAAATAAGAGTAGCTTCTGGCCTCGGCAAAGAATAACGAGGATGGTAATTCGAGAGGGTGGAAGGGATGACCAATGCAAGTGATGTTGCTCTAATCTCTCGGGGGAGCGACGAGCTGGCGCTGGAAGCTATTGCCGCCCTCACGTGATTCACTCTCGCCTCAGGCCAAAATGCGTCATGAGTCCCCCATTGCTGCCTGAATGCCTGAATCACAACTGTCTGCTGTGGTGTCCCGCACCTTTTTTGATTCCTCGGGTGGAGGCAGCTCTTGGTATTCAACAAGCTATTCTATTTTCGAGGAACTGTGATACGATACTATTGCACTTCATTGTTCAAATACCCCCCCATCCGAGACAGATTGCAGCTTCCAGCTCCCACTTTCGGGCTGCTAACTAATCTCATAAACTTCCCGTACACTTCCCCTCCTCCGGTAAGATTCCGACAACCACCCTTGTTTTATGATATTTCTCTTGTGTCAAGAAACATTTCTTAATGGCCGCCAATTTCTGATGGAGTAAATTCCCCGAATGACTCTCTAACTTGTTGGTTCATAATTCAGCGTCCAATTGGTGGTTCGACACCAAGCACGCGATCACCTATATTCATCATGTCTAGCCATCGAATCCGTCGAATTGGCAAAGAAATCGCCGATATCCGCGCAGACACCCACTCGCAGATCAACATCGAACCCTTCGGCGAGCAGGATGATGTCACTCATCTCCGTGGCTCTTTTCCAGGTCCTCCTGGAACCCCATATGAAGGCGGATCATATGCGGTAGATGTGAAGATCCCTACCGATTACCCCTTCACGCCACCGGTCATGAAGTTTGAGACGAAAGTATGGCATCCGAACATCAGCAGTCAGACCGTAAGTACCTCTGTGGAACCTGGAACCATATTGTCTCACTTACTGATATCGGTCGATTCGCAGGGTGCTATCTGTCTTGATACTCTTTCTAGCGCCTGGTCTCCTGTATTGACAGTCAAGTCTGCTCTTCTCTCCTTGCAGCAATTGCTCAGCACGCCAGAGCCCAAGGATCCTCAAGATGCGGAAGTTGCAAAGATGATGATGCGGCAGCCTGCTGAATTTGCGCGTGTGGCTCGTCAATGGGCTGTTCGCTATGCTGGTGCTCCGCCAAAGCCTGACGAGGACAGCCAGGACCTTTCGGCCGGGCAAGAGCCAACCGAAGAAGATAATCTCGCTCGGTAAGATACTTATGACAATCGGTGAAAAAGAAAAATATGACAGTGCATATGCTCATTGTTTCCATCTAGGTACAACGGATACAACAAGGACCTTGTCGACCGCTTTGGCGGTATGGGATTCGAGGTTGAACAGGTAGTAGATGCCTTTGAACGTGCGGGAGTCAATCGTAATGGGGGCGATGATTATGATCTAGGGCCTGGCCTCATGGGAGATATCACTGCACGGCTACTTGGGGAATGATTTGTTGGTCATGCCCATTGGTGGATATTTCTTGAATCTTGGAAATTGTCTGAAACGAAATAGATGTATATAGAAGAACGAACTTGAACACCTGACAACCTTCCAAGGTTTTAATGAATCAGAACTTATTAAACATCTAGGGGTGCTACTAGATATTCTAAGTCACTTCAAGAGCCTTGGTTAATTTGAGATTGTACAACTATCTGAACTCAAGTTGGTAGTATGGAGTATCTACCCAGCTTGGGCTCCGCAGGGCAGGCTTTAAACCCTGTTCAAAGCACTGGCTCATCTAACATTGGACTGATTTATTTACTGGCTATTCAGTGTTCACTGTCGATCAATAAATATTAACATATCGTGCGGTAGCAGCAGCTACTAGGCAAGTCTTTTTATACTACTCCGACTGTAGTAGTAGTAGTAGCATGTTAGGCAGATGGCAGGCGGAGACGGCGGGACGGAGCTATCGATAAGTCGGCCAGGCCAAAGCTCGCTGCATCAACCTCCGCTGTTGGATCTTCCGCAGCTGCTCGTTCGACGAGTGAATCTCGCGAAGAAAGTCTCATTTCTTTAATCACGTATAGCTCCCCCAAGCCATCTTCCGATTGAATTTATCACATCCACCTCGCCGTTATCGGCACCTTCATCGTCTCCCTTCAACAATCCCCAGCGACAGGCCTTCTTTCATCATGATTGAAGACGACATCTACCGCACCTCCTCTCAGTTTCGAGTTTGGTCATACACCGAGCAATCCCTACAGTCGCTTCGCGCTACGACTAATGTCATTGCGAGCGATCGGGTAAGGACCGCGCTTCGCCGGGCTCGCGAAGCTCAACAGTCCGCCACACCTTCTGCGACAGGAACTCCACAGCCGGGCAGCGATGTCGAAAGCAAAGCGTCTGACGAAAAGCCCATCGACTGTCTAACTCCCGAAGAGGAGCTGGTCTTTGTTCGGTACTACTGCGAATCACTTTTGGAACTGGGTGATGAGTATAAACCACCATTGCCTACCACCGTCCGAGTAAGTTGAAATCAGACCAACGCAGAAAAGAAACAATATCTAACAGCTTGCTCTTCTACTAGGCCACCGCAATCCAATACCTTCGCCGGTTCTACTTGACCAACTCCCCCATGACTTATCATCCCAAAAAGATCATGGCAACCGCTCTTTTTGTCGCTACAAAAACCGATAATTACTATATGTCTCTGCGGTCATTCGCAGAAGCAATCCCCGGGAACCCATCACCAGACGAAGTGATCGCACCCGAGTTCCTGCTCATGCAAGGTCTCCGCTTCACATTCGATGTCCGACACCCATTCCGCGGACTGGAAGGTGGCGTCATGGAGCTCTCAGCCATTGCCCAAGGCCAGGGCCAACCCACCCCGCTCCTCCCACACCAAACAGCAGAATCTCTCAAACAAGGGATTCTCTCCATAGCACCACCTCCCACGCCCTCATCATCCATATCCGACCGGATCGGACGCGCCCACAACGCAACGCGTGAGCTGCTCAAGACCGCAGCACAGATGACAGACGTCTACTTCCTCTACACGCCCTCGCAAATCTGGCTCTCAGCCCTCCTCCTCTCCGACAGACCTTTGGCCGAATATTATCTGGAAACCAAGCTCGGTGGTCCCATAACATCTACACCGTCTAATCCAGACCCATCCAACCCTCTCAACGAAATCCGCACCAAGCTGTTCAAGGTCCTTTCCGACTGTGCAGCCCTTCTCCAAGCCTATACCCCTCTCTCAGCAGATGCATCCCAAATAAAAAACCTCAAGCGCATCGCGAAGAAACATTATAAATGCCAGAACCCCGAAGGCGCCAACATGTCGCAGAAACGCGACTCTGCTCCGTCCCGAGCGGTCTCGTCGGCTGCTGCCACCGATTCTGGCCAAGTGACTTCAGAAAGCGAGACGGAGAGACTGGCCAAGAAGAGGAAATTGGAGGAGCAGAAACAGAATGGGCCAAAGGATATGTTTGGCGGGGAACTTGTTCCTGATAGGACGAAAGGGCAGTGAGGGATGAGTTGACTGTGTTTGTGATGTCTGCATCTTTCTAGCGGTCTGTTCTAGTAGAAAATATGCTTCCATTTGATATCTTCTTGGACGGAAAATGAATATGAATAATATGCGGGTCCGCAGCCATATCAGATTGTTGCACTTGTTGCTTTGCAAGGCTTCCTTACTGAGTAAATTTGCTTCCAGTGAGTATACTAGTATGTGTGTATCAAAGACACTTTCAAGACCTACCAGGCTAGCAGTAGATGGTAAATATTTCAAGTTCACGTTGGCTCTTCTTCCAAGCCAGGGAGTGGGCAAGTTTCTATCCCGATAGTCTAGTAACTCGAAGATTGGAACTTGAACAAGCTCTTTCAAGGACTTAGCTGCCCGTGCCCAGGTGGGTATATACAATTTGAACTTGGATCGGCTCCAGGACTGTACCACCTGCGCAGATGCGGTCTACAAATTTGAATTTACCCGGTTTCGATATGGGAGATGAAAGAGAGAATGGCAGCCAGTGCAAATCATCAATTGACTAGACAACCTTCCATAATCCTTTCTTTCATTTCTTCAAATCTACTCTATCAAGAATACAGTTGCAGGAGACGACATTGAAAAGAAAAACCAGCACAGGCAGAATGGCCTTGCGCTGAGGGGGAATGAGTTCATGACCAGTACCTAAAAACAAAACAAAAAAAATATTGCTCCCCCAGTCCAAACAAATCCTCTAGTAAGGGAACAGGGAACAGGGAGACCACCGATCTAAGAACATGAACCAAAAAATCAAGCGCCGCGCCCATCATGAAGAGAAAGAAAAACACCCACAGCAAGACCTAGTCCGAAGCCCAGCTCGCAGAATCTGTATCTGTGGCAGGCCAGCCGGTCCTCCTGGGTGGGATATTCTCGGTGCGCGAGGCTGAACTTTTCTGACATTGCAATTCCTTCGAATTCTCGTCTAGCATTTCGTCGTCATCAGGGGAAACAGTTAAGAAAGAAAACAACCGTTGAGAAGATATATATAAACCGTTTCAAAGCATGCACAAATGGTATACCGCACAGTAGTATACAGACTTTTAGACGGCACCGGCATCCAGCATCTTCTTGCGCAGGTGGTTCTTGTAAGCACCGATGGTACCATCCCAGCGACGGACGGTCTTGTGCTCGCAGACCATGATGTCCTTAGCGATCTTGTCGAGGAGACGGAAATCGTGAGAAACAACGACAACGCCACCCTCGTAGGCGTTGATGGCATCAGCCAGGGAGTCGATAGTGGGGATATCGAGACCGTTGGTAGGCTCGTCGAGCAGGATCATGTTAGGGGACTCGATGGCCAGCAGGGCGAAGACGATACGGGACTTCTGGCCCTCGGACAGGGTGCCCATGATGGCAGTCTGGGACTCACCGCTGAGACCGTAGCGGCCCAGCTGCTGGCGCCAGTACTGGTAGTCCTGGGACTTCTCGGGGAACTTGTCACGGACGAACTCGAGCGAGGACTTGGTCAGGTCGAGCTGCTCGGCGGAGTGCTGGCTGTAGACACCGAGCTTCAAGTGGGTGTGACGGGAGACACGGCCACCGATGGGGCTCAGCTTGCCCGTCATGAGACGGAGCAGGGTGGACTTGCCGACACCGTTGGGGCCGACCAGGGCGGTACGGGAGTCCATGTCGACACCCAAGTCGAGGTGCTCGTACAGGGTGTCGGCCCACTCACCGGAGTAGGAGAAGCTGACGTCGTCGAAGGACAGGACGGGAGGAGGCAGCTTCTCGACATCAGCGAAGCGGAAAGTGAATACACGGTCGGGAACGACGGGCTGGATGAAACCATCGGCCTCCATCTTGTCCAGAATCTTTTGGCGGGACTTGGCCTGACGGACCAAGTTGGCGTAGGTACCAGCGGAGGCAATGAACTTCTTGATGTGGGTGATTTCCTCCTGTTGCTTGGCGTAGGCCTTCATTTGGTTGGTCTCCTGCTCACTACGGGTCTTGTGGTAAGAGTCGTAGTTACCTCCATAGTAGAGGAGCTTCTGGCCGCGCATGTCCAGCATGGTGGTGCAGACACCGTTCAGGAAATCCATGGAGTGGGAAACCAGAATCAGGGTACGCTCCCACTTCTTCATGTACTCCTCCAGCCACACACAGGCCTCGAGATCCAAATGGGCAGTGGGGTCATCGAGCAGAAGCAGCGAAGGCTTGACGAACAGAGCCTTGGCGAGGGCAACACGCATACGCCATCCACCGGACATATCCTTGGTCTTCTTGTTAATGGTGACCTTGTTGAAACCCAGACCAGTCAGGATCAGGGAAGCACGGGTGTGGAAGGTGGAGGGGTCCATCTTGTCCATACGCTGTGAAGGATGTTAGTCTATTTTCGGAGGGGAGAAACGAGATACGAAGATATTGAGGTCACTCACGTCGTACAGATCCTCGAGGATAGGGCTCTCGGGGCCATCGTGCTCGAGAATCTCCTCGGCACGCTTCTCCATGCTGTCCAGCTGGTTCTGAGCTTCACGAACAACCCACTCCAGGGCACCGTAGTCACTGGGAGGGGCACCCTCGTTCAGAAGGTAGATATCGATGTGCTCGGGGATGGGGTACTCGCGGGTAGCGATGGACTTGAGAAGGGTGGACTTTCCGCAACCGTTCTCACCGAGCAGACCGTAACGACGGCCGAAGTTGAGCTCGAGGGTGGAGTCGGTGATGAGGACCTTGCCGTGGAACACCAGGGAGGCAGAGGTGATCTTAACATCGCGGGAGGAAGGAATGGAAGAAAGCACACCGGTGGTGACACGATCAGACAGACCGTGCTTATCCATCTGGGATGTGAGCTTCTCGACTTCCTTCATCTTCTCATCGTTGGTTGCGGGTTGCTCTGCGGCGGGATCTTCGGTGGCCTCTTCCTTGGAGCCCTTCTTGGTCTTCTTGTCGTCGGCACGCTTGGCCATACGGGCGGCCTTGGAGGCGGAAACCATGATGGCGGATGTAGAGAGCGTGAAAAACGAGTTGAGAAAGGAGGAGGGGGTGAGGTTTGGGGGAGGAGGGAGGTGGGGGAGAGAGAGAACGGCCAGGTATCTCAGGAACGAAGAGATTGAAGGCAAAAGAAATGCAAAAAGATTGAGTGGAGCGGGTTTGGCGGGGCGGAGAGAGGGAGAGAGAGGGAGGGGCGAAATTTGAGAAGTTGAAGTGGGGGGGGTTGTTGGCAAGCCCTTATCGATAGAAATGGCTGGGATCTCTAAGCTTCGACGTCAGAGAGTGAAAAAAAAAAATCAAAAAATCAAAACGCGAATTGTGGGCCTTGGCTTAGGATCAAATTGGTTGTCCAGCTGGTGAATTCCGTAGTGAATTCTGGACGCGGTGTATAACACAGCGAAGCAGAGCAGACCAAAAAAAAAATTTCAGATTTGGTGGAGCTGCCCGCTGATTGGATCTGGCGACGTCACCGCACTGGGGTGGCCTTATGGTGGCCTGAAAGGTCAGGCCGAACTTTGCCACTTCAACGCTGCCGTGTTTACACTACAGGCCAGTACGGAGTAGTCTACTCCATACATAAGCTGACGAGACTGGTTGCTGAGAACGGTGATATTTACAGACTATCTCATACTCCTGATATGTATGCACATTCATGATATTTACAGCCTCGCACTGATCCGATCCAGGACCAGCCTCTCCTCAGCAGACACAAATACCCCGTTGGGTACCCAGATATCGCCTCGCTCCACTACCAGTCGCCGAGGAACGTCCGTCAGGCTCTCCTCATACTGACTACCGGTTTGGTTTCTCTTCTCCCGGTCCGATTCAACATCCACATCCCGGTCTCCTGAAAGAGGTTGTGAGGTCCACCAATACATCGGGTATCGACGCTGGATATTGTTGATTACCAAGGCAGCAGACTGCATCAGCGTGATTCCCAGGATCATCACCGGGAACAGGAACCACCCCAATCCCACCGTCTGCGCATTCGTCACGGCCAGCAATGCTGTTGCTCCTGCTGGTGGGTGCACCGTACCTGTCAGCACCATGAGAGCGGTAGTCACACCGCAGGCCAACGCGCCGCCGAGCTCGGTGTAGTTTTCAGCATTTGGATTGAGGGCAAAAAGTTTTGAGATTCCGACTCCGACGGCACAGGCGATGAGCTGGCTGAAGAATGCATTTCGTGGTTGCGCGAGCGGGGACTCAACGACACAGAATTCGATCACGGCGGCGGCACCCTGGTTGATATTGGTTAGTCATTGCTTGTTCTGGAAAGGTGAACATGCATTGCATTGCATGCACGGCGGTAAGGAGGGCGCTGCACTTACAAAACTTCCGATGATGGCTGGTGCATTTCGATCCTCAAACGAAGGTACTCTCTTGGAGACACTGGCCACCAGGGCCACGCCAACAAAGGCTCCCACCATGGACCAGAAAGCAACCATCACATTGCCAAGCGGCTTCGGGGCTCGACTTCGATACCCCAGGAAGTGAGCGATGGGCTGTGGAATGAGATTCCATCTTGGCGCTGGAATGAGTGGGTTCAAGAACCGATCGATGTCAAAGTTCCAGGACGAGATGTCGGAGATGGCCTTGGACGAGGAGTCCTCTCCACGCTGGGATGATTCGGGCATGAGCGAGTACTAAACCGACTCCTACCAGCAGGTCTGTATCCGTCCGTGAGACTCCGGGGACTAACTTTCACAGCTATGGGGGAGGTCCAGCCCTATGAAGAGTCTATAAAAGAGCATTTTACCGCGTGGGTACGACGACCGTAAATGCTCCGCGTCACCTCTTTCAGATATCTCCGCGGGCTTGTATAAACATCCGCAGTGAAAGAGGAGCCATGACCGTCTTCCTTCAGTCGGACTGGGTCCCAATTCTGTCTGGTTGCGGCCGGTCTACCACTCAGCGAATTTATATTGAGTAAGAGAAATTCCCTTTTTGGACTTAGCGGCTTGGCATTGATGATGTCATCCATGCCTTGCCGAGATCATCTACATACAGTACTGTATTGACAACCCGAACTATGGAATACGAGTATGTGGATGTGGATGCACTCTACATACATACAGGGAATGACCCTGAATGATCATATGATCATTATGATCAGTGATGATCTAGGTGATCCATCACATTCAGCTGAAGATTTGTAGAGCATCTCCATATGAATACCTGACATTTGGGAATAAACGACCAGCATCGATACTTGTACCCATCTCAGCAGAATTTGTAGGGCTGAGGTTTTTCAACGCATAACATAATTCCAAGAATGTTCTCTACATACTTCCACTGTTCTAGAAGCTTCCCGCCTAACATACCATACATAGCTACTTCGGTAGACATCATATCAATCAAATTGAAACAGAGCCTACCTAGTCTAGACCAAATCATCATCAAAACAAGGCAAACATGGAGGACGAATAAACCATAGACACGCTTCATCTCATTTAATCCTCCCTGGAGGCCAATCCAAAAAAGACTCGGAGAAAGGCAAATCTTCAAACCTCCTCAACTCTAGAGGTCCTTCCACCCTTCTCCATCTCAAACCTCACAGACATTTCTATAAACCTCCTCCCCCTCAATCTGAAGCGGTAATCCAACACACCAAGCCCTAGGAAACTCCATCCCCCACTTCGCCATCAAACATCTCAAATCCCGCTCATCCCCAGGAACAACATTAACAAAGACCCGATCTCCATGAGACCTCGGTTCCGAATGAACAGCACCCTCCTCCTCACCGACGCGAAAAAAGACACACTCGCCCTGTTGGGACTGCACAGTCTGATGTGATTTTAGATCCGTCGCTAGACGGGTTCGGACTGCGTCGGCCGCGGAGGCACAACCTACGCACCGGATTGAGAGACAGATGTGGCCTGGGTTTTCGTTTTGGACGGCTGTTTTTGTGGTGCGTTGGATTGAGCGGGCGAGGTTTCTTTTTTCGTTGATGAAGATTGTTCCTGGGCCTAGGAGGGTTGTGCAGAGTTTCCAGTCTGGGGGGTTGGAGTTGGGTGTTATTATTTGGGCGTTTTTTGGTTGGGGTTGTGTTTGTGTTTGAAATGGTTGTGGGTGGATGAATGGGTTTAAGGCGTCGTAATCTGGAGTCGTGGCATGTTGGGTATTATTTCTTCGATGTGTTTGTGTTTGCTCTTGAGGAGGCGGGGTGTGGTAGTTTCGTGTGGTGAACTTCAGCTTTCTCGAAATGGACGATGATTTCGGCTTTGGCTGTGGCTTTGTCTTGGCCAGAGGAGAGAAGAATAGGTCGTCTGTGTGCCATCGTGGAATATCGAACTCTGTTGATCCTTGCGTAGCTCTTACGGTCAACCAGTAGTGCGCGAGGTTGTTCGCTGCGAGGAATTCGTGCACATAGGCCAGGAATGAGAAGAGGGGGGTCAGCAGGGAGCCGTTGACGGTAGCTCGGGCCCAGGTGTGGAAGGAGGATGGGAGGCTATTTTCTTCCAGGGTTAGGAGGGGCCCGCAGTATGTCCATGATGAGGACGCATTGAGTGTGATGGAGTTATCTGATGTTGGCGACAGCGATTCCGACTCCCCGCCGTTGGAGTCGGGATCCTGAGATGAATAGGGGAGGAGCTGGAAATCGGGGAGTGAGTCAGCGTCCATGCTGCAGAAGCCCCTTTTCAAGTCCTTCATTCTAGCCAATCTTGCGGTATTGAGAAGGGAGCGAGCCGTCTTGATCCACGGTATAAATTCCGTGGCTGTCTGCTCGGTGGATGACAAGGTTGGCGGACAGGCTGCAATGCTCGAGCCCCTAGCCTCTTCTCTAGTCCCATCCTTTCTGCATGGCCCCCATGTGACAAGAGTGTTCGAGACGCAAGGGAATAACGTGGCCAGCCACGTTGTCTGGTTTCATGAACACAGGTGAGATGCCAGGAATCCTGTGGGACCAACGAATCGGGCAGCAAGTTCCAGTAGTTCCAGTGGTTGGGTCCGGTGGGGAGGGGAGAAGATCTCGGGCGCCTTAGCGGAGTCTTTCAACTTTTGACACCTGAACTACAGCGATATATCGGATTCTTTTCTACGAACCCTGACTACTAGTAAATCCATGTCAGAACGGCTACTACTCTGAATATTCTCGACTGATAATTCTGCAAATGAATCTGATCAATTATAGTACCCACTTCCATGCCACAGCCTACGAAGCAAGTATCTATAGGTTGTAATTAATTGCAAAACTTTAAATCAAGTGGGAAGCACGGCCCAAAACTTTGATTTTCAATCTCGAGAGCGTCTTCTAATCGTAATATTCATTGCTTTTCATATACATTAAACCACTAAATCTAAACATCCAGAGTACGGCCGGTGGCAGAGCTCTCGCGAGCCAACTCAATCAGGCGAATAACCTGGCTGGCCTCAGCACCGCTAGCAGGCAGATCACCCTCGCCGCCGAGAGCGCGGACAAGCTTGCGGTAGTACTCGGTGTAGGTGGGGGGCTCGACGGTGGGGAAAACTTCCTTGACAGTCTTGCCATCTTGGATGGTGGTCAGAGTACCTAAATAGCCGTTAGCAGATGTTCATGGAAGTGAACAATGGGGCTGTGAAAACATACCATAGCGCTCGCTGGGCTCACGGCCGTAGCCGTTGTCCTCGGGCTTAATTCCGGCCTTTAATTGGTCCTCCTGGATATCCAGGTGGTACTTCTTGAAGCTTCCCTTGTCACCGCGCACCCAGAAGCGCAGCTGCTCTTCCTCGGGACTGACAACGGTGGCCTTGGCGGTCACCAGGGTGCCATTGGCATAGTGCAGCAGAACAGTGAAGGAATCCTCGAAGCCGTTGGTGTTGACGGCGCGGGCGGAACCGATGAAGCCGGTCACGCGCTTGGGGAGACCAAGCAAGTGGACGGCCTGATCGAGCAGGTGGGTGCCCAGATCATAGACGGCCGAACCACCAGGCATGACCTTGTTCTTCCACTTGTGGCCATCGGCGGCGGGTTCCTCGGGACGGTGGCGGTCGAAGTGGGTTTCGAATTCGGAGATGCGGCCGAGAGAGCCGTTCTTGATAAGCTTGGAGAGGGTGACGAAGTCGGCATCCCAGCGGCGGTCTAGTAGCGATATTGTCAGAGGGAGGAACTGCAAAGCAATTTGGCTTGCTTGGGGAATTGAGGGTATGACGTACTCTGGTAAACAGCAAGCTGCTTCTTGTTCTTCTCCGCAATCTGGACCAGCTCGGCGGCCTCCTTGAAGGTGGGGGTGAAGGGCTTCTCGCAGACAACTAAAAGACCAACGCATCAGTAGAATTCAAGTCAGGTAAATGATTTCCGAGACTAACCGTGCTTGCCGGCCTCGAGAGACAGCTTAGCCAGGTCGTAGTGAGAGTCTGGGGCGGTGGTGATGATCACGATGTCCAGCGCCGGGTCCTGGACCATTTCCTCGGTGGTACGATAGGACTTGACGCCCGGGTGGTCCTTCTCAGCATCATCATCGGGCTTGGGGGTGCGCTGCACCACAGCATGGAGCTTGAGCTCGGGGATCTGTGAGACAAAGGGAATGTGGAAGATCTTGGCGCTGAAGCCGTAGCCGACGACACCGACGTTGTAAGTCTTGGAGGCCATGATGAGCAGTATGGGAGATAATTGGAGGTGATATGATACAAGTCAAGGTACAGTAGAGACAGAGGGGCAATGGCAGAACTTATACCCCCCCACGGATTTTCGAGGCCGAACGCGGGGGAAGGTCCTGGCGACGGCAACCTTTGGATCCGGCGGGGCAAAAAGCAGTCACCGACGAGTCGACGAGTCGGCCTGCCGGAACGTTGCCACTCGGCTTGCCTTGTTACTATACTAGTACTACTAGTATTACTCCGGACTTCTGTCACCCCAGTTACTGTTCTCTACTCGGACTACTCCGTACGCAATACTATGCTTGATAATCAAATTCATTCAATTGTGGGTTGAGCCCCCGTTCTCCAAACCCCACCATCCCACTCTATCGCCTCTGCCTTGCCTATTCTTGGACCCCGACACATCGCGTCACTTCAATGGCATCCTAGTAAATGCGACTTTGATTAGCAATTGCAGAAGAACTCATGCCTGATTTCCACCATGACATATTTGGAAAAACGACTCACCTCTTCTCCTTCCGGCTGATGCAGCTCACTCTGGTACACGATATTGGGATTCCCCACCACCTCAAAACTCGGCACATCACCCTGTGGCATGAAGGAATTGACGGTGCGCTCTAGAATCCCCTTGGTATCATATCCTTTGTTAGGTCCATCCTTGGCCACCTCTCGCTTCTGCTCAACCGTGCTGCGGACATATTCCAGATACGGCGGGTTCCCTGGGAACAACACATTGTCTGCCGCTAAGACCGATCCAGGAACGATCATTCCATGGTGCTCAAGCAGCTTGAGGTCGGTAGTGTACGCAGGCTTGTAGTGGTCGATAAACAAGAGCTCGATGTTTTTGACCTCTCCGCTACGGTACAATTTGTCCAGGGAGAGGTCACTCCGGCCCACAATGACACGCACAAAGTCGCGAAGTCCGGCCAGTTCGATCAGCATGTTCGCAATAGCGGCATACTCCGGGTTCAGTTCCAGACTGAGGTATTTCTCTCCGCCATTTCGGCGTGCTGCCTCGCCGAAAAGGATGGCCGAGTAGCCCGTATAGCACCCGAGTTCGATCATGATCTTGGGCTTGATTTCGTCGATTAACTGTGTTACGATTTTGCCCTTGGGTACGCCAACAGTCATCATGTAGTATTCTTCTTCAAACTTGTCCATCAGGTCGAGTACCTTCTGTGGATTTCCTCGGATTTCGTCCAAATTTGGCTGTTCGTAGATGAAATGGAGGAGCTTCATCTCTCGGCCTTTCCCGCTCTGTATTCATTGATAACCATTAGTACTCTGGTGCTCTGTAGGCGGCCATTCGGTCGATAGTATGCCTTAACAATTCACTTACCAAGCGCCCACCCATGCCGGGGCGCGAAGGGACAGACTGTTTCGTGGTCGACATCTTGGGATGTATGGAAGAATGGATCAAGCTGTAGTGGAGGTATGGCGAGATGCAGGGCAAACTGTGAGCAGTAAACCGTTGAGAAGATCTTGATATATTAAACAAAAATCTGGTCAAATTTGAAATCGTCCGAAACTTTACTCCCCGCATGTTTGGTGACGCAGGCCGGCGAATAACTATGGCGTATAAGTATACATAAGTGGATGTGGTCCCGATTGCGGTCCCGCAGGGTTGTCGGGGATAACTACTCAAGGAGTCGATAGCTCTTCTCCGAGTCTGAAAGCCGACTAAATCCGTTCTCCGAGCTGGATATAACCTTAAAATGGTTTCGTCGGAGATCGAGGCTGCTCGGAGGTGCTAGAGTAGTGCGTGATCCGAGTTAGCTACCATATGGGAAGTACTTCGGACGATTGGTCCTGAACGGGTAAGCCAAGGCGATCTACTCCGTACGAACACGGGGGAACCGGGGGGAAATATGTACACAATTGGCTTTCTATGTCTATTAGTATCCTAATATCTTTGAAATCTCTAGATCTCTCCATTTTCCGCTAAGGTAGGTGACAGTAGATCAGAACATGTAAGTGGTTACCTAACAGTAGCTACTAGCTATTTATACTAGTACCACTATACTAGTACTATACTGCTGGTACTTACTCCATCATTTTATAGAGTTGCACAAGTCACTGTCACACCTTTATCTACTTACCCATACTGAAGATGAGGTACTACTACTCCGTGACCGGGTACATTCTTCTTCACAGTCGGAAACCGAGTTCCTCCACTAAACAGAATCCGACTCGAGACAATGCAATGGGCCGATCGGGTCTAACTGCTATTGGCCAGTACTTGAGTATTGAGCATGGGCAATGACAATGACACTGACATTGAAATGGTGCGATCTCGATCTGCATGTGCCGGTCGCCCCTCCTTCTCCAACCACCCACTTTCTACATTCTTCACGTCACCACTCCCAGCACTTCAACTTCAACTTCACCGGGTCACTGCATCTCACTGCATCTCCCTGATGCTTCGAAATGGCTTCCAAGCAGAGGTCGCACCTCCCCATGAAGACGGTCCAGGCTTCCTCCCCGATCGAGGTCCTGTCTAACACTTTCTGGCATATCTTCCGCATTTCCGTCTCATGCGCCCTCTTGTTTGCGGACAACACCGTTCTTATCGCCGCGCTACTTCTTGCGCGTCTTCAATCTGTGGCTGATCGGTACCAAAGACCACGACATGATCTACCGTTTTATCCCAAAACCGTGTTGATCACGGGTATCGGTACCCCCCACGGTTTAGCTCTCGCCCGAGCTTGGGCTGCGGGGGGGCACCATGTGGTCGGGGCAGACGTCGCCGACCTTGATCTCCCCGTCCGATCGGGTGGAAGTATGTCCCGTACTCTCCTCGTCTTCTACCGTGTTCCCAAAGATCATTACATTTCCCGCATCCTGGATATTATCCATCGCGAGAAAGTGGATGTGTGGATCCCTTGCTCGCCCAAGGCAACCGCCATTGAAGATGCGACCGCCAGACAAGTGATCGAGAGTCGGACTAGCTGCAAATGCATCGCTTTTGACACCGATTTGGCCACGCGGTTCCTTCACACCGACTCCTTCGCCCAGTTTCTCATTGAAAGAGATCTTCCTGTGCTCGAGCGCCATCAGGTACACTCGCGTGACTCGATCCACAAGATCTTGCATCGGTCGCCCAGTAAGTCATATCAGATTCAGCGACTAGGCTCCAGCTCGAAGGACGCCGCTGTACTTTTACCAAAGCGCACTTTGAGTAAGACGTACTCGGAAGTCAGCGAGCTTCAGATCAACCAAGACTATCCCTGGATTCTTCAGCAGCAGAATCGACTAGGGGAGTTCTATGCAGATATACTAGTGGTCCGTGGTCATGTCCATGCCATCAAAGTTCGGCTTGCGGAGACTCAGAAACCACACTGGGGTGCATCCCCGCTGGACGAGGCGCTGGCGACGGCCATCCATCGTCTCATGCAAAGCTTTGCCGTGAAGGGGGAGCGCGTATGACGGGGCACCTTTCCGTTCGACTCCTCGTGGATGAAGAGTTCGACCATTCTTCCGTTCGCCATACCATCCATATCGCGGACTGCATTCCGGGTGCTGCGGCTGCGGAGAATCTCGTTCGCAATGCAACCTGCCCTGTTGCCGGCTATCTTGCTGTACTGGCACCCGAGCCTGCGAATCAGGGTAATTGGGAGGTGGTGGCGACACTATCCCGACTCCTCGCCCTGAATCGACATTGATTGGGGGTGAGAGTCGGCTGATCGCCGGTTTAGTATCTTTACCATTCTTTCCTTTGAAGCTGGCCAGGCGAGCAAAGGCCCTCGTGGAGGCGGAAGCGATACCTTTTATCTTTTGGAGAGGTCCATTGTTCTCCTTCCGGGATCCTTTCCCTTGGTGGTGGCATGTGCATGTGTACCAACCATTGCGGGCGGTATGGTTGTTGATGAAGCAGATCCGGGAGACTGGGCTTGCCAATGGGTCATTGAGTGGGTGATGGGATGGAATTATGAATTATGAAAGCATGAATTATGAGAGCGCAGCTCAGTATTTCGGGATTAGATATAGCAATGAATTCGGTATAGCAGCACTCTAACCACAGCTGACTACTCGTATACTCCATACTAGTACTAACCATGGTCCACTCCGACCTTTACCATGTGGCAAGTATACCAGTGTAGATCTTTATACGGCCGTAGCCTGAAAATACTCCACTACACAAGTAGCATAGAGTGCGAGCACCGCCAGCACTGCCAGTGCCGAGTGTCTCCACTTGGTGTGGCTGAAGGCCCCAAAATAGAAAACCACGGGCTGTCGCCTGGGCGATCGTCCTGAGACTCGCCCGCAATAAAACAGTCCTTGACATCCTTGACATCAGCTCTGTTCGATGTGATTACTTCTCCCTCCCCCTCACCTCGTCGATCCCCCTATCCCCATTACCCGACTACATCCCCATACTCCATACTTTAACTAGTACTACGGAGTAATCACCACGACTTGACCACGACCATCCCGCATCTCCCGCATCTCCACCGAGGGTTACCCACGCCAGCCAAGAGTTTAAGGCGTTGCGCGTCCCCCAAGCCGCCCCATTCTTATTATTTCCTCAAGTTCCAACATTCTTGACCTCCAACTGTCTTTGGGTCTTTTATAACACCCCCTACCTGTCAATCATACCGAGCTTGATTTGACACCCTTCCTTTCCCGTGGGTGACTTTGGAAAGGGTTCAGACTCCCTTGCAGTCCGTCGCCTTCACTTTCTACAGCCATGGCCAAATTCCGGATCCCCCGGCCCTCCGGTGGTAACCTGGGGAGGACAAAGAACTTGCTTCATTTCACACAAGCCCTCATTATCTTCGTTGCCTGGGCCATGACCATCGCCATCTGGACCAAGGGCGATGGCATCGACGGCCGTACCGTCTGGTATTGGATCTTGGTAAGTTGCCAGCTTTGCTATCCCTCCACTTCCAATTGAACCTTGCAGCTGACAGCCCGTGGTGTATAGTGCTGGATCAGTATCCCCGCTTTGATTTACCTCGCTGCTGTCCCCATGTGGCCCCGGGCCCGTCGCTTCGGAAATGTCTATGCCTTCGCCACGGTCGATGGGCTTTATGCGCTCTTCTGGTTCAGCGCATGGGTGTGTCTTGCTTCATACGTCGCACAGGGCAAAAGTATCGGCAAGTCCAGCGATAGCAGTTCCGATCAGGATAAAAACAAGCGAGCCAGCACCTCCAAGAAAGGCTGCGACAACTGGGCATACGGCAGTTCCAGCAAGTGCACTGTCAGCACCGCCACGACCATCATTGGCGTTGTGATCTTGTAGGTTATAAGGTTTCTTTTGGTCAGCGAGATAACCCCACACTAACTGGTCATCTTCTTCTGCAGCATTCTCTTCGGCATCACCGCATGGATGTCCCTCCGCAACGTGATGCACTTCCGTCGTACCGGTACCCTCCCCGATGCCGTCTCCGACCCAACCTTTGCCGCTCAATCCAAGGCCGCCTTCTCCAACAACCCACCCCACGACTTCGAGGAAGACGAGGAAGACTTCCGCTCCGGCCGGGGCGGTGGCATGGCTGCCTCCTCGCGCGGCGACCAAGACGAAGACTACGCCCTCCTACAACAAAACGAGGCCGATGATCTAGGTCGATCTGCAATGCACGGCGCGTACGATCCCACAGCACCCGCACCTAGCAGCGTTCTCCACGACTACGGCAACACCAGCTACACTGGTGCGGAAACCAGCTACGGCGGTTCCAACACTAGCTACGGCGATCGCAATACCAGTTACGGTAGCGGACCTCAGGCGCCGCAGCACATGCCTTATTCTCCATCTGAATATAGCACAACAATGAGCGCATACCCGCGGTAAAACAAAAGTTTCTGTGGGAGGTAGTGGGAAGAAGAGCCCTGGATGGCATGGAATGCTAGCAATGAATACCCCGATATCATCACGTCGCTCTGCTTGTTTTATTTTTGTGTCTTGACATAACATGACCACGGAGTGGAGTTGGCAGGCGCATTGTTTTTTTTGGCCTTTGTTGTTGTTTTTTACCTTCATGGAGGAGCGTAGGCATTGGCTGCCGTCATGATTCAGGCCCTCGGGCAACGATTGTACTTTCTGGATGTAGCAAATAGATCATATTGATGTGAATTGTGATTGTCAATTATTCGTCCGTAGACTCAGCAGACTCAGCAGACTCAGTAGCCTTCGACTAAACCGGGTTACACCAAACACCAAACATGGTGCTTGTGCCAGTGCCTGCCCCAGATTGGCAGAATGTCCACCGCCTCTGGCTTTTGGAGGACAGCTCGCCGCAACTCGCCGCAGCGATCACCTTCAAGTTGAAATACCACTCCATTTCTCAGAGGTGCATTGCATGATACGAAAGGTGGCATAGTTTCCCTCTCCCTGGTATGAATCTAGCTCAGCTTGAGTATTCACACAATACTCTCCCGCCGATCCCACATTCCATTCCCATTCACCATCTACATCCTCAAGCATCAACTAACATAACCACTACCAGAAACAAAAGCACACACACATCTTTAAAGAAAACCAGGACTCCAACAGTCCACCCACCACCAAAATGGCGAGCGAAATCGACCTCTACAACCAATACCCACTACACATGGACCCAGCCACAAAAGCCATCACCCTTCCCCAATCCTCCGCCTACACCACAACCCAACAAAACACAGTCACCAACGAACTAAACGAACTAAACACACTCCACCGCGCCCTCCTCTCCCTTGACCCTCCCAACATCCCCCCACCCCCACTGCCCGTAAACCCAAAACGCAGCGCTCAAATCACCAAACTCCGCGAAAGCGCCAACACCGCCTTCCGCAAAAACAACTACGCCGAGGCAATCCGCCTCTACACATTCGCCATCGATATGGGCGTTACCCGGCCGGGCTGGGAACCCGTTACCCTTGCGCGCGAGGAATTGGCCGGGTTGTATGGGAATCGGGCGCAGGCGCAGATGGCGCTTCAGGCGTGGCCGGAGGGATTGGTCGATGCGAAGTTGAGTGTTGATTCGAAGCCAATGGGGAATGTTAAGGCTTGGTGGCGGGTTGGGAAATGTTTGGCTGAGATGACGAGGTATGAGGAAGCGAAGGGGTTTTTGAATAAGGGGATTGAGCTTGAGGGGCAGGGGGCTGATAGTGCGAAGGAGTTGATTGCGTTGTTGATTGATGTTAATGCTGCGTTGAAGAGGGTTCAGGGTGCTTAGACTTTTGAGTTGCTCGCTGTTTTCTCCCTATAAAGTATTCCTTCTTTCTTGTCTCTTTGCATAGGTACTGGCTTGGCTTCAAGTTGTTAGCTTCCAAGGCTGGTTGACGATTCCCGAGATTGTTATGGCGTTTAGGATGAATTCATTACTTTGTTGTTTGATTTTATATATTTCACTGATATTCCAAGTTCTTCCTGGGCTCAGTGACTGCTTCGTTTATGCTTCTAACCCCCCGACGTCATGGATCCATCCAAATTGGGCAACACCCATTGATTCCAAGGTTTTCATGAGATATAAGCTCAATCCATCCATGATAGATTAGTCTCAGATTCAAATTTCAGCCCATTGCCCGAAGTTCAAGTTCGGTGATTCATAATCCGAGTTCAACTTGGAGTTCCTAGAGTACCTAGGTAATAGGGTCACTTCTCGTATTAAGGCCCGATATATATCTCCCACCATGGGGTCTCGAAATTCAATTTTGTTAGAATAACATATAAAAGCCCACATATTTTCAACATTGAAGTAACCTTTACGGAAATATTTGACGGAACTACCCAATATAAACATTCAAAATCTCAAAAAACCACTAGATTGAATCATCTGCTCATCAACAATTCCATGTACTACTATACTCGTGGCGACCCAAGCTCTCACCGCCCCCACTGACTCCATTTTCCGCCCCCACGGCCCAATCCAATCATAAATATTTAAAGATCCACCCACCACCCAAAAAAAATCAATATCATGGAGCCACTTCTAAAAAATGCAAAAAGTCAACTCCGATAGGGGGAATCGAACCCCCGGCTGCCGTGTGAGAGACGGCGATGTTAGCCACTACACCATATCGGACTTTGTTGAAGGAGAGCTGAAAATTTGGCTTCATGAATCCATTCCTGCTCGAAGCCATAAAAAACCAATGCATGAACCTGTTCCCATCCGCCTTCACATAACGCCAGAAGCAGTCCGAGTCTTCGTGATATGATGATCACTCCCATCACTTCTTCGTACTGGCTGAGCCCTCCGCTCCATTGGATGAAGCATTGCTCTTGCTGCCTGACTGACCAGCAGCCTGGCCACTTTTGCTTGAACTAGCTGCGCCTTGGGCCGGCGTATTGTTTTGGCCACTGCCAGTGGATACTTCTCTTTCTGTAAGACTTCGAAGAGGTCGCTTCTAAAAGCTCGTATAGCAATCGACGTCGGCGCAAGTCCTATGAAATCAAATAGTTAGTATGACTTGTCTTTCTTAATACAACCAGGGAAACCCATCAATGTCCGTGGTTTCTCGAATTTGTAGAGACAGCTGGTCATTTGGTAGTCTAATACAACCTGGTTAGTTCCTTGTCAGCATGAAAAAGAATCACATGGGAGACATACCAGGACGAAAGCCTATTTCTGAACCTCATGGATCTCGTATTACCCCCATATGGTACAGCAATTGCAGCCCGAATTTATGATAAAGGCCATTGGAACAATGCCAGCACTTCAGTACAAGTGAGAGAAGGAGGTAAAGCAGCAGATAGAAGAACACAAGGTTAATGGAAGCCAGCTAGCTTGTCATTCATGGAATTAAAATCACCGCTGATTGATCGCGCCCTTAGCCCAGGCTGTGCGGGGTACGATGTGCTGGCAGAGGTTCAGTCGTTTCGAAGCATATACATGTTTTCAACCTATGAAAGTTGTCCAATTAAGCGTAGGGTTGTAGCGCGCGGCAAGGACAACTTCTAGATTTCCGCTGGGTCCTGGGACATGATTGGCTGAGAACGATGGCAGTGCCTGATGCAAAGCCTTGCCGATACAGTGGCGCGCGGCACGATGGGATCATTTAAAAACCGAGGCTCAATGCTCCAAAGCCCTGAGAGTAAGTTCAAGGAAGGGCCGTGGTTTGACTTAAAATTAGACTCCCTGCCGATTCTTGTACCCAGACAAAGTCAGCCAGCAAAGACCTCACGATGTCTAGCATCATCGACATGACAAGGTTGTCGAAAAGCGAAGAGACTCTAGGTAACGGAATCTCCGATACCAGAATAAGTGAGTTCAATCCCAGTATCTTTTGATTATGGGGGTTACATGCTCACATAACTGAAATGCAGAAGGCTACCCAAAGGGGTATCCCGAATTGGCAGCATTTATGGAGAGCGACCCAGGCTTTGGCATACTGCGTCGATTCAACCATCTACACTTACGAAATCTCTTGTACATGCAAGAAGAACTCACATCCATGGATCGACGTCTATACGAGATCGATGCTTCAGAGACGGATGAGCTCAACAATATGACCCGACCAGGCGATGAAAATGTAGATAGGAAAGTTTTGATGACGGAGATTCGAGTAAAGCTCAGAGAATACGGTACAGTTCTTCCCAGGTGAACTATATTGCTGAGATCATGATCTGATAGTACTAACTCCGGCACCAAACCTCAGATGATTTGCTTGTTGCATACCATTCTATATTTAATCTCAAATCCCCCACGAAGGGAGATTTACAGAATTTCCGTCGATGGTTTCATGCTATGAATCCACTTGTCGAGGAGGAGGCTGGCGCGTTCCAGAATACCAAGGATCTCTGCTCCTTGAGCTCTCAAGTCTCAGATTTTGCCTTCCAAGAAACTCTATTCAAAGGGCTAGTGGCGAAATTTATCAGGAGTAAATGGATCGAAAAGGTAATTGCCTTGAATTTTTTATAATGCGGTGAGCTCTGCTAATTTAAATTGGATCTAGATATTCAAAACGAATGTATGTTCTCTTTCTCGCTACGCGAGGGTTGATGTGGTGTCTTATTTTTCTCTCACGGTAGACCGAGCATCAATGGGACCCCAGACAAATCATCTTTGTATCGGACAATCGCATCTACCGAGCAATGAGACTAACTACAGTGATCGCGGCATCATTTTCACTCTTAATTCCAATTATTGTCCTATATTTTGTTCACACTTCGGCATCCCGACTAGTCAGCATCGTCCTATTCACTCTTGCTTTCTCGACCTCTCTATGCATATTCACGAAAGCCAACAGTTCGGAGATATTTGGAGGAACTGCAGCGTAAGTAACAATTACTCGAAATTCTACTACATGGAGACTAATTATGTGAATTTAGATTTTCGGCGGTCATGGTTGTTTTCGTGGGGACGGGGCTCGGAAGCTCTTGAGTGCGTGTCATTGTTAGGACAGCATGTATTGCTGAGTTATGATGGGACAGGACTTCCACACAGTTAATTCGGGAGACCTGTAACCCTCGTATGCTACTAGAACCGTATCAGGTTTTCCGTTAGGCGTATCGTGATTATTATCTATTAACGCGGACTGCTTTCACGGTGTACAATACCAAACCATGCCAATGTATTTACTTGTTCTAACGCAATGGCCGCAAAAGTTCCCAGCTAGTACCTACTATAATGGGATAGATAGGCCAATCTGTTCCCTTAGGTAGCTGCTAGTCTGCCACATTAGAAGGCGGTTAATAAGGTGAGCAACAAGGAGTTGGAACCTTTTGCGGCGCCACTGTATACCGTGACCACTCCTCATCAAATAGCTTGTGATGGAACCGAATGGTATCGACCCTATTTATTAATCCTTGTTAGTTTCATGATCGATTGGTGTGGACTGAAAGATACTCGGGGGCATCCGGTTAGGGTCCAATCAGTTGGCATCTGCAAGCGCCCCACGTGCCCAGGAAGACAATGCGCCCGCTTCTCCCTGACCATCTTTTGGATATGAGAGGCTGGTGAGGCTCTCTTTCCCATCCTTAGCCAATGAAAGAGACAGGATAGGTGAAAATTATGACGTGGCAATTCAGCCTCATTACACTTCTCGATAGTCATCGAACCGCCTTCTCCTTTCCTATACTTCGCTCTCCATTGTACCCAGGCTATATTTGCTCAAAATGGCAGAGGCTATTGGGTTTGCTTCCGCAGGTGTTGGAGTTGCGTCTTTTGTTGTCCAAATTTTCAGCAGCATTAGCGCCTTGAAAGCTACTCATCAGTATAACCGAGAACAGGCACCAAGAGAGCTTCATGATCTTACCAACAACCTTGAATTCTTGAAATTATCCTTGGAAAGCCTCCAGCCCTTTGAGGGAAACCCGCTCGTTAACCATGCAATTCGAAACTGTCAATCAATGTATAGCGACGTCAACAAATCTTTGAAGTCACTTCTGGAGAAGATGCACCGAAGCCAATCTAACAAAAAAACCAAATGGAAATTCGATCTATCTCCACAAGTTCGCGAGCAGATCGAGGACATCGGAAATAAGATTTCACGGGTTATTCAAATGCTGAATACGTAAGTCCCGACGTCTCGAAGTAAGCGGAAATTACTCCTCACACTGAACTGAAGCTCAATACTCCTTTTGATACCGATACCCCCCAAGAGCATCGAGCCAAACTCCATGACTTTGTCTGGCTCACCTAACACACACTCACATACTCTGGAAGACGTACCCGTTGAGAACAATGCTATCTCTGGTAGAAGTAATACAGCTCTCGCGCAACCCCGAGACCCTCCCATCCGGCGAAGATCTTGTACAACAAGACACTGCCACTGCTCATGCCATATGACGGAAAATCGCCTTGGCCGCTACTGGGGATTGGAATACACGCCACTTGCAATAATGTTTGGGAAATGTGACAACCAACAATGTGACGTGAAAGGCATTCGCTGGAAATTTCGATTTTCTTTCAATAATCTCGGTGTTCCGTTGGCACTTCTCATGGATTTTGAATTTATCCTTGGTATGGGAAAGTATTCCCTCCGGCCCGCTCTCAGCGTGCAACGCGTGGTAGCGTATACATCTCCAGGCTTTGAGATTCTGTGGAGATGCCGAAACGGTCTTCTTTCATTCCACGACGCCCAGACTCAATTCCGTGAATTAAACAGATCATCGTCTCCCTTGCGACAACATATCAATCCGGGAGGAGACAACTACGTCCGGGTGAATTTTCTGATAAAGGAATTCGAGTAGAGCTTCACTAATGAATTTCAAGGAACTGCTTTGTCATGGCCCTTGGATCGGCCAAAAAGACCAATTTGCTCTTCTTGACCTATTTGCTAACGAGTTGGATATGACACTCGAAGATGAAGGAAATGAGTGCGTTTTCCCATCAAATATTGGGTGATGATTATCCTGACGGAGACTGCATAATAGATTACTTCTAAAGTGTGCTTCGTGGATTGGGGAAGGACGCCATCTAGATCTACTTGAAACTATTCTCCACTGTGGATTTGATCCCAGTGGAACTGATTCGCCGCTCTTTCAAAAATGGCCCTCTCCTTGTTCGCCTAATTGGATTTCTGAAGAGCTAACACCGGATCCTTTCTTTATTGAATCTATGACAATACTTGCAATAGATAATCCGGGTGAGTATGTTTGTTTTTATAATCTCAACAGTTACTTATGACTATTTCCCTCCCCAGGATTTGGAGGATCGACTCCTCTTCAAGATGCCGTTCTATGTGGACGAATGGAGACTCTACGGTGTTTGGTTTCGAATGTGACATACTGGGAAGACCATCGAAACTTTCTAGGACAGACACCTCTGCACTTGGCAGTCTATAACCCGAAAAAAATTCAGATTGATTCTGGATGCCGGGCATAACCTGGACGCTACAGATAGGTGGGGTGTCACCCCGCTAATGTACGCAGCTGCATTGGGAATGAACGATATCGTAGGTTTGCTCATTTCGAAAGGTGCAAACATAGTGATGCGTGCTACTCATTCGAATCGGAATTTCATAAACTATGCGTCTACACGTGGACACTGGGATTTGATCCTCGAATCACTTAACACCATACGTCAATACTACGGTGAAGATGCTTTCCAATGTTTTGTTGGCATGGCTGTTATGCGTCTTGTGTCTGGGGACACTTGGCTTGGTGATCGAAGAACGAAAGTCATCGAAACCCTTCTAGGGCTTTTCGATGATGTGAATTTTACATTCGAAGATCCCTATCGAGGGCAACGAGGGCAAAGTTCTAACAACTTGCTGCATTATGTTCAAACGGAAGAAGAGCTTCAAGCCCTTGTTCGCTGCGGATTCAACGGTTTTAACCAGCCCAATAGCGATGGAGAACTTGCAGTTTCTTCGATTGTGTGTCAGATCGCGGATTTCAAATTGTTTCGGGGCTGTCTTGATTATGGGACTGATATCAATCATATAGATCACAGTGACCGCACTGTCATATTCAAGCTGATACAGTGTCTTGACAGGCTTAAATGTTCGACTTGGGATACTCTTGAGTCAATTAAGCTCTGTTTACACCGGGGGATCGATATCTTCCATACAGACAGCTGCAGATGCGCCTGCTCTATCAATGGCTGTCATACCTCTGCTGGGTTCAATATTGGATTCAAATCAGAGCTCCTTACTGGGAGATCTAATGCAAGATTTATCTGGGCCTTTGAATGGCTCTCAATTGTTGAAGAGTTTCATGGCTATGAGGCAGCAAAAAAGCTACTTCTCTCATTTATTCGCCGGACGCGGTTCGATTTTCTCAAGATAACACATGTATGTTGTCACAGGGGTAAAGGTGTAGGTCGAAAAGGACCCGGCATATCTGACTCCCAGCATGTGATTGAAGATTTCCAAGGTGTATTGGATGAGGAAGAGGACATGATCGAGATATTAGAGGAAGGGATGAGAAAAGATGCCCGAGAAAACTTGGAGACACTTGGATGTCTTTGGATGCAGTTGCTTAAGCGAAGATGCAATGAGACTCTTGGTCAATCCCAAGAAAAAAAGAGAAAATCCGACGAACAGGGTGAGTTGCCGAAAATTATTGATTATACTGTGTGCCAGAGCTAAGGTGAAAATAGTCAAGTGGAGAGAAATATCACGTCGATTACAAAAACGATACCTACAGTGTGAACATGAGTTGGGATGTAGGTAGTTTCATCTCGAAATACCAGAGGTCTCATCTGCTACGAGAGGTATCAGAATACGTTTTCTGGCTTCAACACGAATATCTGCGAAAACTTGACCACCCGCAAGACATTCTTGCTAAAGCGGGATGGTATGAGAGGCGAATGAGTTGGCTTGCCAAGCTTGTCCATACAATGGAAATGTCGGTGCAAAAGATCAAACAAGCAATGGAAGGAGTAGACCTGGAGGAAACAAGATCGGAAAAGATTGATGGAAAGGCTATTGTGGAGCAATTCTGGACTTGGATGAAGGCAAGGGAGCAGAAGTGTCACTGAATGATTAGGAAATTGTTTTAAGTAAAACAGAAGTTCTTCAAAATTGTCCGATCGAGTATCTTTAAAGTGTTCACGTGCATCTATACTCCGATGTCGTAGTTAACGAGTGGCACATAGTTTGGTTCACGCTAGCCTGTTATGATATAGCGGCGGTGATTATGGATCCACTTTTCCAACCAATCACACGCCCATCGCGAGCCCTAGCCGACTTACGTGAGCAGCACATCATGTGACGCACAACCGACCCGCATGCTGCAATATTCAAACCACGAATTCTCATCCCCGACCAACGACAACCCCATCCATACGACCCTGAAGGAGGCACCGTCAAGATGACTGTTCGCAACCACGGTGTGTACTCACAATCGCCCTGCGCCATACCCTATTCCATCGAATTCCCCCCGATTCAAAAATACTGACGGATTTGTGTGCTACAGGTATCGCCTCTTCGCGGAGCAAGTCCCGCAAGGTAATTATCGATCAACCACCGACCGACCGAAGACAATCGACTCACAATATTTACAGGCTCACTTCTCTGCGCCTTCCAGCCAGCGTCGTGTTCTGATGTCCGCTGCTCTCTCCACTGAGCTGCGCCAGGAGAAGAACGTACGTTTTCCCACCGATCCGATACACCCACGAATCCAATGAAGAAAAATAAGAAGAGGAAGAAAAAAACCACTACAATCGATCGAAATCTAACACAATCTGCCGCAACAGGTCCGCTCCATCCCCATCCGTGTCGGCGACTACGTTACCATCACCCGCGGTTCCCAGAAGGGCCGTGAGGGCAAGGTCACCTCCTCCTACCGTCTCAAGTTCGTCATCTACATTGAGAAGGTCTCCCGCGACAAGAGCAACGGCCAGAGCGTCCCCATCCCTATCGCCCCCTCCAACGTCGTCATCACCAAGCTGCACATGGACAAGGACCGCGAGGACATCCTCGCCCGCATTGCCAAGGGCCGTGAGGCCGTCCAGAACAAGTCCGCCTAAGGGATTCACGATGCATGGGGTTTAGGTCTATTTTGCAATGGCGGTAATAGCGCAAGTTTGTTTAAGGAGCCCTCGAAAAAAGAGGGTTAACCAATCATTCCGAAATCAGGCGCATTACGGTCAATGAAAAATGAAAAAATATCGTTCTTCTTCCATTCGGTGTCAATTTTTACAGAGCCATACCCATCTATCCCTCCGACTATCCTACCGACAAGGTGTTGTTTGGGTATTGTGGCTATGGTTACCTGGGTAGAAACTGTGCTCAGGGACATGCTCGATTTACTGAAGCTGGGTCGACGAAAGAGTCTGCACTTGACGTACATGCTGGTGCCTTGATATCTAGAGTAATGTAGGAACGCCATCAGTCACGTTTTCCAATTTGTACGAATCCCCGTAGGAAGTTTGGGAGACAAATAGGCTAGAGCCTTTCCAGAGGTAGCACCGTCGAACGGTGTCTCGCCATGGGCAATCGTAAAGCTGGAGCCTGAGTAGATCGATTTGCGGGGTCAGATCCTCCATTGACAGTCCTAGAGTCACTGAAGCCTCGCTTAGTCCTACTTCCAAGATACGGTTTCCGCATTAGAGAAACTAGCACTGAGAAGTCGACACTTCCCGGCAATATCAGGCTTCCATTCGCGGATGTTTTCTCTCTCCACTCACTAACCCATCGTCACTTTTTAACCATGTGGGATAATTGAGCGCTGGCTAGCTCCTTAGTCGCTTAAATGACCGGTGGACCCGGCATGGTCCAGATGTCTACTCACTGACACGATGTCAACCTGGCCCACGCTTTGGGTAGTAATACCAGTAGTTTTGTATCGAAATATCCAAATCATGTGATGAATCATGAGACAAATAGTTACTATTCATAGCAATGTTGTTTAGTGAAGGTCAATGATACTTGAGGTATTTATTTCAAACTGAGCAAGGAACAGACAAGTTACTAGTAGTAGTACTGGGTTTGACCACTGCCCAGGTGCTCGGAGGTCTTGCTAAAAATTGAGAACCTCTGAGAAAAAAATTTGGCATTCGTAACCGAAGTTACGGCGAGTCCCTTACTATTGATGCTGACATATCCTTGTGAAACCCATGTTTAGAGAGACTCAGAGGAAACCATAACTACTACTACTACTAGTAGTACTCCTTACGGACAAGCCATGGCCAAACCGTGGCCCAGAAGACCATCTCAACTTTCAATTGAAAAGGTCATATAAGAAAAGAGTGAAGTGGTCCTGAAAACACACAACTGCTAGAATAGAGTTGCCCTGTATGAAAATTTGGCATATTAGCTTTTCTATCCCAAAATTGATCTAGCTTGCCTGAAAGATTTATTCAATTTATTTAGATTGGATGGTGCCCAGTATACCCCAAATCAAAAGACTATCTCGATACAATCTAGATAGAATGAAAATGAATGCCTTAAGTGACACATTTGGTACCTTAACCTGAGGGTCGACCCCAGCCATAAACTAGGAGAGTTTTTTTTTTTGGCATTAGAAAATATGTCGCAATGCAAGAGAATCATATACCTTTCCACATAATAGCGGTCAGAGGATCGCTGGTACATCCAAATCTTGTAATTTTCTTGGCAATTGAATTTGTAATTTGGAACCGCCCAGACAAATTCTATGAATTGGGCTTCGTATACGAATGTCTCACAGCGATATACTATGGTATATGGTCGATCATCTATACGAGAAAGAAACACGAGGAACGAACAATAATCATTGGGCCGATTGGTGGTCGTCTGATCCGTTCCCAAAATGAACACGAGGGCTGCTCCGAGTGGGTGTGGCCTCGGGAGCTTACAAGGGTTAGTTAGCCTTGAGATGGTAGTATTCCGCGAACCTCGGATCTCTCGCCTGCTTCAAGGTATCTCTAAAATTTAGCGAAAACTTGAATGGCATTGAAGAAAAAATGTATTCCGATATCGCTGCAAGAGAATCAAATTCATCGCGGGCCGAAGAGACGTTTAATCAAGATCATGGGCGTATTGGTCAGCTTGATGTTATTCCAGAACTTGAAGGCGAGCTTCAGAAATTTTTCGGTTCACGTTAGTCTTTCAATTTGGGCACTTGTTCAAGGATACCATGAAAGATCTGAATTTCTGACGACCTTTCGACTCTGGCTTCTTCCCACATTTGGTATCACCTTTGGCCATATCTTCGGCGTGTTCACAGTCCAAGTGAGAATGGTTGCATATATCTTGGCAGAGTCCGAAAATGATAGCGCGATATAAGTCCGATAAAGTCTGGAAGTTTGGAACTCAGTACGCTAAGGAGCTCAACCTTCAACATGTACTTTTCCCATTGTGCGGAATCTCTGAAGAATTTTTGCCTTTAGTTGTAAATTTAGGAGTAGACTCGCATTCCTTGGCAAATAGAGAAGAAGCATCTCGCCTTTGGTAATCGGAGGCATTGCCAAGCAATCCAACCCGGTTTTGGCAGCATTGAACTGTAGTATGGACCACGATAACGCGCATGATCACCGGCCCAAAATTTGGTAGCCCCGGGAGATTGTCCTTGCAAATTTCCAGACTTTATCGGGCTTACTTCCTGCTATAATTTTCTGCTACTGAGAAAAATAGCGGAGCATAAAGGAGCCTTCCTGAGTTTGGGACAAGTTCTAATGCAATATACCTAAGCGGATTTGCGTCTTGAAGAAGCCACCCAACAAACCATCATCAGGACCCCAATTCAACTTCTAGTGGATCGAACCTGGAAAAGGATCAAATCAAAAATTACTGACTTTGAGGCCGGATTTCCAAGCTCAATCGGGGGATGCGTTCTCATCGCGATAATGGCCAACTCCCCAAACAACTAGGATGGGATTCGTGACATTCTCGATTAATGACGGGAGGGCGCCGGTTAATAATGGTCGTCGGCCGCCACTTACAGACACTTACAGACCTGTTGCTAATCATACAGCCCAGAGTCAAGCAGATGGTCTAAATTCACCACTCGACATGGGAGGAATCCGCGCCGGATGATGCATCTCAGCTTGGTGGGTAGGGGAAAGCGTAGATCACGTGACTTCTTTCAAGTTACCAACAGGGAGTATTACTCGTTGTTGACTACTAGGAGTACATACTCTAGCTATCATAGGTGATTTATTCTAGTAGCATTCAAGTTGCTATGGGCATACCTAATTCATATTTCTTAGTCCCTCGGGTATCTACCACAACATTATTAGATAATAGATTTCATGGTTAGAGGGAGCATAATTATGTATTAGCCTCTCGCGATGGAATTTTTCAGAAGTTCTGTGGCCGCCCAAAGCCCGCCTATGATGTGTATGTACCATGGCAGTTGCTTCCTGATGTCTTCCAACATCATAGTTATGAGTGACAAATATTGTCGTCATCATTGACAAATAAGTCCCTTTATATACGGCAAGTTCGGCCCATTTATGATTTTGAATATCTGTAGCTGCAAACATTGAAAATGATATCCTTTCATGATTTCCTTCCCTCTACCACACCCAGATATAGATATAAGGGTTATCGTGAATCCCTCAGGCTCTTCGAAGAGGAGCATGATAAGCTTCAGCATGAAGAAGATCCACTTGGATGCGCGTATAACCCTTATTTCATTATGGATATTGACGAGCGCTCCTTCCTGGAGTATTTTGTCAACTCAGAGGATAAATTACTGACGCTGTCTTGGGAAATTTATGATCATGTCTACCAGTCCGCGCTGTTCAAAATGGAGTCCTCAGAGCACGCCACTGCCGCCGGGGCTTTCAATACTATCTTCTCTACCTGGGCCAGGAGCGTGACCAAACCCTTTCTATCAAATACCGGCACCAGAACGGTCCGTGGTGTTACCTGTACCAAGAAAGCCGATATCTCGTGGACACCAGCGGAGGTGCCGAGTGGTCGATCGCACAAATGGCCAACTTTTGTTGGTGAGATTGCTTGGTCAGAACCTCGCTCAAAGTTGAAAGCAGATATAAAGTTTTGGCTAGAAGACCCGGAGAGTTCTGTGAATGTCGCCATAACCATCAGTGTGCTCCGCGGTCGGATTTTGATCGAGAGATGGGAAGTTTCCGATAATAAGTCTCCATCGCCGACCCAAAAGATTGAAATTATCCGCAATCCCAAGCCCGGCTGCCCCCAAGTCAGTGGCCAGTTCGAGATCGAGTTCTCCGACGTTTTTTTAAGGGAGCCCAAGCCTAAAACTAGGGAACGGAATTTCATCCTTACAATAGCGGATATGCATGAGTTAGCGGCTCATGTCTGGGAATATCAATATCAATTCCCAGCCGGCTAAAAAGTGTTGTGGGCTCCGTTTCCTGTTTTTGGAGATCAGATCGTAGGGAGTACAAGTATAGCCCTGCTTATTCTGAAACCAAGAGGAAATACGATATATCGTACTACCTAAGTACTCGTAGTATTTAAAGTAAACTTTTAAAAAACATATTTTGGGAACCTTGAATCTCACATAATGCCTTTGATCTCTGCATTGATGCAAATTGTACTCGAAATGGCCTAGCCCTAATTCCAGATGATTAAGGCGCTACCTCCGAGTGGTCGCCGAAACGGAGTCGGGCGCCTATCGGCTTTACCCGTTGAAGCCGGGAGGAAGCTCGAACTCCGAGAGGTGGATTTGTTGATGGGTCGCTTCTAGAAGGGCTAAAAGGGAGTCCCATGCGAGAAAAGCAAGTCCGAGGCACTCTAGAGTTCAATTCAAGGCAGTTCATCCAGTCAATCGAGGCAGTCCGATATCGCGGGGGGTCCTCGCAGACGCGGCTAACCCGAATAGGACTAGCGTTGACATGGAAGGGCGTGCAACATGCGATTGGCATTCCTCGGACCTCCACTCTCTTCCTCCGGTTGGCACTGCTATTGGCATGACTCCCTATGGAGTACGGAGTACTGAGTGGACATTGCATTGACTTTGACATTGACATTGATGGTCATTGAACCATGACGTCCTTCTATACGAGGATGCTCTCTTTCCGTGTGCTTCATGGCTTGAATGGGCTTACCTAGCCTTGACCCTCAGCCTCACCTGTTCGGCCCCGCCGTCCCATGACATTCTGCTATGACTGATGCCTTTATCGGCCCACGGCAGAGAAGAAGCCTTGGGACCGGCCAACTTACAAGGGCCCGATTCGATTGACGGGCCCCTCTTGGTGCCGCATGTGGTCCCAGCCCATAGGAACCCAGACTCCACTGTTGATTATTCACCCTGCCCTCTCTACCCCGGACCAAGGATACCCCCCCTCATGCAGACCGACTCTTTTCTCTGCCATCCCCCGTTCTTGTATTCCTTGTCTTCGAGGGCTGTTCAGGTGAAATTGATTATTCAGGGACAAGGAAAAGAGTAGTCACTTCTTCTCCACTATGGAGTACTTCGACTTTGAAGGTGCTTCGTCAGCCCATGAGTCAAACCATCAAAGCGACGATGTCGCCTCGGTTGATCTTGAGTTCGACGAGCCTGAAGAGCAGGAGGACAGATTCGACTCACTGCTCCATGACCAGAAAGATCTACCTCTCTCTTTTCCTATTGACCCGCCCGTCCCGGAGTCGGCCGAGCAAAATGTGGAAGCTCCTGTCGGCCCCGATCAAGACACCGGAGTCTACCCCATGTTCCGAGCCCATGAACCCTGTGACTTTTGCCGCCGCATGGGCCTTGACTGCTTTATTGCAACGAGAGGTGTGATGCAAAAAGCAGGTTGTACCTGTTGCATCTCCCTCTGGCGCGAATGCAGCTTCACACACGCCAGAGTTCCTGGCCGTTTCCTCCAAACTTTGCATCCAGTGAACGAGCACACCTACACTTCCAAAGGTGGCTTAACTGGACTTAAAGCCTTGAAGTCGGTCTCGTACAATACATTTGGCGACGACCCTGATGGTCGTTCCCGCAAGTCCAGTGCTCGATTTTCTCGCAAGGCGATCAATATCTTGAAAAGCTGGCTTCGCGAGCATAACGACAACCCTTACCCTACCGAACCCGAGAAAGATCAACTCAAGGAGAACACGGGCTTGACAAGAACCCAAATTGCCAACTGGCTTGCCAACGCTCGTCGTCGAGGCAAGGTTCCCCCAGCCGGGGCCGAGTCTACCGGTTCGGGAGCGGTCAATATTCCCGGCCAGCAGCACCCTAGGGATGTGTCTCTCATGACTCCTTTGGAACGTTGGAAATACTCTCCACCTGAGAACGAAGCGGCCACGATTAGCGATATTAACCGTGCCTTGGCCAATCCACCTTTCGATCCCGCGCGTCAACGTCAGACATCTGGTCACGTGAGGGGTCGCCCGGGGTCGAGTACCAATGACTCAAGCCACGCCAGTTCCGAACATAAAAGATATACCGCCTCGGGTAGCAGTTTGGATACTAGTCGGTCTTCCCTCTCAGACCTCTCTTTTGCATCTGCCTTTTCTCACCGGTCCTCCTTGGGCTCATTCGGCTCAATGGATCGCAAAGAACGTCGTCGTCGCCGCAAGACCTCGGCTCCTGTCAATACTTTCAACCACCAGAAGGCTCGAGCATCTCGTCCCTTTCAATGTACTTTCTGTACCGATTCATTCACGGCTAAGTACGATTGGCAACGTCATGAAAAATCAATGCATCTCATCCTGGACCAATGGACCTGCTCTCCTCACGGCGGCGTAACAGAGGAGAATGGTATACTACGTTGTGTCTTCTGCTTCATTGCAAATCCAGACAAGGATCATCTGGAGACACACAACTACATCAGCTGTCAAGAAAAGTCACCGCAAGAGAGAACTTTCTTCCGGAAGGATCATCTGAACCAACACCTCCGACTCATGCACAATGCGAAGTTTCAACGATGTATGGACAAATGGAACAGCAGTATCACCAACGTGAAATCCCGCTGTGGATTCTGCGGAACTGTTCTGCTTACCTGGAAGGATCGAGTTGATCACCTCGCTGGCCATTTTAAGAATGGAGCGAACATGGCCCAATGGCAAGGCGATTGGGGCTTTGAGCCCTGGATCCAAGAGCGCGTGGAGAATGCAATCCCTCCGTATATGATTGGCTATGAATGGCGATCTCCCAATCCTTGGACGACTGATGGCAACCCACCAGCGTTGCCTGTCCCGAACGATGCCAACTGCTATCATCGCCTGTCACGCGAACTCACGTCTTACATCCACAACCAAACAGCGCAAGGAATTGTCCCGACAGATCAGATGCTACAAGCCGAGGCTCGTCGGGTAATTTACTGCACGGACGATCCTTGGAATCAAACCTGTGCAGACAACCCTATTTGGTTGAGGGTCCTGAAGCGTGAGACGGGCCTCGAGGTCGCTGTGAACGACGAGACCATTCAGTTTGCCGACTTGGGCCTTCAGCCTCCATTCGCCGCTGTTCAAAGTGGCTTGCGAGAGCCTGCACAAGAAGCCAAACCACTGGCAACAACAGTCTTCCCGGGTGCACTTCCCAGTCCCGCGGTGTCAAGTCCTGGCATCCGAAGCCCCGCCTACCCTGGAACAGGCTTTTCATCCGCGGCGGCCAGTCGACCGGGCAGTCTCTCAGGAAGTTATGCTGGCAGTTCAGGGATGATCTCGGCTGGGGTCCCAGCCTTTGCTTCTGATTGGGGCAGCAGCATGACTGGTGGCCAAGCCTCATCCTCAGCACCCGCAGACGGGGGAGCACCTGATCCACTTGTGCAGATGGGATTCGACCCAGCTTTCCTGCAGCGCTTGAACGATAACTACAGTGAGCTCACGCCGCCTGATATGGATAGCATGAACTTGGTCGAGCCAGGTGATTATGATGACAAGGGAAAACAGCCTTGGGTGGATCCAGCATCGCAGATCCAGCCGGGTATGGTTCCTGCCTCAGATCCTATTCTAATCACCCGTTCCGAAGATGGCGGGCCTCCTGCGTCAAATGCGGCCCAGCCTGGTATGCCTGCATTTCACGATAATACTGGACACTTTTGAATGTGATGGAATATGATGCATTTCGGCTTAAGCGGAGTTGGTTAAAAGTTTATAATGTGCTGAAATGATTGGACGACGGAAAGCAAAGCAACAGTATGAATAGCTCAGATTATTAGTTTATTTTCTCTACATTGTTAGAAATCAATTGGCGTTTCTCATTTTTCCCGCATTTTTCTCATCACACTTTCTCACCTTCCTACCTCGTGGTGGGTGGCCCGATTGACAATCAAACCCCCACCAAGGCCAAGCCCAACCAAGGCGTTTCTACGCTCGGAGCCTCTCCTATTGCTTCTAATCCGACCTATGCATTCCAATGGTTGCGTACCTGATCCACCCACTACACACGTGGGGCCCCGGGATTTGAATCGAATTGGGCTGTCTTTGCCGGGCTCTGTGCCGTCCGCAGAGCTTGACTCATACCTTAGGCCACGAACTGATTAGCAAAATCGCTTTATGCAGCATTTCTTCAGACCCAAGACACCGGTTGGTGGGTTTCTTCTCGGTCGATTGCCGGAACACTTAATCTTGAAATTGAGTCAGATGTCCCAGCTGGGCATACGTAGCCGTATGATGTATCCGCAACTTGAATGCGGCTGCACTATTCGTCCTCAGCACATCACACCGACACCGCATTATGTCGCGGTCCAGGCAAGCCCTGTCTTAAAGTTCTTTCTTTCCTTTACCTACTCAGAGTATGCAAGGATCCTTGTTGTTATCACAGTGCATCAATCACTTCTTTGACTTTGCAAAAGTCTTAGCCTCGGGCTGATAGTCACTCCGAGATTTGGGCCGCGTACTTGTTCATGGATTTGCCTATTTCTATATTGGGGTTCTCTTGTCAAAAAGAGTGAGGTCTCATGCCAACGCCACGAAAATGTGGATTATGTGATTGGCTTGCTTATAGATCAATACCCATAATCCCTGTCCAATACTCAAGACACTAAAGGTGCTTTGCTTTCAAATCAACGGGCAGTCCTTGTTTCCCCGCGGTAGACTTCTTTCGGAATTCTGCGAGACAGGAACATCTGTCTTTGTCACTGACGTCAGGATAATGTGAGCCATAGACAGAACTGTAATGTATATCTACTTACTACCTCGCTTCACGCAGGTGTACAGGTACCTCAAATCTTAAGATTGAATACGAAAAGCCTCTACTATAGCCCATTTGCTAAGGTCAATAGGGCGTAGGCACGAGGACTCGCAACAAGGATACCTAGAGAGTTGTATATTCTGAACATCCAACTTGGAGCATCCGATTCTGTATAAAATGGGATGGAAAGGTGTTTCTATCTAAGGTACATTTGGTGCAACAAGCTTAATCTAAATATTTACACCACGTCTACTAAATATAAACATGATGTTCACAATCGGGGTTTTCTTGATGCTGAATTTATGCCTGGGAAATTGGGTTGAAGCAGCGACGGTCTTTTTCCCCCTTGTTTTGACTTGGCAGAACACTAGCGTTGCGGGGAATATTAGACTTGTTATTCACTCAAACTTTCAATTTCCTGGACCTGAGCTTCAAGTCAATCAGGGCGATAATGTTCAATTTGCTGTCACAAATTTGTGCCCTTTTAACGTTACTGTGCATTTCCATGGTAAGTCCTTTGGTACGAATTGAGTGGATCGATGAGCTAACGAATTATCTAAAGGAATTGAACAGCTGGGAACCCCTTGGTCTGATGGAGTCCCCGGGGTTTCACAGCGCCCAATTGTCGCAGGACAATCTTTCCTTTACCGATGGACTGCCACTGACTACGGCGCATACTTTTATCATGCTCATCATCGGGGCCAATTGGAAGATGGTCTTTACGGGCCAATTTACATCACCCCGCGGGCTAGTGAGCCCAGACCTTTCAGCCTTATAACAACAAACAATACCCAGATTCAGGGCATGCTAGCAGCTGAAAAGAACACCTCTCCCCTTTTGCTGTCTGACTGGCGTCTTTTGACTTCGGAGCAAGTTTGGGCTGCCGAAGTTGCCTCCGGAGTCGACTCTTACTGCGTCAATGCGCTGCTTATCAATGGAAAGGGTGCAGTGTCTTGTCTACCTCGAGCTCTTATAGAATCATTGATTACACCAAACGTGCAAGCTGTGTTGGGAAATGAGACTCTAACCGATATAGCGTAAGCAACCTGGCTGACAGAAACAAAGAAAACTCGAAGTTATACTGACACTATATAGCTGCTTTCCACCAAATATTACTAGTTTGCAGGGGGACTACCCTAATAACTTTGACGCTCTTCCACCGACAATGTTTAGTGGATGCACGCCCACTCAGGGGGAACAGGAAGTCATTACCGTGAATGGACAGCAATTCATCAGCTGGGATTTGACTAGTGCCTCTGGGCATCTTCAGCTCATTTTCTCGGTAGATGAGCATGATATGTGGGTATATGCTGTTGACGGCCGGTACATCAGGCCCATCCGTGCCAATGCAATTAACATTTCCAATGCGAATCGATACTCAGTTCTACTCCCTTTAAACAAGCCCCGAGGAGACTATTCGATTCGTCTAGTCAGTGGCAGTGCACAACAGATCCTTAACACCACGGGGATTCTCAGATACCAAGGCACACCTCAACTCAATAGGCCTTCCAACCCTTGGGTCTTGCTAAATGGTCTCAATGCCACTGCAAACACTGTATTTTTGAATGAGTCACTGATCATCCCATTCCCTGTCATCACTCCAGCAGCTACTGCGGATGCAACCTACAAATTGACTATTCAGCACTTCAACGCATCGTATTTGTGGACCCTCGGAAACAATAGTTACAACCTTGAATTGGAAGAGGCCCAACCTCTTCTCTTCAATCAGAATTCCATCCCAAGTGACCTAGTTATCCGCACAAAAAACAACACTTGGGTGGATTTGATAATCCAAATCGAGTCCCCACCAATCTCGCCTCCTCATCCGATTCACAAACATTCAAACAAGCACTTCATAATCGGCCAAGGAACAGGGGCCTTTAACTATACCAATGTTGCCGAGGCTATTCAGGCCATTCCCGGGTCCTTCAATCTCGTCAATCCTCAGTATAGAGATACGAGTGATACGCCCATTGCGCTTTTTGGACCTTCGTGGCTGGCTATACGATATCATGTCGTCAACCCGGGTGCTTTCTTGTTGCATTGTCATGTACAGGTTCACCAAAGCGGTGGAATGGCATTGGCCATCTTGGATGGCGTTGATAAATGGCCTACTATCCCTGCTACATATCGTCTTGATTCGGGATTCTTTTGATCGAGCTCGCAGGAGATTACATCCACCTGTGCCATCAGATGAGTAAATATAGCCAGTGAATACAGTAGGATCAGGTCAGGTGGAAACTGCAAAGGGTGCGAATAATATACTAGTAGTTAAGATCAATTCAAATATGTGATTATTTCAAACGAGTACTATTTTGTTCTATGATGCTTCCAACGCCGGAAATGCAAGATTAAGAAGACAAATCCACCAGAAAAAACAATCAATATAACTTTTAGGCCATCTCATCACCCGTGGCTCTGTCCTCGGTCACCTCTCCCTTCATAACTCTCTGAGCAAACGGACTCCGACCCCGGATCCACTCACCATATCGCATAAAGGCGAATGGAATAATTGCCAGAGACAAAGAGATAAATGCCAATAAAGAGGTTGCCCAATTGATCCCCAGTTTGCTATACATAGGGTTGGTCGCTAAGGGCAGACAAACGGCCATGGTAGATCGGATGGTGCTGGCAGCGGCTTGAGCTGAGGCCGAGTACTGCTTGTAGGCATCGGTCAAATAGTTGATCATAGCCATGAAAATAAGAATATATCCTAGACCGAAAAAAAAGTCCAGACATAATGGGGGTGATTGGGTGGATGGATGTCTTTGCCGTCCAGGCGAGCCAGAACATGGCAACAGGGAGTCTGAATATGTCAGTATCTCAAGATTAATACTTGGAAAGGTACGAAATAATTAAGGCAGACTTACAGTGGTGCACCAATGGCAGCGAGTGGAAGACGGCGATACTCCTCGACTGTTGTCCATTTCTTGCCCGCTTTATTGGCTTTGGTGTGGAACATGCCGTAGCACATGAAGATGATGAAGGCGATAACGGCACCAACCGAGACTGTTATATAATTAGCTTTGGAGATCTATATAAATATGACATGACATATTAATTTTAACTTACTTGGCAGGAAAGCAAGTCCAGCAATACCGGCCGAAAGTCCATATAAGTCTATAAATCAAGTTAGTTGCGGCTTTACTTGGGTAATTTTCGAGTCTTCTCCGCCACTCACCTTGGAAAACCAGAGGATAGGCCTGGAAGTACAGATAGAACACAGCATAGGTGAAACCCATGAAAAGAGAAGAGAAAAGGAGAATGGGCTCTTGAACAGTCATCACAAAAGGTCGTGTGAAAACAGTCAAGATTCCATCACCTTTCGGCATCGAGTTCAAGATATTGGCAGCATCGTCGTCCGAGTCACTTTCTTCTTTGACCTGCTTCTGTAATGCTCTTTTCTTGAGGACCGGGACATATGTCTCTGGGATGAACACCATCAGAGGGAAACAAACAGCACCAAGAATCAGGCCGACCCAGAAGGTCCAGCGCCACGAGACAGTGGAAATGAAGCCTGAGACGAGAGGCGCCATTTGAGGACCAAATGCAGTGACGACCATGAAAAGTGCCATGGCAGTTCCACGAGTCTGGGGACTCTCAAGGATATCTGCGTACAGCCCACCGAGAACAGCATTTGGAGAGGCTGCATTCAATCCGGTCAGAAGGCGGAATATAAGCAGCGAAGCAAAATTAGGCGAAAGTGCGCAGCCGAGCGTGAAGACAATGTAGCCAGAGAAGGTTCCAACGAGCACAGGTTTGCGGCCGACATGTTCACTCAGAGGGCCAAAAATGAGGGGACCGAGAGCAAATCCAACGAGATACAATGATGTTGGCAGAACGAGCAAAGTGCTGTCAACTGGAATGTTGAAATAAGCTGCGATTTCATCTTTCGCGCCAGAAGGAAGCGAGGAACCAAAGGCAGCATTGAAAATAAATAAAATGCCAGCGGCAACAATGTGTAGTTTCTTGCCCTGTTACAATTGATTGGTTAGTACTAGTAGTGGTTTTGCTTAGAACATCTTAGCTCCATATGTCGACATATCAACTCACCCGCGAGAAAGTAAATGGATGTTGGAAATAATTATTAGGCTGGCCCATTCCCCGTGAGGAGCCATGGCCCACAGCCACGGAGAGCTCTTTCTTCTCAGGCATAGAAGAAGCAGATAATAACTTTTTAGGTGATCGCCGGTACTATGTTGATCTTTGGGAGAAGGTTTTGATAGGAAAATCGACGAACGCTAGAGCTTTTTGACATGGAAATTGTATGACTCTTCTGACGCCACAGGAACAATTGGATAACACTGATTTTCATCAAAATTTCTTCATCGTGACCCATCACTCGCTGTTAAAGTAATGCCCCACCAAGGGCCACCACACGCCCTGTCGATGCCCCACAGCACGCCCTACTCCCCGCCCTAGTTCGGCCTTCTTCCGGGTACAGTTGGCTCGGGACTGACGGCTATTAGCGCCGACATGGTCATAGGATTATTAACCCGGATGTACATAGTTAAAAGGCAGCTTCTAGGCCAGAAACTCTATTGGGTAAAATGAATTCTATTTGCTAAGTGCATCGTTACCTGCAGATATACGGAGTATAAATGCATCATGCCGATCGCGGGGTCAAAGAGAGACCCTGAACTCAGCGAAACATTACTTTATGCGGTCAATTGTGAGTCAAAAATTCCAACTGTACACTGTCTCTTTTCGAATGCACCGGAAATGTACTACTAGTTGCTTTCGTGTATCATAAAATATAATGTATTTTTTTAAGGTTGCCACTTCGGAGCCAAGACAAATTTAGATTTTTTGGTGTATTACATAAGATCGGCGAAATCGCCGATGAACGCAAATCCCGCTTCTTTCTGAGAGAGCAGCAAGCTGCTTCAGCCCGCTAAACCCGAGGCTACCTGCCGCCCAATACCTTCAATAAGGCGAGTATGGCCGAGGAGAATCAGATTATCGATAGCTCGGATCTTGGAGGTTCGTCATCGGATCTGTTGTAATATGGGGTCCCCGCACTGACATTGATACCACAGTTTTTGACTCGGACTGGAGTTGGCTCAATAGTGATCCCTTATACTACTCCCAGACAACCCAAGGTCCCGTGGATGGAATTCCAAATGAACAAGCACACATAGAGCCTATATACTCACCCTTTGGCTATCTGAGCCCTGACGCCGGGTTTTTGGGCTCGGTATCAACATCCGATGTGAACCTGGAGGGGCCCGAGATCGGCCTGTCAACATCAGCTGGAAATAGTCCACTATCACCTCTTCACTCTGGAACTCCTAGTCCATCGATGGGATATGTAAGTCCATATATGCGACATGGAACTCCAAGGAATCTCCCGTTATCTCAACCACCGTCTGGGGTGAATACCCCGCCACGGGGTCTCCCCAGACGACGAAGTCGCTATTTCATGCCACGGTCAGCATCCAGACAGAGGAGCAATCCAATAATGATTCCAAGTGCTCCTCCAACAGAGCAGTCTCTCGACCCGATGCAGAGATGGCAGGAGTCACCGCCAGAAGACGAACCAGCCTCCATGTCCGCTATCATGGATGCAGTCAACAACGCAGTCATCCAGGATAATGCCCGGCTGTCCGATTACCCTGACACTGCCTCAGAAACGAATAGCCGTGGGTCCTTAGATGCTTTCCGTCACCATCGTGGACGCCCTTCATCGGCAAGTGGTGACAGCGGCACCAGCATCTCGTCCAAGTTCTCGGCTGCCTCGCATCGTTCTGCAGGCTCGGGAGTTTCACAGTCCGGATCCTTGAGCCATAAGTCACAATCGCGAGTAGGAAAGACACGACAGACAAAGGGACAGACCAAGGGGCAGGCAAAAGGGCAGACAAAGGCGAGTCAAGATACACGAAGAAGATTCTGCTGTACATTCTGCTGCGACCGCTTCAAGAGCAAATATGACTGGGCTCGGCATGAGAAATCGCTCCATCTGAACCTGGAAAAATGGGTCTGCACCCCATTTGGCGGCGTTGTCTTCTCACCCACTACCAACAGAACACACTGCGCATACTGTCATGCTCTTGAACCTAGTTCCGAACACCTTTCGCTACATAATCATCTCGCGTGCCAAGGCAATAATCCCGAATTTCGCCGCAAGGATCACCTCACCCAACATCTGCGCCATACACATAAACTCGAAGTCATGCCTCTGATCGATGACTGGAAAATCGCTGGACCGGCTGTATCATCACGGTGTGGATTCTGCGATACCACAATGAGCACCTGGACCGAGCGGATCGAACATTTGGCCGGACACTTCCGCGAGGGCACAACAATGAAGGAATGGCGCGGCGATCATGGGTTTGCGCCATTTATTGCTGCACAGGTTAAGAACTGGATGCCGCCATATATGATTGGATCCGAGTCGCATAGTCTGATACCATTTTCTGCGACGGATTATAATGTTCAGGATCACTTGAACCAGATTTCTGCGCGGGTACAGGGTGAAGAGACTCTCACGGAACAGACCGATCTACCTGCGCTGGATGAAATTCCTCCAAGATCACAGTTGAGTTCCTTCACGGAGGTTTTGACAAAACATCTTAGTCAGTATGCACAGCGGCAGATGAAGTTGGGGATTGTCCCGACGGATGAGATGTTCCAGCGGGAATCGAGGCGCATTGTTTATGATACCGAGGACTCGTGGAACCAGAGCATTGCAGATAATTCGGAGTGGTTGGATGCTTTCAGGAGATTGCATTGTCAGCCGATGCAGGTGATTGGGAGTCCGCAAGTGGATCAGGAGAGTGGATTGCCGTATGAGATGGCTGGTTCATCCTATGCAGCAGAATAACGGCCTGCTTAATTCATTCACTGCAAATTGCAGTTACTACAGAAACAAGATGATAAAATAATAGACAACCCTTAACTTATTAATTGGCTTTTCACACCTGTTTCAATCCGTCAAATACTAGTCTCAAGTTGCTGGTAGTAGAAGTGAAATGGGAGAGTCGAAAGTAAACAGAGACAATACTAGACAGGAAGGCGGGCTGCACCTTATACTAGCAGGACACCTCGGACATTTCTTCTTTCTCCCTTCTCTCTCTCTCTTATCCCTGAGGCCCCTCTTTACCTGGCATATTCATCTTTTCTTTCTATTCTTTCATCCAAAGTAATATCAACAGCTCCAACTCGACACTTTCCGAAGCGGCACGCCGTATCTTCCCCCCCTCCAAAACATCCCTCCAAAATGTCGACCAACAAGAAAGAATACTCGACCGAGACACCGGCAAGAACCAAGCGTAAGCTCAAATTCTATAACTCAAGAAATACCTGTCAAGAGCCTGCACCAGTGAGCAAAGCTGACGATGTCGCCGTGATCAAAAATGCAGATGGACATACCTCAAACAACGACGCCTCTGGCGCAGCCTCAGGCCAAAAAACTCTGAGATCAAAGAGTTCGAACTCACTTGATGCTCATACTGCTACCAAAACGGCAAGCCAGCAGAAGACCGGAATGAAGCGGAAGACAATGCACCCAGGCTGAGCGCAAGAGTGCCCATTCCCGGACTATATGGCATACGGGATTATCGCAACTACGGGGAAGATAATTAGAGCGATGAAGATAGTTGAACACAGTGGATAATAAAAGTTCTCGTGGGAGAGAATCGGGCATGAAATCTGCGTGGCATTGACCAGGCTGCAGAAGCAAGTTCGAAGTACGTTACTAGTACCATAGACCGAAGGATTATGATATGACATGAAAGATGAATGTCAGAGATAGCTATGGGTGGATAATTTTTTATTGCATTTGATTTAAAATAATACGTGGACGTTTTTTACTTTCATGGTTCAAGCTAATTTCATTTCATTCAAAGATAGTATAATCATCAGATGACGTAAAACAAGACGGGCTAAATGGCTAAAGAAAACAAAAGACGCCCAAATCGCGAATATCTAGTAGAAAAAGATTGTCAAAACGTTTCAACTCATATCATTCCGGTCATATCATAAATTTCAAAGTCAGATCGTGTTTCCATCTGTCCGTCTGCAACAAAAAGGAATAAGAAAAGAAAAATAAACCCTCCACCAGGGAGGAGCTTTCACGCTCCTTAATCCTGCTCGGTCTCGACTTGAGTCTCAAGGTAGGATTCCTCCTGATCTTCGGGTTGATCGAGATTGGCATCTTCCGTGGCTGCGGGAGGTGATGCAGTTTCGGAGTCTATCGATTCATCCTCCGGAACTGAGGTAGAAGATGGAGTGGGATCGTCTCCCGGAGAGTCCGATGGTGCTGATTCGGATGGAGGGGACTCCGGACTGGTAGAAGCTTCTTCAACCTCAGATGTTAAGGTAGATGAGATATCGTCTTCGACGGCAGATCCTTCTTCAGCCTCTGCAGGTGCCACTGTTTCTGAAGAAATAGGCTCAGACTCGACCGGGGTTTCATTTGCATTAACGAGGGAGGGAGCTGCAACTTCCTCTACCTGCGATGAAAGTGAGGCTTCGGCAGAGGCGATAATCGATTCAGACGCCGATACCGAGGCAGCAGGTACTGAAGTAAAATCGGCCCGCTCAGAGAAACTGGAAGAAGTAGCCGAGAGTACCGGACTCTCAACCATCACACCTGGTGCATTGTCAAAGGCAACGTTGTTCGACGGGGATGTGTGCAGAATCGATTGAGGCAGTTCTGGGCGGGCACCGATGGCGAGAAATACCACCAGTATACTCATCAAGACAAGTGCAATGTTTCGCCTGTCACCGGCCAAAACGCGGAAGTAGTTGATAAGTAGAGTCTGCAGAGCGATTTGAGGCTGTTTCGTGTCCTCCTGAGGCCCATCGGCCTTCCTAGATTGCGCTTGAGGCTGTGATGCGTGTTCATCGGACTGGGCGTTCACGGGCAGGGTCACTGGCACATGTTTAGCCGGCGGACTAGCCTGGAAAGATCTGGGATCACTTCCAGTCCTCGAATGGCTCTGAATAGACAACCGTCTGGGATCGATATCACCCTGCGTCTGGTCGTATATCGAAGAAGATCCAAACTCTTCCTTCAGAACGGCCTGCTCTTCAGTAAGTCTCTTCTCCAACGACCTCCGCACATCAGACGGTAACCAAAGTCCAACCTCAACATCGACCTTCTCCATCTCCTTCCAAGCCGCCGCCCAAGCACCCGCACGCATAAGCCCATTCGCCGCAAAAACACGAATCTCCCACTTGCGGTTACTGTCACTATGCTTCTGCACTCGACCCCCACAATCAGGACATTCATCCCCTTGCTCCCCATCCGTCTCACTCTCCTCCCGATCAGAGTAATAGTCGTCATAATCCTCCCTCTCAGATCCATCTCCATCTCCATCCCCATCATCCCCATCATCACCACCATGATGTCTCTCCTCCTTCCCCAAGAAATGCCCCTGATGAAGCCGCGCCCGCTGTAACTCAAGACTCTCCAACAATCGCTCCTCAAGCATATCATACAAATCCTCCGGATGCGAAATCAAAACTCCCCAATCCCGCGTAACTCCAGACCCAACCTTCTCCTGTAACCGACGCCACCGCTTCCAATACTCCACCGGCAAGATCTCCTCAACAATACCCTGATTCTGCGGCAAAGACGCACCAGTCACAGGCAGCGACGGCGCAAGTAAATTACAATGCAGCAGAACGAGCGGATACTCCTTCTTCGGCTTCGGCTGAACTTTCGCCGCGGCCGTGGGTGAGTAGTATGGTGATCGCTTTATCGGAGATGATCCCGGTGATCGTAGACCACCTCGTCGGCGCGGTGGAGTAAGATACTCGTCGTCATCGGCTTCGTCTTCTGTGTGCATTTGCATAGCGCGGACGGAACTTGGTTTTCGGAAGGCTCCTTCACGCTGGCGGATTGTGCGGATGTTGTGCATGTTCATGGTTCTTTGAGGTGGGTGGTCGTCGAAGCCGCCGAAGCGGGCTTCGTCGTCTTCTTCGAGGGTGTATGCTGCGACCATCTTCTCATGTGGATTCATGGAGCGCATTGAGGGGAGTTTTTCCAGTGGGTGGATTAGGACTGAGGCTGGGATTGAGGAGAAGGAGGAGCGGCTTGATGCTCTTGATTTCAGTTGGGAGAGGTCTAGTTCGTTGTCGGCCATGTCTTGGCTGAAGATGTCGCTGGTTGAGTTTCTGGTTGAGGGGGATGAGGATGAGGGGTAGTTGTAGTCTCGTGACATTTCACCGTCGTCTGTGAGATTGTCTGAGGGGTTGTGGAGGTTGTGGTGGTGGGATGTCTCATATGAGGATAGTAGATGATGCTCCTTGGTGGGAGGGGCGCAGGGTTGTGGACTTAGGATTTGGTCGGATGGGTGGCGATGGCCCTCCGGGATGAAATGACTCTCATCATTGAGTCGGGCCATTGGGTTAACATATGTTAAGTAGTAGTATTCGTATCTCGAGGAGAGAAATTGTGAGGCTGGTGTGATCTTCACCGACCTGTTGATCAATGTTGACGTGGCTCACCGCTTTGGTTGTGCCGGGCAACCGTTGCCTCGAGCATTGACACTATAAGACAGTAGAAACTACTCCGTAGATCGAGCAGGTATTAATTAAATTAAATTAAATTTTTATTTGAAACGTGGTTTGAACTGGGGAAGTGCCGTGAGTGTTCAAGTTGTTGACTCCGAGCTCGTTACCCGTTGAATTGCTTGATCTTATCACTCGGCTTGTCTAACGGCTCCGGGGCTCACTAGATGGGATATCCGGTGGACACCCGGTCCACTCACTCCACATTCAAAGCTATCTCCGTATCATAAATATTCAAGATCATCATGGTGTCATTATTCAAACAGGATCAAACGTACAAGCACTCGCTCACACATACTAACAGGCCAGATAAAGAGGTCCGATCCAAAGACCCAAGGCCGATCTATAAAAAGCACGTAAACAAAGTCCCCACCGACGCCATCCAATCAGAGATCAGACCCAAAGATAAAAAGTCCAAAGTCATCGCTGAACACCAATGCAAAAGTCCGTTCAATAAATACATATGTACTAGAAGGGGAAAGAAAAGCCCAAGAGAGGGCGAAAAAAAAATAAGAAGACTCGTTATGGTGGAGGTGGAGGGTGAGGCGTGCTGTCATCAGGACTCATGAGCGGAAAACTGTGGTTTTCACCGAAAAAGCTGAGCACATCTTGCGGGAGGTATTCGAGCCAGGGAATGATTTCCCCGTTCGAAAAGGGGAATGCTTCTTGTTGTTGGAGGGTATTCATGTCTACATCATGACTTTCGATCATCATGCCCCCAGTACCGGCGTTTAGTGGACCCATGTGCGCATGGCTGTGGTGCTCTGGCGCTGCAGAAGTGACCCCATAGCCGTAGGCTGGTCCACCTTCCATCTGAGTAGATGGGAGATTGGGAGCGTATCCTCCGGGGGCGGCTGCGCGAGAGGTTGCTTCTGGGAAGGGAGAGTTCATGCCCATAAAGTAGGGCGGGCTGGCACCGACCGTCCGAGGAACTGTAGTGTACTTGGGATTATTCGAGGCCAATGAGGGTGCAGCTGCCTCGCCGTGAGTATGAGGCGGGGCAATGGCCGAGAAAGACGATGCTGCTCCCTGTGCAGAATTTGGTTGCACTGGGAGAGTCGGATAGCTGTGACTGTACTGGGACGGATGGGTGGTTTTGCTGACGGGAGGGGGAGGTTCGTGTTGGGCCGTAGGCATTTGGTACAACAAGCTGAGATTAGGCTGTGAAGAGTTGGTGGCTCCTGCGAGTGCCCATCCAATGGCTAGAACGAGAATGTTAGTTGCAAGGCTCCAACAATTGTAACTATAGGAGCGCACCTTGGCTAGGATCAATCTTTGGAGACCACTTTCCATCTGATGAAATGTCAGCCACTCCGGGCGTTCTCTCTGCATCAGAACTTTGATCCGTCGGCCTCTGGCCCTGCCAGCCTCCTGGTGTAAATGCCTGATTTGGTGTATTTTCCGTAGTATTCTCCATGTCCTCAGCGGTGTAGAGAAGGGGGTCGACAATTCCTTTGGCCTTCTGATCGAGCACAGTCAAGATGTACCTCGTTCCCTCCCAGTACGAATCCAGTGCTTTCAAAGCCTTATAGCAACGCTGGTAGTTCTCCCGGGCGGCTGAGGCCAGTAGGATATGCTTGGCAGTCGACTTTCGCTCTGATCCACTCGAGGACTCCATTGTTGGCATCACGAAGCCACTCGATTCGTTGGCCAACAGGGCTTGTTGCGGTGGGTGCGAAGTCGAACTTGAAGAAGGCATGGAATAATATGCACTTTCCATGAGAAATGCGCAGGCGGCGATGTACATAGGCTGACTAGTAAAAGGGTTACCGATAAAGCTTTTCCCGTCCACGAGTTCGGAAAAGGAGAGTATGTCAGCGATTGTCTTGGCCGAGGACATGGATAGCTCGCGACTATTGGGATAAAGATGTTGTATTGTTCCACCGAACGAGTTGAGAAGCGTGGGCTGGTGCAGAAGGACGATCAGAGTGTGGAACCAGAAATGGAGGAGAATGAAGTTAGTCCCCTCCTTGGCCTTCACATAAGCTTGAAAGTTTGCTGCGTTGAAGTAGAGCTTCGGGGAGAGTCGTTGGTAGATCCCAGTCAAATCACTCTCCATCCCGGCGAGTTGTTTGAGTGTATCTGGGGTAACGTGATTCACGTCCTGGATGCCGTTGATGAGATCGGTCACACGCCCGTAGAGATGGATTATTCGTATCAAGGGTGGGAAAGGCGCGGGCCATCCGTTTGGTAGTTGAGACTCGGATTGAAGAGGAAAGCAGAGCTCGATTTCTTCATCTCGCAAGGTGACCGGTCGTCCCGTACCCGACGAGATGACGCGATCCAAGAAGAAGATACTCCAGAAAGAATCTACCTGTTCTCGCTCTCTGGCCCGTTCTGAATCAGACGCAGGAGGCGGACCCTTCGGGCTCTGATAGACGTCGAAGTCGTCATACTGGTCCTCTCTCAACTTCCCGGCTTGTCCAGTCATGACTTCCTTCGGCGTGACACCTTTCCGGCCGTAATTGTGTTTCAAGCCTTGATGCTTTTGCAAGCCAAGATCCTGGGCCATGCGAATCGAAATACCCAGATACATCCAGAGACCACTGTCATGATTGGATCCGAATTGCTCATAGGCCAGCAGCAAACATGCTTGGACGGCGGAGAGAGTCGGGCATGACAAAACGTCCACTAGGGCACTGCTTGCCCGCTGAGCAAAAGGTAGCCCTCGATCCCAGAGATTGACATCAGCAGGCGGCTGAGAATGATCGATTGGAGGTGCCTGGGGTGGAGCCAAAAGCGGGTGTGGAGAGAATCTGGCCGACAAGGCGCATACTGCATCCACCAGCATCGTATCCACCTTCTTCTCATTTAGATCTTGAAGAAAGCGATCACGTTGAAGGAAAGGAAAGCTGCAGCCCAGATGAACAAAGAATAGTTCGCTAAGATGAGACACTAATTTGGAAACGGGTAGGGTATCGTCACGGTCGTAAAATGGAATCGTACTGGCATCGCGATTGTAGCGGTTGTCTGCCGGAGGTGGAATTCGAGCGGGAGTATCTGAAGGTTTAGGGCTTCTCAGTGGAGAGAGCGACTCTGCGACACAAATAAAGAGAGGGTGAGTTGATGTGGCTTTGAGGAGCGGGTCACGGTATTGTACTCACCCGATGATATAGATGGGTTGCTTTTGCGCGATCCACGGACTTGAACAACCTTGGAACCAGTTAGATATTGTGTGCGTCGATGACTCCGAAAGCGGCCAACCATTTGTTTGAAGCCCGGGACAATGGCAGTTGGGCCGAAGTATCGAAAATACGGGACATGGGTGCGACTATTGGAGCTCATGGAGGTGCGACCTGAACAGCGAATCAAGCTTAGTATGATGATTGCAGCAAGGCTCGGCATAACTGTTTACAACTTGCCAGGACCTTCTGAACTTACTGCTCTCCGGACTGTCAAACGCCAGCTGCGAGTCCGCTTCTTTATTTGTACGTGCCGAGGTATCTCTGGAAGACGCATCTTTGGAGTCGGAGCGTTTCGACGCTTGCGGGGACTTTTCGAGTTTGCTATATCGTACGGGGGCATGCGAGGACTCTGGCGAACAGCTCTCCACAGCGCGAGAGCTCTGTTGACCGGGGTCATTGCCGTTGCCGTTCACGATGGAGGAGATCGGCGGGGCCCGCGACGCGGAATCGGAGTGTGATCGCAAGTTGGCGGTCGACTCGCTGTAGCCCAGACAAACGTGTTTATAGTCGGAACAAGTCTTGCAGACTGCAGGAGCATGCGGGTTAGCAAGTGAAGGGGTATGACGTCGAATGTCGGGGATGCGCGCGATGTACCTGGTTGCTCGCCGGAACAGCGAATTTTGCGTCGGCGACAGGTCAAACATCTAAAGGCGACAGGGATCCGTTAGCATTATTCTCGGTATTGCTAGCCCCTTCTTGCGCAAGTTTGGGGCGGATATGCGCCAGACGTACGCGGCGTTGACTCGGCGGCGTTTGCTTTGGGGCTGGCCATCTGTGGCGACGAAACGGATCTGCCTAGGGCCAGAGGAGCTGCCGCTATTTTTCTTTTTTGGAGATGGAGGGCTCATGACGAGCAACAGTGATTATCCGTGGTCACGACCCATTGGGGCCCGGTTGTAGAGAGGCGGGCGAGGTTGAAATGGCGGGATAGGGCGATTCGACGGAAGCTCAGAGCTAGGCGGATGTAGGGTCGAGGAAGCGATAGGGGAGGTTATGGGAGAGGAGGATCGACTCTGGAAGGAACCACTTCATGAGGAACAGTGTGGGGGTTACCAGGGCGCAGACAAATGGAGTACTTGACGATGTTTCGGAGGAGTTGAGGGGGGAAGAGAGAAAGAGACTGGGGGAGGGGGTGGTCCTAGAGCCCAATAGGAAGGGATAACAATGAGGGAGGAGGAAGGGAGCTTGACCGCCCATGTAAAAAGGACTCGGAAGATATCTAGGGGAGAATTCAAGGAGGGAAGGGAAGGAGAAAAGAAAAGAGAGAGAAAAACGAAGGAATGGAGGAGGAATCGGGACAACGCAATGATTTGTGATTTCACGATCTGTGATGGTCATGGGATCGGTGGGGCGTACTACTATTATATGTGGGATATCATACACTCAGGATATTGTCCCTAGGTGTAATAATAATTATAGTTATAGTATATTAAAAGAGTATACTAGTCTTGAGTGACTAGTACAATAATAAAGAGATACTACTAGTAGTGATAGTATACTCCGTTAGTATACCAACCAACTAGTTATCAGGGCTATATCTATGTTCTACTCCAGACTTTCTCCAACTCCAACTCCTCCACAATGCGGGACAGAGACATCATCCACCACCACTGCCACATCCCACAAAAAATCTCTGACTTCCATGGACCTGGTTCAACCAGATCCACTTGCTCACTCCTCTTTTTTCTTTCCTTTTTTTTTCCTTTTACCGGTATATTAGCCGTGACTTGTCGGGCGAGAAGTACGATACACAAAGGTCCCCCGATCACACCGACATCCTAGATTTATACAACTCACAGTACATATTATGTATACTAGTACAACAGACCTCTGACGTCTTTTACCCGACGAGCTGAAACAGATCGGCTCCGCTTCAACGGTGGGAGGCCGAATTAGCGAGATCCGTCAGGCACCCCGTCTCCATCTCCGTGCCTGTGCCTGTCTGGTCCCTGTCCCTGTCCTCGGCCCGAATGCCGGCTTTGGTGCCACGCACTATGGCCACGCACTATACCGCAGGTATCTCACGGGAAACACTGCGCTGGTGCGTCCCTTGATAGGATAAAGTGCGTGTCTTTATATAGATAGCTCCAACGCGATAAGCTTGACCCGATCTTCCCAAGGTTAAGCTTGCACCCTTTGGGAAAGCTCCCTCCATTGATTTTCATACAACCATATACCTAGCACACCATACAGGATAGAGCCTTTATAACTAGAGTTCAACTTTGCTCTCCTCTTCATGCCTCGTCTGCCTCTCCGCCTATCTCAATTTCTTGTACAACCACCGTGAGTCTCACCGTTTCAGTGGCGAGATCGCGCCATCCATCGTGCTGCCTGCGGGGCACAGCAACACGTTAAGAGGGGCGAACAACTAATAGGTACATGTACATCCCTAGTCACCGTCACTCTGCATCCTTCTTCCTTCCAACCCGTCGATCTCTCAGCCACACGTCCACCATGTTCAAAGCCCGTCCCGACTTTGACCAGCTCCAGGCATCCCGCCCAGACTTCAATCACAGCGCCCAAGTCACCTTCACCAAGCCTCCCAACCCAACCTGGAAGGAAGGCGACGGCGCCAATGATGGCGGCGAGAGTCTGAAGAAAGACCATGTCGAGATCGACCCCAATGAAGACGGTCGCCCCGTCGCTTCCAACTACAAGCTTCTCATCTCCGGCATGGTGCCGAGGCCCATCGCCCTGATCAGCACAAAGTCCCTCGACGGCAAAACAACCAACCTCGCCCCCTTCAGCTACTCCCAAGTCATCAATCACGATCCCCCGCTCTTTGTCGTGGGCTTTGTCGGATCCCTCGAAAAAGCCAAGGATACACTGAAGAATCTCAACGAAACAGGCGAGTGCGTCATCAACATTATCTCCGAGCACTTCGTCGAAGCCGCCAATGCAACGGCCATCAACGCACCCTACGGTGTATCCGAGTGGGAAACCTCCGGTTTGACTCAGGCCCCGACATCCGTTGTGAAACCCGCTCGCGTGAAGGAATCGATTCTCTCTGTCGAGGCGAAACTGGTCGAGACCAAGGAGTTTGAGAGCCGTTCCGTGCCCGGGAAGAAGTCTAGTGTCTTGGCGATCGTTGAGGGCGTGCGCTTCTGGGCGCGCGAGGATGCTATCGATGAGGATAAGAGTCTCATTGATTTGGAGGTGCTGAAGCCTATTAGTCGGTTGGGTGGGATCTCGTATGGTCGTACTACAGATGCGATTGAGATCCCCAGGCCTCAGTTTTGAGCAAACACCCCAGCGCTGCAAATATGATTATGAGGATTGTACATAGAACAACCACAATGACCGATTGAAAGAAAATACATTCTGTTCCAATTCAATGCTTTCTATTCAAAATAGGGGGAATTAGGCATGCTTATTGGACGGGGTAGAGGTGTATACTTCGAACCGATTCTTGCTAATCGAGACTCCTAGTACTAGTATGTTGGATGCTTTCTACTAGTAGTATTTTTTCATACAAAAAAGACACCCGCCCCTGAGACATGCTTTGCACTAAACTACGATGCTGCAAGTCATGCTACTAGTAGTATATCTAGCAGCTTCCCCTCCAGGGCCTCATGTGGTAGTACGAGACTCGGAGGGTCGGTGCAACCGACGCAAAGCGCCCCGCGTGCGGAGAGGCGGGGTCGCTGCTATCAACGGAAACTATAAATACATCCATCGGGTGATACCGAACCCCCATTCACCTAAGACTTTGATAAATTCCACGAAAACATGCCCGGAGAAGATTACGAAACCTTCAAGCTTGGAGACTGGGAGCTCCAGAGTGGAGAAAAGATCTCGGATGCTCACATCGCATACAAAACCTTTGGTGATCCCAAATCTCCAGCAATCATCTATCCCAGCTGGTTCTCTGGCAGTACGTTTGATCCAATCCTGGATACTGATAGGCTGGTTTAAGCTAATAATTCTTAACTTCAGTGATCTCCGATAATTTCTGGCTCATAGGAGAAGATAAAACCCTCAACCCAGACAAATTCTACATCATCGTCCCCGCACTCTTCGGAAATGGACAATCGTCTTCACCTTCAAACCAACCCACTCCTGCACCCTTCCCTAAATGCTCTTTCTACGATAATGTGCGTGCCCAGCATGAACTCGTCACTAAACACCTAGGTATCACCCATGCACGGGCCGTGATCGGATGGTCCATGGGCGCTGCGCAGACTTTCCAGTGGGCAACTCAGTATCCCGAGTTTATGGACATTGCGGTGCCATTTTGTGGATCGGCGAAGACATCCTTGCACAATCAAGTCTTTTTGGAAGGTGTTAAGAGTGCCCTGATTGCTGTGAAGGATACGAGGTCTGCTGGTTCTGGCGCGATTGGTGTGAAGGAAGGACAGCCGGATGTTCGGGTTTGGTCTGCTCGTGAGAAGGATGTTGGTCTTAAGGCACTGGGTAGGGTATATGCTGGCTGGTAAGATCATCAAATTAGTCGTGCATATTAATAGTACTTTTTAAAGAAGATTTTGCTAACAGTATGGCTTGATGAATAGGGGATTCAGTCAGGCATTCTACAGACACAAGCTGTACGAGACTGTTCTCGGGTACAAGGGACTCGAGGACTTTATGCAAAATTTCTGGGAGAAGTGGGCTTGCTCGAAAGGTGAGTAATCAATAGAGTCTATCGGTGGCTCGCTCGCCGGACCTAAACTAATTGGATAGATCCTGAAAACCTGCTCGTCATGATTCAGACCTGGCAGAATGGCGATGTCTCTAAACAAGACCCATATAATGGGGACTTTGAGAAGGCCTTGGCATCGATCAAAGCAAAGACCTTGGTTTTGCCTGCCAAGACGGATTTATATTTCCCGTAAGATGAGGTCGAGAATGTCTTCTTCTAAGCTATAGTTACTGATCAAGTGGGTGTATAGACCGGAGGATTCGGAGTATGAAGTTGCTTCCATGAAGCCAGGTATTGGAAAGCTGGATGTCTTTCCTTCGATTTGGGGTCGTGAGTACCTTGTTTTATCCCTTTTATCTGACTTTGCTTTTTTTTTCTAACATTGAAGTGCAGATTGGGCAGGAGGGCCTGGGGATAGCAAAGAAGATGTCGAATGGTTGGACAGACAGTTGGCAGGATTCTTTGCTGAGAATAAACCAGATCGTGTTACTGGGCTAGCACAGAAGCTGGCTGAGGCACTGTAGCTTTGTGAGATGCGGCATGGATAACGATAGTCAATCTATTACAATACAGTATGACCCAATCCTCAGTAGCCGAGGCATCGAAAGCTCCGTCAGTATCGATTTCTATGAAGTAAATTACGGATATATGTTATTGAGGACGTTCAATGTTGCAGGCGTGGGGATTGACGTAACAGGTAAGATTTTCCGAGTTTTGGTTTCAACTTCCTACTCAATCCGGACCTTCCATGCATCGTACTCGTCAAATTGAAGGCAAATTACCTCGCAATATTCCATATCCATGCCCCAAGGCTCCGGGATATCATAATCGGAGCACCGGAGACAGCGAACCGCGTATTTATTTCCCGGATATTCGACCGCCAAGCGTGGGGAAGAGAAACTGTTTCCGTGCGGACGCCCAGATTGATCGATGAAAGCTAAAATGAATTGGGTTGTCAGTTATCCTCGTATCCTTCGAGCTATATAAGCCCAGTAAGTTGCATCCTAGGATGATGTTATTGAACTGAGACACCATCACGGCACCACTGGTTTGACATTCCACGACTCGGAAGTCGCAACAAAATGACCACGTCGAGCTCATCCCTTTCTGATGTGACTGGAATTATTGCAGTGATTACTGGTGGTGGCAGTGGTAAGTGGTGACATATGGGGGATTCTGAATTTGGGACAAATCTGTGAAGCTGACCAACCGAATTAGGCCTGGGACTTTTCATGACACGGGCACTGGCAGCGAACGGCGCGAAAAGGGTCTATATCCTCGGAAGACGAAAGAATGTCTTAGAGAAGGCAGTAGCAGACATCGTGCGTATTCACACTCGCGATTTGCTAAGTTCTTTACATGTCCAGGCTTAACAAAAATTAGGGAACCCAAAATATAACTCCCGTCCAATGTGATATTACAGATCAAGATGCGTTGAAATCAGCAGTTTCTTTCATCGAAAAGGACGCTGGATACATCAATCTACTTGTTTCCAACTCGGGTATTTCTGGACCATCTCTGAAAATGTGCCGGCTGGATCTAGTATTGCGCAGCTCCAGGACACGCTGTATAACATCCTGATGAGCGAATTCACAAACACCTTTCACGTCAACTGTACTGCGGTGTTTTATACAACCATCGCATTCCTCGCCCTTCTCGATGCTGGAAACAAAGACCAGACCTATCAGAACGGTAGAAGCCAAGTCATTGCTACTAGCAGTATCGGAAGCTTCAAGCGCAAGATCACTGCCGGGTTTGCTTATGGAGTAAGCAAGGAGGCTACAACCATGATGATGAAGGTTTTAGCAACCTACCTGGTACCCTACAGAATTAGGACAAATGTATTATGCCCAGGCTGTAAGTCCAGGATTCATGTCATTCGTATGCCGAAGTAAGAGACCAAGAACACTGATACTAGGCATTTCCAGTGTTTCCGACAGACCTCACCACGAATCTTATCCACGGCACAGATCCTACTGTAGAGGGCTCTTTTCCACTCGATCAAATCCCAGCCGAGCGAGCAGGAACACCAGAAGATATAAGGGGACCTTTACTGTATTTGGTATCTCGAGCCGGAGCTTATTGCAATGGGAACTGTGTTCTAACAGATGGAGGACGTTTGAGCGTGACACCGGCTACCTATTAGATTGCCTGGGTTGATAGGGGGAATATATGGAGACTTTCCCCAGAAGTAGACAATAATGATTTCGAGAGCCTATGATACAGGAGTATTGAAAGTGGTGAACCCAGAACTTGTTAGGTAAATCAGGCAGTCAGGCAATATATGATCATGTGATCCCCGACTTAGCGCCCGCATGGAAGCGCCGCGTATAATCGTTCGTCGCCGAATCACCAACACCAACCAACTCCTTGACTTGCCACTCTTTTCTCGTCGCATTGCAACCCTCGGTTTCTTTTGTTTCTATTTCCCCTATCTTCACCATTTCCCTCTTACTTCGGTGCTCTTCACTTCACGCGATCGTGACGTCGCTTAGTTTCTGCCGTTATCTAATCCCTATCTTCGTCGCAAAGCTACCAGCCACCATCTTTGAGCAACTCCGCCCTTCCTTCAAACGATCATAATGGCCACACCTCCCGCTCGACAGTGGGGTGTTACCCCTCCCATTTCGACCATTCTTCCCACCCAGGACGAGTTGGCCGCTAACGATGATCTCATCGCTGAACTGAAAGCACAGAACAACTTCGAATTACCCTCAGAGACGGAACGAAGGTGCGTGACTGAGATCGAAGAGATGGACACGGGGGAAGCCTCGGAGCAATGCGCTGACAATGAGAGTATAGAAAGCAAATTCTTCAGCTTCTCCAGCGCGTCGCGCTCGAGTTCGTCAAGGGCGTCAGTCGAAAGAAAGGGCTTTCCCAGGCTGCCGTAGAGGCCGCGGGAGGTAAAGTCTTTGCCTATGGAAGTTATCGGCTTGGTGTTTATGGCCCAGGTAAGTTCACTCGGCCCCTTTCGCCAAAAGAAAGTGATCGCTAACCACGCTTGATCATAGGATCGGATATCGATACCCTAGTCGTCGGCCCGAAGCACGTCGTTCGAGACGATTTCTTTTCCGACTTCCCTCCAGTTCTCGAACAGATCGCGCCTAAAGGGTCCATCGAGAAAATGACCCCGGTCCCCGATGCCTTCGTTCCTATCATCAAGCTAGAGATATCTGGCATCAGTATTGATCTGATTTTCGCACGCCTGGTCGTCTCCTCCGTGCCAATGAACCTAGATCTCAAGAACAATGACTACCTCAGAGGCCTGGATGAGTTTGAGGTACGATCGCTGAATGGAACGCGTGTCACTGATGAAATCTTGGAACTTGTTCCCCAGCAAAAGACCTTCCGTCTTGCTTTACGCGCGATTAAGCTCTGGGCTCAACGTATGTGGAATTTTCTCTTACTTACAGCTGGTCAATATCTAATGCCTTCTTTGAATAGGCCGCGCAATCTACTCAAATATCGTTGGTTTCCCCGGAGGTGTTGCATGGGCAATGCTCGTGGCCCGAGTCTGCCAGCTGTACCCTCAAGCGACCGGCTCTGTCATTGTTGGAAAGTTCTTCAGAATCATGAACAAGTGGGCATGGCCACAACCAGTTTTACTGAAGCAGATTGAAGATGGTCCTTTGCAGATGAAAGTTTGGAATCCAAAAGTAGGAATGCCCTTGCTTCCCCTTCGTGTGCTACTCATACTGACCGAAACGCTCAGATTTATCACGGCGACCGATTCCACCTGATGCCCATTATCACCCCTGCCTACCCTTCGATGTGCGCAACACATAATATCTCCATGTCAACAAAGGCTGTCATTCTGCGCGAGCTTGCAAGGGGTGGCGATATTGTGGACAAGATCTTTACCAAGCAAAATTCATGGAACGACTTGTTCACTCGGCATTCCTTCTTCACCCAAGCCTATAAGTATTACTTGAACATCACAGCCACCAGTAAGACAAAGGAAGCGGAAGCGGTCTGGTCTGGTCTTGTTGAATCTAAGCTACGTCACCTTGTTGGCGCTCTTGACCGCAAAGCAATCATTGCCGTTGCACATCCGTTCCCTAAGGGATTCGAAAGAACTCATCTCGTTTCAAGCCCACAGGAGATGGAAGCTGTCAAAAATGGATCTACTCAATACCAGGCTAAAGGAACCACGACTGAGACCACTGATGAGACCAAAGATGCCGCCCACCAAGCTGCGGCGGAGAATGGAGCTGAAAATGCCCAAGCGCCAGCCCCCGCAGAGCAAAAGCCTGAGACCGAACCCCAGAATGTTTACACAACTAGCTATTATATCGGTCTAGAGCTTAATCAGCTTGAACCAGGTATGATTCCACCATCATCCTTCCATATTATCAAATACTAATCGTCATAGGTGCTCCGCGCTCCCTGGATATTTCGGCAGATGCTAATATCTTCAAATCGACTTGCACCTCGTGGTCTGGCTACTTGCAGGATATCCACGAATTGTCGATCACCCATGTTCGCAGGTATGTATTCAACCCTGTATTAAGTCGCTTTTCACTCTGACCGTTTCTAGCTTCGAGTTACCCGATGATGTGTTCCAGCCTGGCGAAGTCCGGCCCTCCCGACCAGTGAAAACGAAGAAGAAGGTTGTCAAGAAGAGTGCCGAGGCTGCCGGTCAGAAGCGCAACATCAACGAGCTGGACGTAAGTCAACGGAAAAGAGCGAGGAGGACCTGACTCGGCAAGCCACCGATACTCGAACTCGCCCGCCCATATCCTACGCATGGATATGCACGATACCAGCGGCCAGAATTACTAACTTTTGACTCACCATAGGATTCGGCTCAAAGCGCAGCGAAGCGTCAAGTTACTTCGAATGTCGCCGCCCCCGCTTGAATAAAAGTCACAACCTGATCCCACTCTCTCACGTCGGGGCTGGTCCCCATCCAAAATTGAAACAGGAACCTCGGTCTGCGCATATGCGTAAGCAGTAGGTTCCTAGTTTGTAATATATCGAAATCGCCTGTGAATCCGAACACTAAAATCCTCCCATTCAACGGCTACCGCCGCAATGAGCAACCCACGGAGCACAAGGTTGGTTTCTTTCTTTCTTTCTTCCACTTACCCTTTCTATGATGCCATTGCAGGGCCGGCGATTAGAATAGAGGCTCGCCTTCCTCGGGAACAAAAATTCCGAGCGCATCGATCCGCCCTGATTCCCACATCTGCAAATTTGGGTTTCTTTCTGTTGTCACATTATCAACACCGAAGTAGTCTGCTCTTCTCGGTGCGTTAACTTGAGCCGTATGGCGCGTCTCGTTCGGTTATCTTCCACATAGCTTAGCTAGGGTAGTCCAATCGAAGATATTCTTCTCGTACGCATGATCTTAGCAAATAGTACTAGTATTTACTTTGAACCCATAAAGTTCAAGTTGATAATTGATTGCTATATGAGCAACCACCGACACGGATACATGAAATAAAAATTATCGTTTTTGCTTCGCCTCATGCAATGTCCTTTACCATATAGTACGGGGCTCCAAGACGATTGAAGATCCTGAACTCACCCGGCTTAACGTACATGGTCTTGGTTTCAGCTAGGTATTCATTATAGTACTCCTTTGTCATTTGTTGCTGTACAGGTTAGTACACGCTAGGCTTCCATCAATTTTCTGCAGCTTACTCACAGTTTCAAACCACTCGGTCGATGCAGCCCTAAAGAAACAATAAGCACCATAATTGAGGGGAAGAAAGTGGCTCTTCCTTACCAGTTTTCAACCCAACGAACGGTACCTGGCTCAGTAGGTGACTGGTACACTTCAAAGAAGCGACATTCGGGCTCGGCTATCACGGCTTCATAGACAGGTTTGAAGAGTTCGAAGAATCGGGGGAGATTGGCGGGATCAATGTGCACGGTAACGTGAAGACTGAGTCCAGGAGTAGAAGCCATTCTGGAGTGATAATTTAGAGACTACTACCACTATCGAGGGTTTGAATGAGCACCTTATATGGTCTTCAGCTCTGGTCAAATTTGGGGGCCAATTGAAGGGACAGTCGGATATTCTTGCGAAATAAATTTCAAATAGAGCGGACTCGGAAACTTAACTGCAGCACTAGCTGGTTCATAATGCTACTAGCACCTGCAAAGATGAGCTGTAGCTCTTAATTCATGTGGACTCTGCATGACTTGTATCACGAAGCGGCGAATTAAAAGGCTCGATTTTAAGCCATACATATTGGGATCTGATACCTCATGTCGCACAGAGACTTAGTAAAGTACACACCGCTATACCTACTAGTACTTTTTGAGCCTCAGCTAGTCTTTTACTCTACAAATATCCTCGCAAGCGTCTCTCTCTGTCAGTAGATACTAACATAACTATGATCCATGTCTATCTTGAAAAGCTCTGCCAATCTCGTATTAAATTGCTTGCACGGCCAGAGGTTGATATGGCTCTTCTAAATAGGCCACCTCGTCGTCTGTCAAATTTACCTCTAGTGCCTCAAGTGCTGCTTCGATTCGGTGAATGCTGTTCAGTCCTACGATGGGACAAGCACCTTTCCTAAGCAGCCATGCCATCGCAACCGAACTCATTGTGCAATTCTTGCGGGTGGCTAAATCCCCCACTCGATTGACGATGACTTCATTCTGATTTCCCACAAACCACTGCTTGGTTTTCTGATCTTGTTCTGCTCGCGATGACTTCTCCTCCCAGGGACGCGCCAAGAGGCCACGCGCCAACGGACTCCAGGGAATCAGCCCAACGCCGTCCGCTTCACAAAATGGATTCATTTCACGCTCCTCTTCACGATAAAGCAGATTATACAGTCCTTGCATACTAACGAAAGGAGTCCAGTTATTCATTTTCGCAGTATATTGCAGTCGTGCAAATTCCCAACAGTGCATACTCGACGCCCCCAAGTAACGGACCTTGCCCATCTGAACAAGATCATGAAGTGCCCGCATTATCTCTTCCGGAGAAGTCTCGCGATCCAGCCGATGTAGTTGTAAGACATCGATATAATCCGTGTTCAATCGACGAAGGGAGCCTTCCACAGCATCAAAGATATGTTTGCGACTTAAACCCATCTGATTCACGAGAGGGCCGTCATTGAGAGCAGGATTCGGTCGCGAGTCAGGATTATCTTCGAGAACGGGGTAGTAGAGTTTGGTCATGATAACCACCCTACTGCGTGAAATAGAGTATTTCGCCAGGGCCTTTCCGATGATTGTTTCGGAATTCCCGTTGGAATATGTATTGGCCGTGTCGAAGGTGTTAATTCCCAAGTCATAGGCTCGTTTGAGGAGTGGGAGAGACTCTTCTTCACCGAGAATCCAAGGAGATCCCTCCCAATTCGGATTGCCATAGCTCATGCAGCCGAGGATTATGCGAGACACTTTGAGCCCGCTATTGCCCAGTCGTTGGTATTGCATTTTCGGATACCGGGTGGTATTCACGGTGCCTTGAGCGTTGGAATCGGTGTCTGATAGCTGTCTATGCATTTTTTCTTCGTGCATTTTTCTATTTTAATTGGCTGAAAAGGAAGCCGCTGATCTGGATACCTGGTGCCTTTATGTTTTGCTACCGGTTGCGAACCGGCGAGTTGCTCGGGGATCTCTCCGTATCCATTGCCGAAAATTCCGCCAGCATGGCATGAAGTTTTAAATCTTGATTATGAATTAAAGGATTGAATTATACAGAGTAAATTTATCTTCCGTCATATTTAAACTATTTGGACTCATGGAATTTCCGAATAATCTGGTTACTATTTAGCCGGTGCCGTTTGACAGCATGCTGGGGAAGGTAAATTCTCCAAAATCCGCAAATAAAAAGTCGTCTACAGGTGCAGTCAGGGTATCTTCTACAAATGAGAACGGCTCTGCTGGAGGACCCATCTGAGCATGATCATTTTGTGTCTGGTAATCGATCGCACCGGCACCAACGGCTAGCGTGGAGATGGTCTGTTGCCCATCCCTTTGTAGCATTCCAACACACTCGCGCAACTTTCGCGTCAATCCTGGTGTCATTCGGCATATTGGATGCTGCTGAATGGAAGGCGTCGCTTCAAAAAGCTCCAATACTCTCCGGATCAACTCGAAGTCTTGATCAGGCGAGATTGACAGCTGAACGTGATAGTTTCTCGTAACTTCCAGCAAGAAGTGACCCGCAAACGCAATCATTATGTGAAAGTAATGTGGCATTCCAACAAGACTGTGCTGAAGGTTGTGCTCGTGGAGAATCATCTCGAAAATTGCAACTGCAGCTCCATGTGCCATGCCCGCTGCGTTGACGAAGTGAGATGGGATGACTTCTCCGTTGAGCCCTTTGAACACCTGGTGACCTAGATATAGTTTACCAAAATGATAATGCAGCTGTAAGCCGCATTTTGGGAAATCTCCGATATAAGGATCAGGCTTGAACAAGGCCGAGAACTTGGTGAACCATCGATCGAGTTGGCGGGAATAGTGAATGATCTGATTTGATAGTGATTGTGGAACACGAGACTCTTGATCAGAGCCTAGCAGATCACGGACCTGACTCATTATAACCAAAAGAGCCACTTGGGATATGATTCGGACGTCTGAGTCTGTGGTATCCTCTCTGGCTAGGAATGTTTCCCAGCCAAGAGCGATCTCTTTGTCATTGCGTAGCAGGGGATCGCGGTTGTGCAAAATGGAAAGGTGTTGATCCGTGATGAAGATGAGATACCACAATCTGACGCGGTCCTTGAGCGCATCTATCTCGAGTGGTGAGGTAGGAGCATTTTCCGTTGACAAGAGTCGCGGGTCTATTGGTTTCGTGAGACGGTCAAAGCCACGATGAAGGCGCATGTCTGCTGCACGTCTAATGGCATCACTGGCCAAGATTCTCGATGCGTCGGAAAGCCAGAATGAACTTATACACAAAGCTCGCACATATTCCAAGTCATGCTTTTCGAATATTGACCTAGATACCAAGCGGCGAAACTCGCGATTGCAGGCTTCGTAGGTCTTCTGGCCATTGGGATCCTGGAGTGATGAAACCGTGCATATCGCAGCAAATAGCACCGGTGATGCGATTCTGATTTGCTGGAGGCTGTGATAGCCACTGCAGATCCCGTATAGATACGGATCAAGTCGAGTGAAGTACCGATCTACGAGTTCCTCTGCCACTTCCGGTGTGATGATTCCTTTACCAATGAGGTCTTGATTCATTGGATTTTGTTTGTGGCGCGTTGTACTCCCCGGGGTATTGTCGGAAGATCCAGGGCTTCCAAGTTTAGCAATGTCTAAAAATGTGTCGATGGGGGCTTGAACTGCGGAAGGTGTGTCTGGTGGTGATATTTCACATCCATCAAGGTCTTCGTGGTCCCCATCTAGCTCGTCACTTTGGGAAACCTTGACCTCTTCCTGGGCAGATTCCTCGGTTGTGAGCAGAGGCCTTGGCCGCGGGAGGCTGAGATGCTGACAGATGTTATCAAGAACCTCGTGAATTCCTTGGATATCATTTTGCAATTGCTCGGTATTTCTATCGCCTGTGTCAGTTTCATATCAGGAAAGGGTTATTTGAGTATCAAGGACCCACTTGACCTCCTCTACTAAGGATTGCAAGCTCTTGTTTAACACGCAAGAGAGACCGCGTCGACGACATCGCGTGCAAGGTGGACCATTTGTCATATCACATTTAATCTGGAGTGTTGTCAGAGCCTAGCCAATGGAGCATAACACAATCCTGCTCCTACCTTCTGTTTCCTACACGCTCCACAGGCAGTGATCTTCCGGGTAATCCCCGGCAGAACATCCAATACGCTGGCATCTTTCCCTTCACTAGTGTGAGGCTGAGAACTCGACTCCGGTAAGGCCTCCGAAGCATCATCGGTCAAAGTCCGCTTTCTTTTAGCCATAACTTGACAAGATGGGGCCGCAAGGATATTTGAGACGTTCGATGTGACGGAAACCAGGACGATAGGGCTCCGGAGAGTACCCCGAGGGGGTTTATCTAGGCTTGAGGGGGAAACGAGTAGCCCCGACATGACGAAATACGACCGTGCGATTCGTCGATATCGTCCAGAGCTAATTCTTTGGGCATGACCTCGTACTCAGCAGATCTGGCATTGATCAGCCCATCCCCCGGAGGTTTCTCCACAGCCCAGGGTTCATTGGTGCAATCTCCCCGCACCGATGGAGAAGAATCCGGGGCGGAGATGTCGGACTGTCTCCGTGAGGGAGGAATGCCGGCAGGCAGCTCGAAGCGAAGGTATAAGGCAGGGATGGAGGGGTAACTGAGATGAATTTGGGTTTACGATATCTCTACGAGACAAGCTCAGCAGCATGACATCCACCATCGCGAATAAGGCCAAGGTTATACCACGTGGGATTTACGTTCCAGTGGTCTCACTATACAAGCCCACCAAACGACAGGAAGTCGACTACGATGCATCCTACAAGTTATTTTGCCATCTAATCCGTGGGGGGCTTGAATGGGCTGGTACTCGCAGGAACCAATGCGGAAGCCGTTTTGCTGTCTGCCGAAGAGCGCAAGGAATTGGTTAAAATTGCGCGCAAAGCTGCAGTGGATCTTGGACGTCCAAATTTCCCCATCGTCGCTGGGATCAGTGGACAGTCAACGAATGAATCAATTCGCCTTGCTGAGGACGCGTTGAGTGCAGGCGCTGATTTTGGCTTATTATTACCACCGAATTATTGGGCAAAGGCCGTGACTAAAGATGCTTTGCTCGGATTCTACCGCGATGTTGCGGATGAGACTACTCTCCCGATCGTTATTTACAGCGTGAGTAATTTGAGCCAACACCGCGTCGAGAAAATAAAACTGAAACTTTCTAGTTCCCAGCTATGTGCAATGGCGTCGACATGAACTCCGATACTCTCTCCGAGCTTGCACAACATCCGAATATTGTTGGCGTCAAGTTGACATGTGGTAATGCCGGGAAGGTGACAAGACTCACTCAGGAATATAAGCACGAGCAATTCGCGGTATATGCTGGTTCTTCCGATTGGTTACTGCCTTGCTTGATAGGAAGCGGTAGTGGATGCGTGACTGGAATTGCCAACGTGTTTCCGAAATCCGTTTCCAGACTCTATGCTTTGTGGAATGATGGCAAGATCAAAGAAGCCCAAGAGCTTCAGGGCTTGGTGGCACAGGCTGAAAAAGCCTGTAAAGAAGGGATTGCACCCACAAAGTATGCTGTTGGACACTTCGCTGGTTCGGCTGCTGGCATTGCCGATCCAAAGACATTTTGGCCGCGTAAGCCCTATCTTCCTGTAGATGGAGTGAAGGCAGCCTGGGTGGAAAAGGTCATGCAACACTTGGTTCAAATTGAGCAGAGCTTACCCGATGCTGTATAAAGTTCAATCGCGAAGATAGATTCACCAAATATTAGACATGCATATCGAATTAATAGCTATCTCCTTCGTAAAACTGGCACATGTGAATTCCCTGTCTAGTTTTACCACTTACGGGCTTAGAGGTCTCGTACGTGATTTTGTAACCACCTTTTCCACATAAAAGACCCAACGTCAGATCTTCTACATTTTTTCGATCAAATTCCCTCTCCCTGTCACATCTGTCTTACACCATGTCACCACCTCCTTGCGAGTGGGTAGGGCAGGACCCACCATTAGAATGGGGGCCAAGACAAGACTTTTACTGCTATTCTGGGAACCCATTCCCACTTCTTACCTGCCAACTCATTCTAAATTTCAAATCTCATTTCGACATCCAATATTGCAATGAGCTCCTCTCAATCGACCAAGGCTGTTGGACGACTACCGGTAGAGCTGTGGGAATTGATCTTGCTACAACTAGATCTCCCAACGCTTCTCACATCTGCCACACGAGTCTGCCATGCTTGGGCTGCCTTGATTCAAGAGTCTACTGTGCTACAACAATTTCTATTTTTTGCGCCAGAGAGCGATGTCCAGAGAGTTGATAAAACTCACAATTTGCTTCTAGTGGATGCTTTCTCCTCCCTTTTCCCCAAACATGAGACAGATGAGGACTATTTTCAATGCAAGTTCACACTAGCCTCTTGGAACCTAGCCAAATATCCTGAAAAGCAAATAGCATATCTGCGGCCTAATGCAAGTTGGCGTCGTATGTTAGTGCAACAGCCGCCAGTATATAGAATTGGCCTCATGATCGAGAGTTTTGGTCATCATATTAATTTTGTCAAATATTATGAGATTCCGGTAAGTGAGGAATTGCAGAACTCTTGCCTAGTGAGCAATATTAAATGTTACTTTATATGACAGGGTGACTCGAGCAGAACAAAGAACGGTATCCGCATGGAGGACGTTTTTGAAGAAATATTTATCAATCCAGATCTTCGTTTCGAAGACCCGCAAGCCAATTGGCGGGGCTGCTTCTCACCCATAATGTCCCAAAAACTCGAGACGCTTCAGAAATTGCTACACCGCAACCTAGATGTTGGCCTTGTGCTTCAAACAACGACTGTGGATCCCGAATTCGGCGATATGGACGAGGAGGACGGGGGGAACATGGAGGAGAAAAAGAATTTCGAACTTGGGAGCAAAATATACGAGATGATCGAGACTAAATATCAGAAGCAAGGCTGTAAGCCCAAAACCACAGAAAATGGTTGGTGGACTAAGCTCGAAGGGTCCTCTAATTGGGACTGAGAAATTTCGAAACTCAAATATCCTTGCCCTGTTCTCGAGATGGCGAGCTATGCACATATCTTCCCGTTATTATCAAAAGGCGTCATAGTAGCAATTCAAGTCTTTATGATGTGCTTGAGGTGGTCAGTTTTTGTTATTGAAATATAAATCAAACAGAATTGTATGGAGAGCACTGTTCGTCAATTTGGACATGACCGTGCTAAATCAAATTTGAAAACAATATCTATGAGAAGAAATCTTCCGCTAGTCTAGTATACTTGATTCGCTGCCTCCAGAATGTGAAGGCAATATGAATCGTCCCATCGCGCTCAATTAAGATACTTGGATACGACAGCTCGCGGTTGAGTTTCTTTTCGCTGTTATTTGTTAGGCAATAACCATCTCCTTCCTCAAGTGTCTTCCATTTCCAAGAGTTCCCGTTATCATCACTCCAAGCCACGTTCAATGGGGCTCTCGGAGCACCCCAGAAGGCTTCTTTTCCATGCTTGTTTGCTTGGTTGGCGCGAGTATCTGTGCCATCGCTTATATCGTCGTATAGGCCATCCCGGCGTCCGATAGCATCCTTTTTTGAGGAGTGATTATAGACTAGTACAACACGACCTGAGGGTAGAACATCGAAGCAAATGCCTGCGTTGGGGTTTGGCAAGATTGTCGGCTGCGGTTCACTCCAGTCAACCCCGTCTGGTGAAGTCGACAGGTAGACGTTATCTGCCCACCGACTTCGGAATAGCCCAAGATAGCTTCCATTCTTCAACTGTTGGATATTCATATGCACACATCCGTAGCTGCTTGGTATCTCCTTTTCGGTCCACGTAATTCCTTCGTCTTTCGAGATCCGAATACAAGAAATATCATCGCTTCCCAGCCATCGTTCCCCTGGCTCTGCGCGGCATTTGAAAATGGGGACCACCCAAGCACCACCCTTCAGAACAACAAAGGGCTGTCGAATAAAAGTACCTTCATCTCCAAACAAAATCGTTGGATCGGACCAAGTAGCTCCGTTATCTTTTGATAACAATTGCTTCACAATTGCGGAATCCTGATTTCCCGCATCTTGCGATGTGTAAAGCAATCTGATCTCACCCGTGGAGGGAACGCGGAAGAGGACGGGATTTTGCTCGCTGCGGGTATGATCGTGTGTCATTTTGACGGCACCTGTCCATGTATTTTGTCCAGATGGAATACGAGACATATAGATGCATATATCAGGTCGGCCTTCAATGCTTCCCCCGAACCAGACACAAAGCAGGTCGCCATTTGGTAGAAGGAGAAGGTTGGAGGCGTGGCATTGCTGGGTGAGAGCGGGAATATAGGCTTCGGAGTATTTGAAATCTCTTTGAGAAGTGGATTGAAGCTTTGAAATGAATTCTGGTGCTTCTATAATTGTCGTGGTAGACATTTTGAGAGGATGACCGTTTGGGTTTCGTATCACAATATGAGAATAGTGGGCAAGCTCGTAGTGTTCAAGAGCGATTGGATTTAAAAGAATTGTCTTATCGATAACAGGTCCGCCTTTTCTTCTGGTAAGGATGGATGACAAGTGGCTGAATGAGTCGCTTCTCAAGAACATCGGCTTGGTCACCGGTGTTGCCTTCGTAGTGCCAGAGGACGGAAGAAAAGCCGACTTCAGGCGAGGTGCTCCGTTTCCCCACTTCCCCACGGGGTCTGCACAGGAAAGCTAATCGCATTTAGCTTTATTTTCTACGGACAGTGGATGCTGACTTGCATCCTTTATTTCACCACAGGGAAGCCTGTTTATTATATATTTGTCCCCGGGGCCATTCAGTTATGAATTATTTCTAATCGAACGGGATCATCGAAATACTGATTCATAACCCTACAATCTAACAGAGAGAAATAATGGCTGGTGGAACCAGTATCTGGGTCAGCAGCGAGGCCAAAACTGATCCGAGAGCTATCTTCAATCTTCGCCTTCTCTATTTGCTCGTTGCTGTGTCATGGGGTGGCTCTTTTTACGGTTTCGATACTGGGAATATTGGGGGAATCCTTACTCTTCCATCATTCAAAAATGCATTCGGCCTTAACGATGTTTCCCAAGTAGAGCAAGACAATCGTAAGGTTTGTTTTTCAAGTCCAGAAAGCTTTGTATTAACTCTAACCTTTGCAAGGGAACAATCGCATCCATGCTCGCAGCTGGTGGCTCGGTCGGGGCCTTGCTAGCAGCGCCCACATCCGATTATTTTGGCCGTAAATGGTCCGTGTTCAGCTGGGGATTGGTTTTTGTCGTGGGCGCTGCGATGCAGATGATTGCAGACTATGATGTCCTTCTGGCCGGTCGTTTCATTGCTGGTATGGGTGTTGGCGCGTCATCAATGCTCACTCCTCAATTCCTCGCCGAGAATTCCCCCAAATCTGTCCGCGGGTCGATGACAGCGACATATAACCTGATGATCGTGACATCACTGATGCTGGCCTTTTGGGTGAACTATGGAGTCTCCAAGTGGTCCTTTCCGGGCGTTGAGTTTGACGACACCCAGTGGCGTGTCTCAATGGGTATCCAAATTATCCCTGGTGCCCTTCTGTGCTTGATGATTCCATTTGTACCGGAAACCCCGCGGTGGTTGATCAACCATGGAAAGTCTGAGCAGGGCCTCAAGAATATCTGCCAGCTCAGAAAGTTGCCAGCGGAGCATGAGTACGTGCAGACTGAATATCGCGAGATTGAAGCGCAGGTAAGGCAAGAGCAGGAATCCTATGCAGGACACAACTATTGGGTTGTCGTAAAGGATATCTTCACGTCCAGAAGCAACTTTCAGCGTTTCTTCCTGGCTGTCATGCTTTTCTTGTTCCATAAGTTTACGGGAACAGACTCTCTGAACGTGAGTGGATTTTATTAGGCTGATATTCCATGAATTTATTAACAGGCTAATAGTACTACGCCCCCGAAATATTTGCCTTGATCGGTGTCAGTTCTGGCTCGTCTAGCCTGCTTACAACTGGTATATACGGCGTTGTCAAGACGGTGACAACTATATTTTATGTGTGCTTCTTGGTTGACCGAGTTGGTCGTCGTCTTCCCCTTCTTGTAGGTGCCACAATGCAAGCTACTGCAATGCTATATCTCGCTCTATACCTGCGATTTGCAGGAACCAATACAGACAATGTGGGAGGAACACCAGCGGGGGGAATCGTGGGCATTATATGGATTTATATCTACGCATTTGGATGGTCGTTTGGACACTCAGTCGCATGCTACGTTGTTGCGGCAGAGATATTCCCTACCAGAATTGTAAGTTTGTGGGAATTTTCCCAATCTGACCGAGCAAGCCTAACAAAATTCTAGCGATCATTTTGCATGGCTATTTGTTTCTTCATTAACTGGATCGTGGACTATGGCATAACCAGAGCGACCCCAAATATGATTACTGAAATGGGCTGGGGGGTGTTTCTGCTCTATGCGATGCTGACATACCTTGGGGTGATTTTTATCTACTTCTGCCTCCCTGAGATGAAGGGCCGCTCGATCGAGAGTATGGACAATCTCTTCGAAAGACCGCTGTGGCTGATGTGGCGACATGCCTATCCCACTGAGGAAGAAAAGATTCGATCTGATGTTCGTGAGAACATTGTTGCTGGGAAACTGGACAATGATGATGAGAGGCAAAAAGATCGTGCAGAGCATGTAGAAAATGCCTAAAGGGTCTGGACTGAAGGATGGGAACCGGTAGCTTAGCTTTACCAGAAACAAACTAGCAGGTCCCAATAATTTCCGAAATGATTTGATGAATATTATTATTGAATCTAAATGGCGATCGGGGTAGCCCCGGGTTGGTAAAAAGAGGGGTAGTTGGCCTGGAGTTCTCTACGGGGTTCTCTCCGACTCTTCGTAACGCGTTTTATACCAACTCGCATTGTTCTTCTGTGACTAAAATATCCAAATATTATAACAAGAAAGCATTCAGCTATCTTGTGAATCATTCTCATTGAACTCACTTTAGCAAAATGGCTGACACATTGGAACACAAAACTTTTACCCTTAACACCGGTGCCAAAATCCCCGCAATTGGATTTGGTACTTGGAAAGCTGGGCCTGGAGAAGCCGCTGCTGCCGTTAAATCAGCATTTGACGTGGGGTATAGACATTTTGTAATTCCTCAACATGCTCCTTATTTGTTTGCTGCCTCTGCTAACATGTTGAATAGGATTGTGCTCCCCTTTGTATGTTAGCCTCAAATTTCAGTTGGAACACAAGACTAACATTTTATTATAGATGGAAACGAAGCTGAGATTGGACAAGTATTTGAAACCACTCAAGTGCCACGAAATGAATATTTTGTGACTACCAAACTGTACACCTCTCGAGCTCCACAAGAAGACGTGAATTCAACTAATCTTATCATTTTTCTAGTTGGTCATCCGACCATCGTCGAATTGTCCCCGCCCTTCAAAAATCACTTGACGATTTGCGCCTCGATTACGTTGATCTGTATCTCATGCATTGGCCTGTTACTCTGCCCACTTCATCCCCGGAGACATATGGAAAGGAGGATCGTACGGCCCACGACCCCGACTGGGACTTTAGGGACACTTGGCGTGAGATGGAAAAGCTCTTGCAGACAGGCAAAGTACGCGCCATAGGCGTCGCAAACTTTTCAACCGTCAACCTGGAAAATCTGCTGAAGAGCTGCACTGTCGTGCCCGCGGTCAACCAAACCGAGATTCAGCCTTTACTCCCTCAAAAGAAACTCAATGCCCTTTGCATAAAGCATGGTATTCACCAGACAGCATTTGGGCCCCTGGGAGGAAGTGGGAGCACTTTGCATGAGGACCCTATTATTAACGCCATAGCGCAAAAGAGGGGCTGCAGCTCGGGCAACGTGTTGTTGAGTTGGGGAGTGAAGAAGGGTTGGAGTGTCATTCCAAAGAGCACCAATCCTTCGAGAATTGCCAGAAACCTTCAGCAATGTTTCGTTATGGATGACAACGAAACAGTCAAGATTGACGAGCTTGTTACTTCCCTGGGAGGCAAGAGATTCAATCGGCCAAACTGGGGAACAACAATTTTTCACGACGATACCGATGCAAATGTAAAATAATTCGACATGATTACTAGGAATATACACTATATGACAAGTCAATGGCTGCTCCTTCATGATTGATTGATGATCACAAACTTTAATAGCCCAGTTTTGCTTGATGATAACTGTCCTTTCAACAGAGACATTCTTACTTGACGGGCGTTGCGCCGATGGAAAAAAAGAAGATACGATGGTTGGCTTAAAATTCAGGGGTTCAGTTAAGGATTGCATAAATGGAAGCAACTTGAAGTTGATCAAACTTTGGGCGATGTTTGAAGGTCTACCGATCCAAACTGCTCCTCATCGACGACGCTCTAATTAGACCCGCCTGTGCCTGGCCAATCACAATTGCCTAGCTTCATTCCTCCCTCATAGGAGTGTTGATCGCCGTCTCGATACATAATCTGATTACAAATGCAGAAACGATGTATTTGCCTTCCGAGGAGAGCCGAATACCCCGCGACGCTGGGCCACTTTAAGTATCAAGGTCTAACCACGATGGCAATTTCATCTACAATTTCTGTTCTGAATGTCGCACAATATCCTTGTCACCGGCGCATCCGGATACCTCGGAGGAACATTACTCGCTCGATGGGCCAGCGCCAAGCTCCCTGCATACCAGAGGCTCTTCGCTCTCGTGCGCACGGACGAGCAAAGCGAGGCAGTCAAGCAATATGGCGCAGAACCAATCAGATTCAATATTAAAGATAAATCCAGCGTCACTACCACCATCATCGAAAACAAAATCTCCATCATCTACTTTCTGATTGATGCTACTGCCTCTGAAACTCAAGTGCAGATGATCAAAGCTCTGGCAGAAGTGAAGAAACAAACTGGACAGGATGTACACTTTCTCCATACATCTGGCGCAAAGCTATTCAGTAGCCATGCGGGTCTTCCGACGAATTCTCCGATCCCCGATAATGATCCAGCGCTCTATTACCTCTCGAAAACTACCTATGCTCGGTACTCATTCGTTGAAAACGCAGTGAGAGCCAACAATACAATCATCGAAACTGCATTGGAGTATGATGTGAAGAGCTACATATTTGTGCCATGCGTTGTATATGGCGAGGGCGAGGGATTTGGAAATAAAACTTCCATTCAAACGGTCGCTATAGTGAATGCGGCCAAAAAGCTTCGACGAGTTTGCCGACCCGACCCAGACAATTATGTAAGCTTCACTATTTCCTTTTCACATCCATTCAGTTACTGATAATTCAAGACCTGGCCTGTGAGCCATGTTAGTGACAACGCTGGCTTATACCTGGAAATCATTCGGAACATCTTGTCTGGTAAGGAAATAGACCATGGCATAAATGGGTACTATCTTGCCTCTAGTGGCAGCGTGTCTTGGAACAGTCTTTACACCGCCATGGCCAAGCGCCTTGCTGCACAGAATATTATCGATGATGACAAGGTTGAGCTAGCTGATAGCCAAGCCTTGGAAAGCATGGGAGCGGCGCTTGGATGCCCCAAGGACATGGTTTCATTGTTTCTGGGTGGAAAATGCACATTGCAAGCCAAGCATGGACGGGAGATTGGATGGACTCCTAGATATTCAGCGGAGCATATTCTGGAAATGGCGGGTGCAGAAGTTGATTTGATCCTTCAAAACCCATGAAATGGCTTCTATGCGTATGGACAGTCGCGAGAAAAAGACAAAGCAACTGTATGGATTCTTCTCAATTGGTCTAGATGTTTACGAGATGAAAATAGTCTCTCTCTCTCATGCAAGCTGCGATATTGGTACTTTCGACCACCAGAATTCCGTCTCCTCGCTTGCCCATTCATCTTTCACGAATTTAGCTGGAGGGGCAATAGGTCCTCCAATCAGCTCCTCATTTCCTTCCCCAAAAATCAGAATCCGAGTATTGTCTGGCACATATGGCTCCCACCTAGGGCGGTCCCCATAGCGGCCAGAGATGGCATTCGGATCCCCTTTCGTGATGAAGCTGGTGACATAGGCGTGGTAAGTTCCAGATAGCTCTTTTTGAGATTCAGATATCCCGGTAATAGAGTTATTGTATGTCTCGTAATACATGTTGTCACCATGATTCGCACGGCCGACCACTGTTCTTGGAAGTGCCCAGTTGTATAGGTACGCCGGTACCCCCTGGGAAGCAGCAAAATATGCTGTTTGTCGCACGGGCGCCACATAAGCATAGTGACCATATGCAGCTTCAATTCGCTTGTATTGTGGACCAAGGCCATGACCCTCTCTTGCTTCCAGATATGGCGAGCTAGAGCTCACACTAGGGTCAGGGTATAGGCGGTCGATGGTATCAAGATCATCCTTGGATAACTCAGGAAGTAGATCCTGCCAGAAACTCCGGAATTGTCCCGGGGTGGACATTTTTTGGTCCACATACATTGTTCCTTCGTTGCTGTTGAAGCCTGTCATTATGGGAACCTTGTTCCAGAGAAGAGAATTCCATGCGTCTAGCGGCTTGCGTGGAATGATATTTTCATCAATCACAGGTTGAAATGCCCATCTGAGAGATGGGTTGTATTTATCGAAAACCTTTGTTTGCGCGTTTGTAACAGTTGAGCTAGGCAATGAGCGTAGAAACGGGAAGATCTCAGACTCAGAGATGTCTGATGGACAACCAACTTCTTGGAGGTAATCTTGAAACTGTTGCTCATGGACTTTGGCATCATAGGGACGCACTGCCCGGGATGTGGGCGATCCAGATTCTAGAATCACGCGATGGAATAATGGCGAGGCTTGGGCATCATATTTGAGCAAATGGTGTCCAATCTGACCTTTTGTTAGCAATCATGATCCTCGACCAGAGGAATTGATCTCACCGAATGCGCTCCAGCAGATAGGCCGAAAAGAGTGACGTTCCCAGGATCGCCGCCAAATTGCTCGATGTTTTCCTGCACCCACTCGAATAGGTGAACTTGATCACGAAGACCAAGATTCAGAACGCCCTCTTTCTTGGACAAGGCCGATGGTAAAAAGCCCAATGCTCCGATACGATAACCGAAGCTAACACCGATGAATGGCTCTTCAGACCATGCCACCATCGATCCAGTGTCGTGCATCGCAGCAGCACCTCGATTGAAGGCGCCTCCATGGATATAGATAGCAACAGGCAGTCTGTCATTTTGGCCAGTCCCGGTCGGTCGGAAAATGTTAGCAGTCAGGCAATCTTCACTCTGCTCTAGCTTTGGTCCACCAGCAAGTAATGCTTTGCCGGGGGCTGCTGGTCCAAATCTGGTGGCGTCAATGCTTTGCGTCGAGGCGGGAACTCTGTCGGCGGGCTTGAATCGCCTTTCGCCGACAGGAGGGAGAGCATAGGGCACGCCTAGGAACGCCTCAACAGATTGAGGGGCTGCCTCCTCACGAATGGTTCCAATCACCTTGCCTTGGGTAAGGGTGACGGTAGGATGATCAGATGAGCCGCTCGTCATGATTCGCTTCGTCTGTGTTTAGCGTGGTGTTTGATCTGTCACAGGGGCAGGCGCAGGAGTCAGACAGATATAGGGATGTGCGCTTTTCTCTCCGGGAGATAGAAGTAGCTCCGTGCGGGGGAGATAGAACCCGTCTTGGGAAGGGGAAAGGGAAGTGGAGACATGATTTATCACCGATGGCGTGAAGATAGGAGGAGTCATGACAGTTGATTCCTTTATCTTGTGGGGCCACCTACGACAAAGTCGATAGCGAGCCGGGTCAGACCAGGAAATTTTATCTCTTTTCGCGGGCTGACAATCAGATACAGAGCAATTGGGATTTGGCTCTATATTGCCCCAAACATTGGAGTCATAATCAAGTCGTCGACCACCCTACAAATAAAACCCACCCGATCGATAGTCAAGATTTCCTCATTGATATGGGAGTCCTTGATGCCCATGTGGATTCGGAGCGGGGAAGAAGAGTTAAACCAAACTATATTTCAATTGACGTTGGTCTTTGCAAGAACAACTTGAACAACTCTGGCTGAATAGCCATGTGGCCCATGGTGCAGTTTCCGGCTCTAGAGTTCCAATTAGAATTTTCCCTCGTATTTACAGCTTAAGGCATAGATATATGTTATTTCGGAAATCCTTGGCCACTACTATCAAATCGGTTGATCTCGGCGAGAATCCGAAGACACTCACTACTCCGCATTCATGGTTTGAGCTAAAAGTTGGGGCTGTTCTGGGCGAAGATAACGCGCGAATGGCCAGCTTCGCTTTAAAAGAGCCATTGGGGCAGACTTATCTTGTACCCCTTCCCCTTTTCTGCGTGAGGTATATGCTTTTACTAACTTTGAATCCTCCATAATGGCTGAAATTTCAAAAAAGCCTGTCCTTGATGAGGAATCTCCTGAAAACTTGAAGGATGTACAAGCCGGCACGGTCACCGATCTTGACGAGGGAGAGTTGTTTCTTCATGAGCATGGATTCTCCCAAGAGACTCTCCAAGAAATGCTTGAAGATGAGCCACGGAATAAAGCCTTAGTCCGCAGAGTCGATCTCATTCTTTTACCACTTCTTGCTGGTACCTATACACTACAGTACATCGACAAGTCAGCGCTAGCCTACTCGGCGGTATTCGACCTCCTGACATCGACGAATATGTCCAGTAATGAGTACAGCTGGTTAGCTAGTATCTTTTACTTCGCATATCTTGTTGCCGAATACCCTTGGAATCTTCTCGCCCAGAGGACAAGGCTGGGAAAAGTTGTGTCGGGCAATATTGTGGCATGGGGCTCGATGCTTATGATCACCGCTGCTTGCTCCTCTTTCACCGGCATGGCAATCTGCCGCTTTCTTCTCGGCATTTTCGAGGCCCCTATCACACCGTGCTTTATGATGATTGTTGGCATGTGGTATACGCGTGCCCAACAGCCATTCCGTGCTGGCGTCTTCTATAGTTGCAACGGGGTGGGCGCCATGATTGGTAGCCTCTTGACTTTCGGAATTGGACAGATCAAAACCATTGCAGTGTGGAGAGCTATATACCTCATTCTCGGCGGAATCACAATATGCTGGGGCGTCCTGATGTTATTCTTTCTTCCGGACGACATCATATCGGCCAAGCGGTTCAAACTGGACGAGAAGGCTCTCTTGATTGCTCGCAGTCGACTTGGTCGAACCGGTGTGATCAACCACCACATCAAATGGTACCAGATCCGAGAAGCACTTGTGGATCCTCAAATTTGGATATTGTTTTTCTTTACATTATTGAATGAAACAATCAATGGTGGATACGCAAACTTCGGAAAGCTCATCATCAAAGGGTTAACAAAAGACCCGCTCACTACGGTTGCACTTGGAATTCCCCAGGGTGGTTTTCAAGTCTTTTGGATTCTAACAGGAACCTTCCTTGCATCTCGTGTTCGCAACCTGCGTACCATCGTCATGGCCATCTACCTAATTCCAACAATTATAGGTGTCTGCTTGATGTGGAAGCTCGATCATGACAGCCACAAGATTGGAATTTTGTTTAGCTACTACATCATTGGGGCTTACGTTTGCTCCTTGGTACTGGCACTGCAAATGCCTGCTACAAACCTGGGAGGCTATACCAAGCGCAGTACTGGTGTTGCACTGGTCTTTCTGGCTTACTGTGCCGGGAATATTATTGGTCCCCATGCATTCCTCGCCAAAGAGGCTCCTCTATACCAAACTGGCTGCAAAGTGATTCTGGCTTGTTCCACATCGCAAGTTGCGCTGGCACTCTGCCTTCGCTGGTTACTGACCAGCCGCAACAAGCGAAGAGATGCTGCATCCGAAAATGAGGGAGCTGCAGGTATAGCGGTAGATGAGCTGGCTGATCTGACCGATTTCGAGGTGAGATACCATACCGGTTAAATAGTCGAAGCAGAACGATGCTAACAACCATTTCCTAGAACCCGAATTTCCGATACGTACTCTGAGCAACCTTCAGCTAACGGGAATTCGTCTAGAAACAGTTGAATTTCTAAATAGTATTAGTATTCTAATCCAAGTGATGAACTTTATATCCATGCTATTCTTGGTGGTAGTCAAAATAAGTCGCCCGAGCGAGCTTCTAGTCTGGCCATGATATAGTCGAGATCGGGCTAAGCGATAGATTCTCGGTTCAGCCACCTCACTTCCATGTAATTATGAACATAAGCTTACGGGAGAAAAAAAAAATGGAAACAAAGGAAACAGAGCTTGTTTTGAAGAAAATGGAGACAAAGTATTGTACATCGTATTTGAGGGATGGACAAGCCGCGAAAAAAGAAAAGAAGTTCTAATGGTAGTCTCTATTATCCTCCAACATCTAGACAAGGCGAGATCTTTATTTGGAGATCTCAACACCACCAGTGGCACCGAGGACACGCTTGATGTCACCGTAGATGGCGAACTGACCGGCAGTGATACCACCGACCATGAAGAGACGGGCACCGATACCGGAGTAAGAGCCACGGAGACCGAGCTCCTTGGCGATCTTGACGAGGCGGGAGACAGTGCCCTCGCCGGGAGCGCCCTGGGTCTTGTTGATCTTGGACAGCATGGTGTCGGCGGGCTGGGAGATGATGGCGGCGGCGAGACCGGCGATAAGACCGGAGCCCAGGTTGACGGCGGTCTGGCCACCGGTGGAGAGGGTGCTCTTGTCAACGGACTTGTAGATGGCCTCGGAGACCTTCTCGAAAACGACGAACTTGGCCATGGTGTAGGGGACCCTGGTGGAAGAACCTGTTAGAGACTGGGGCATGGCGTGCGCACACAAATTGGTGCGCAATGGTTCGAAATGGTGAACTTACTGCTTGAACAGGATGGGTCCGAATCCGGAGTAGAAGGCACCGATACCCTCCTCCTTAGCGATACGGCTGAAACCGCCGAGCAGGCCGTTGGCGAAGGTAGGCTGGGAGACGAGACGAATACGGGTGGCCTCGAGAGGGCACAGGGCAATGTCGGCCATGAACTCAGCGCAGGCGGAGGAGGCGAGGTAGACAGCGGTACGGTTGTTGGCAGCGGTCTCGTAGCCGAGCTGAGTGATAGCCTGCTGCTTGAAGAACTCGTAACCACCGAACTTGAAGGCACCCTGGAGGAAGTAACCGGCAGCGGTAGGACCGAAACCAGTCAGGAGAGCGCCAGCACCCTCCTTCTGGATGACCTGGCGGAAACCACCGATCATACCACGGTTGTAGGTGGCAGGGTCAAGCTGGATACGGGTCTTGACGCTATATTCAAGAAACAATGCGCGATCAGCAACTTGATCCTCTCTCGATGCGCGCTCTTGTCTCGCCGGGGGGCCGACTGGCCCATTGAGGGGTGGATTGGGAGTCATTCAACTTACACATCGAGGGGAGTGGCAGCACCGTGGGTGACGGAGCAGCAGACAGCGCCAGCGAAAGCGAAGCTGTTTTGCGAAGATGGTTAGTCGGAGTTCGGATCGATGGGATATCTGGCATATGGGTTATGCCGTAGGGGGACCACATAGAAGCGGCCATGTCGAGACGAACCGAGCGTAAAGGTCAACGCCCTTGGGCGATTCAGCGGTGGGAGCGGCCATTGTAAAGATGTGGAGGGTGATGGGGGTGGTTGAGGGGAGATTTCGAAGACGTGGAGGTGGAAGAGGGAAAGGAGAAAAAGATTTGAAGGCAGGGATGGGTCCCGGAGGCTGGGCTCGGGCCAATCCGGAGGCATCGGCTCAGCACGGCTTGTGTCCACCATCGCCCGGTCAACGGGAGAAGAGTATACTATAGCCCTGGAGTATGAGTTTACTATATTACTGTAGGTGAGATTGTAGAAAATAATTCTCCGATATTTATTAGATTTTTCGATAATTTATTTACCCCCATTCCCCCGTTCCATTGCCTAGCTAATGGGGTTGTAGAAAAATTCGATCGGGATGTTTGCCGGTGAGCACCGAGCGCAACATAAAAAGCACGCATTAGTTATTTTTGCCTCAGAACTCTGTCAGATTGTACCTAAAATTGATGGTATCAAATTCATAAATGCGCCTAGCAGGTTATTTATCTAATTCTAAATTATTATGCGCTACAGCTGAATAGATCAATTAAATTATTTATTTAGAAAATTATTTAAATCCATACTACTCGGCAGCTTCAAATAATCAATCCTCGCAAGTAATATGAGTGAGTACTCGTAGTCCTAGGCACGGCCTCCGAGCCATTTAAAAAAACTCGACGTCACAAGTGGACACCTGGCGGCAACGATGGGGCCCAACTGGTGGCCACCAATTTTTTGGGGCCACCAACCTTGGAAAGGACCATTTCCACAAATCAGAGCCCTTCTCCGAGCCCTGTGATTGGCCACGCGAGGTCTCGGAACGCAGGATTGGTTAGTCTACATACTTGTCCAAGACTAGAGTTAACCATCTCGCAAGTAGATCTCGCAAGTAGAGTAGGCTATAATGTGTACTACGCTTTGTAGACTTCTACGCGATAGGAGCAAATTTTACAGATAGGAAATCCGAAATAGTGTAACAGGATAATAGAAACCTCAGAACAAAGTAGAAGAGCCGCCCAGATGTCAACATGACAAATATTGACTCGGTTGCAAAGGTTCCTCAGTGGTAGGTGAATAGTTGGCTCCGCCAACCTTGAGAGGACCATTCTTAGTGACATTGTCTTAAAGCTTTGACAATTTTGAAATCTGGTCGGGCACAACCCCGTTTATGAGTGGCTGGCGATAACGAAGTCCGCTGTCTCCGGAGATTTTATATACTATGTACGTGGAGAGGCCAAAATTAGCGATGTCGAGGTCCATTGCTGATATCATTAATCTATTACTAGCACTATGCATAATATAACAAATTAATGAATCTTGATCCAATTCGAAGTTTAAATTTTTTCTCCTAAGATCACAGCTCGAACCATGACCAATTGTTGAGCCATTACTAAGAAATCCCCCCATACTACCCGTTAAGGTAGATCGTACAGCAGGGGCTTCCGTGTCACTTCTTCCACCTCCGCGGGCCTGCTTTTCGAAACTCCAATCTCACATTGATTAAATCGCGACCGCTTCAAGAATGTCCTGATCTTGTTCCCTCACTGCTCACGAGCCTGGCCGACGCATTTTATTTCGTTGTTCCCCAGGCACGTGGTAGTCGGCCAGATGTCGCCCTTACTGAGCTGTTGTCTGAAGACGAGGCGGAAAGTGGAGGAGTGGAAGGAAATTAAGGGTAGGTGTTTCCCCCAACACCATTGAATTGTTGATACCGAGTACTAATTTTGCATGATTTTAGAGACCGAAGAGGATTCCGAGAAGAAACCGGAATGGAGCCTTCCCTTAAACCCTACCATGCTTCAGGGTTTCGAATGGCACGTGCCAGCTGACCAAAACCATTGGAAGCGCCTTCAAATGGCCCTCCCAGACCTGAAAGACATTGGAGTCGATAATATCTGGATACCTCCGGGTTGCAAAGGCATGGAATCGAACGGAACGGGATACGACGTTTATGACCTCTATGACGTGGGCGAGTTCTACCAGAAAGGCACCCGAGCGACACGATGGGGCTCTAAAGAGAACTTGCATGAACTTGTGCAATCTGCACAAGATCTCGACATTGGAATCATCTGGGATACCGTCTTGAACCATAAATCCGGGGCCGATTTCACTGAGAAATTCCCGGCCGTGAAAGTAGACCCTAAAAGTATGTCCCTTGTTTTGCGTTTGGAACTTGTTTGGCAAATAATTTACATAATACAGACAGGAATACTGTGATTTCGAAACCGGAAGAAATCACGGCTTGGGTGGGATTTGACTTTCCAGGTCGCCAGGGGAAGTACAGTTCTATGAAGTATCATTATCAACATTTTAATAGCGTGGACTGGGATGAATCTCGAAAGCACAATGCCATATACAAGGTTGCCAGCCCTCAGAAAAAGTGGTCCCAGGATGTCAGCAGTGAACACGGCAACTATGATTATCTGATGTTTGCCAATCTGGACCAAAGCCACCCCGAGGTGCGTGCTGACCTCTTTAATTGGGCGGAATGGATTGGAACCGAGTTCGCCCTCAGCGGTATGCGAATAGACGCAGCCAAGCATTACTCTGCTGTATTCCAGAGGGATTTTGTGGATCATATTCGAAAAACGGTAGGAGGAAACTATCTCTTGGTGGGCGAGTACTGGCGAGGAGAGGTGGAGTATCTTCTGAATTACCTCAAAATAATGGAAGGTCGTGTTTCGCTATTTGACGTTCCACTGCTGGGGCGGATCTCAGAAACTTCTCAAACAGAAGGTGGTGATTTGCGGAAGATATTCAAAGGCACATTGGTGGAACACAGCCCTGGCCACGCCGTGGTAAGAATATGCAATCGGGTACGGCCATTTACTTTTGCTGATCTCGGGCGTCACCGTCAGACATTTGTGGGAAACCATGATACTGTAAGTTTTTTATCTATTGGTCCGCTCTGCAGCTGTATTGACCTCTCCAAGCAACCCGGCCAGTCATTAGAGGTATGGTACTGGCATATTGATATGGATATAAAACCTCCACTGAAGTGCTGCCTGTACTGATAGAAATGCCAGACAACAGTCGTGCCATTTTTCAAAGAGATTGCCTATGCAATAATTCTTTTGAGAAATCAAGGCCACCCGTGCGTTTTTTATGGTGATCTATACGGGCTTCAAGGCGGACCAAATCCGTTGAACTGTCCATCTTACAAGGGAAAGCTCCCAATATTGATGCGCGCGAGAAAGTTATATGCTTATGGCGAGCAGCGCGATTACTTCGACAAAAGAAATTGTATAGGTAAGTACAAAATGGTTAACCACCAGATCATATTCTTAATATTACCTAGGGTTCGTGCGATATGGAAATGTGATGTACCCTTATGGTCTTGCTTGCATCATCAGCAACACTGTTACCACCTACAAGAAGATGTATGTGGGGAGACGGCACTCAGGAGAGGAATGGACAGACATACTGGAATGGTGTGTCGAAACAGTCATTATCGATAATCGCGGTTATGGGGTATTCCCTGTGGCTGCGAAGAGTGTGAGCGTGTGGGTACATGAAAGAGCATGTGGAAGAAAGAGCCTCACTCAACCCTTGTGAGTATTCCAGGACCAATATTAGTGAGGTTGCCTCCTTCGCTTCAATTCGATAAGATATTAAGCCCCAGACTGATAAAAAATACAATCATAGCAACGGAAATATCTACCAACTATAATTTAGTTAATACAACCTTGGATGTGGCATTTTTTTATCTAGCATTTCTTTAATGACACGTAACCTTGGTTGACCATAAAAGCTTCGTATTCACTATTACTGGTAGTTTTTGCATTGTTGGGCCTTTTTTGGGCACCCTTTTATATACTACATCTAGATGGCTACACATCTTCGGAGTTGCTATTTAGGTACTACTAGCAGCATCTTCTAGACGGTAATCGACAAATTGTGACTTTGGATCCGACAAGAGCTGAGACTGATTAAATGACTGTGAAACTCATAATGCATTTGATACAGTAAGAGAATTATAATTGTTCTTGAAGGCTGTACCCGGAGCTTTGTAGACACCATCGATCGGACTTTCGATTGTTGTACACATCGTAGTGATTGGTAAATGGAATAACAGTCTCGATACCCCAGATCTCTTTCAATCCAAGGGATCCAGAATTGAAGGCACCCATTAAAACATCAATTGGTGCATCATGTTTTGGAACCTCTGCCCTCTGATATCCTCGCACGCAGAGATATTCCAGGTTTTTGGGGATACTATCAACCAATTTGGATTCCGTGCCATCTCGAATACCATTTTCCCCATAAACAAGATACATCAACAGACCTATTCCCAAGCTCAGAGACTTGAGGTTGGAGAAATCCTTAAGAGAACCATGGTTGTCCCAAAACGAAGAAAGGAAACCAGTGGTCTCAGTTTCACCAACTAGACGATATAGGCGAAGCTGGTCCCCTCCTTCATTATCGTAGCCAGTGTCTATGTCGCTGATGTTGTGATAATAAAAGTCTTTTCCGGAGTCAATATCGAGGACTTCAAGTGAGTTCTTGTGTTTCAGTATAGTTTTACTGAAGGTTTTATTGTTGAGATGTCCTTTGTCATCAGAGAGCGTTCCTCTGCCTCCAATTGAATATTGGAGCTCTTTCAAGGATTTGCATGCCGAGATTGCACGAGCCAAACATATATCATCCAGCGCTGAGTGATTGACGTGAAGCTTGGTCAATTTTGATGCAGCTTCCTCAATGATCGGCTCATCTTCATCGTCATCTGTGATCCCATCAATTCCCAAGGACTCAATTGAAGAAAGTTTGTCAAACATTCGGAAGCAGTCGAGAAAATCAGTGCGTACATAGTATCTATCATCGATAGTTTCCTCATATTCATCATAACCACATTCATCAGTCATGATGTATACCTCGCGCAAGTCCTGGAGATATGGTTTGGCGGCCGAGCTAGAGTTTGCTTCAAGCAAGAATTGCTCAAGGGGATAATACTCCCCGTCTCTGCTAGACCAAGTTGCCCACGGCAGCATCATGGCGAGCGACAAAAGGCTAGGTGCAACCGATATTAAAATCGTCGCCAATGCCTGTGCTATAAAAACACCACGCTGAGAATTGGTCCGACTGAGGAATAAGTTAGACATAATCAAAATATTGGCACCGAGAAAATCTTACGAAAAATCGGGGCCGTCTACATAGGGATGTTCTCCTTCCCAATCCCCAGTCTTTTTCTGCATCAGCATCTCAAGAATAATATCCTCCCAAGAGCTAGAAAATCCCGCCCGCTGGACATGGGCCCTAATCAGTTCCATTTCTGATTCTTCCAATTCTCGAGGATATAACTCCCCATGACCGTAGTGCCTCCAATCTCCGCTTGCGTGTGCTCGCCCATAATATCGTATTTCGTGTACATGTCGCCCCAAGCTAGGTTGCTTTAGGATTTCCATCAGTAGCTGAAAGACTTCTTCGATTGCAGCATCATCAGGCCGAATACATATGAGATGGAACTTTTTTTTCCTTTGCAGCTCCAAGTTGCACAAGGTGTGGACCGCCCGGCATGAGAGCGCAAGGGCGGCCACATCACGAGGGGAATGGACATAAGAGATTATGTGGCAGATAATCTCCGAGGGGCACAAAATGAAGGACATTTGTTCACTTGCAGTGATTGACTCGATCTAGTGGTGACCGTTAGTTTTGTTCGGGCCGGGTTGCAAGTTTTTCACGTCGCGACTTGGCCCCCAAACAAACAATAGTAGTAAGAGATCTGCGATGCTGCCCAATCCAACCAATCTCTTCGGCAAGTACCATGGCTCTCATAGATATTTATTGAGACTTAACACAGAAGCTGACCAAAGAAAGTCGCGTTTCGTCGCGTGTTTTCTTTCGTTAAACCGAGCGCACGGGAACAGATGCGCTTACACAAAGGCACGGTGCCGCACGAACCTGTCTACGAAAATAAAAATGGGTTACTATTCCAAAAGACGTGCACTGATTTGGCAAAAACCACCAACTACCCGCTAAAAAGCTACACTCCTAGTTGGGTACTCGCTAGGCCCAAGTGCTGGATGATAAGGTTATTCTGGAGCTCATTATGATTACTCTTCTTGCGGATACTATGGATCCGATCAATCATTAATTTGTGCGTACTTGTCATTCATAAGTTGCCGACAGATCAGAGCTCCAAATTATAGGACGTGTTGCGTTTCTGTTGTCGAAGAACTAATCCTAAGGTCTATTTCCCATGTGGTGATATTTAAATGACCAGGTGCCTTAATTCCGATCCAGAAGAGACAACTTTCGGTAGACAATGAGTCTGGGTATAATAAGTAGAACTGTCTAAGACGTAGTGTACACTTTGAAGCTCTTAAACTCCCAGTAAGCATCTTCGAAGGCAGCCCCATTCTCTGCTGCATACTTTTCGCATGAATCTGGGCATTGATAAAGCTTTTTGTAATAGGACGATGCACCGGCGAGGTCACCGCAAATGTCGATATTTGCGATGATGCTTTGGTTCTTGAAATGCGAACCGATATCACACCCTGTGCTTGGAAAGTCCGCCAAAGCTTCACCCCAGGTAGATGGGTCAGGGGTACTGGTCGTGTTTGAAATGTCGGATGGGATGTCGTCGCGCGAGAACATCCACATACGAATACCCGCGTCGCGTAGCTCCATTGCGTATACCTGATCGAATTTCATTAATACCAACGAGAATGGATATATAAATCCGGGGCCCATGGTCAACTTACTCCTCCGCCATTATCATTGAAGGTTTCGCCGTAAGTCGCTTTTTTCCCTTCAACGCCACAGCCCGCGTTGTCATTTGCAGTATTAAGACAATTGGTGTACTGCGCAGTTCCAGTTTCCTTTCTTCGGACGTTCATTTTGCATCCACTACTTGTATGTAGTGTCATTGAATTGCCGTTGGTACCGTTATTGTTTGATTCTATCACATCGATTTCCCCGTGCGCGGGCCAATTATTTGGGTCGGTAAGCCACAGTGCGGGCCAGGTCGCACAGCCATACGGTGTATGGGCGACATCAAAGATGAACAAACCACTGTCATATGTATTGGTGGATGTAATACGAACAGAGCTGCGGCCGTTTGTCTGGTTTTGTGTGCTTGTATCAACCCTGATCACAGCAGATGATTCAGAGGCATACGTCAAATTCATCTGCGATGCAGTCTCTGAGTTGACATATTGGACAAATCCATTGGTTGGATCAGTTGTTGAATAGTATTCGAAGTTGTCGAAGAAGGATGACCCTGAAAATGTATCCTTGAGCGTATAATTTAATTGGGAGTAGTTCGGGTATGCTGCTGCCTTGGTCCCCTCAACCGCCCCCACAACCACTGCTATTATGATAACCACAACGCAAGCTGCTACGATCAATTTTCTTCGTAATGACCAGACACGAACGTCATACCAGGGTCTCTCGATTGAAGGTCTTGCGACGACTTCTGAATTGCGGGGTGGTGCCTGCATTGGGTAGCCATGTGGTGTGCGACTTGAATCGTCGAATGAAGGAAACTGGGAAGTTGCATGTCCATAGCGACTGTAGTCACCCGCAGACCCTGGGTATCCATCTGGGGGTCTCATGATGTTTCCTGTTGTGAGAAGATAGATTATTCTCCAGTCGAGGTCTTCAGGGCTCTATATATCAGAGGGAGATTCAGGAACAGAAAAGCAGGGACTGCAAGTTGAGATATCACAAGTGGATGGTACGCCAAAAATTTGGGTCCAGGAATAAAACAAAAAATTCTACGCATGAAATGATTACAGTGCTCAATGTATTCCAGAGAAATCACTGGTCGGTCGCATCTGCTTGTCGGTGTTATATGCCCGGCGCGCCGCGTAACCGCTCTGCGCCAAGAACCCCACTTCAGGATTTTATATTCGAATCGCTAAGATCAAGCTGCCCAGGTGATGTGGTTTAAAATTATTTTGATAGTATTACTCGCCCTGGAGTACACCATGATTATGATCCGTGTTGCGAAACGGTTACGTGGGATTTGTCTTATAGTCGCAATCTAGTACCAACCTATACTTATCCTGTCCAAAACGCCCTTCCGGCAATGCACGGAAAGCGTTGAAATATTTTTGGACTTTGAATTGTCCTGTCAGACCGAGCTTGGAAATCTGGCTCAGCAAACGGCGAAAAAGGCTGCCAAGTGGTGCAGAGCTCCACGCAACTGACGCGTAACTAGCGCCCCTGGCGGCAAGTTACGCATAGCACAGCCCACAACTACAGCAAAAATATCAAATAACTTCCACCCGTTGTCGCCTTCAGATAGAAATGGGCCTCAGAAACAAAAAATGCCGATTGGAAATGTTTCTTGTTATGTCCATTCCAACGTTGTTCCTCACTTTATCCATTGCATGTTAGTGATCGACACATTGACGTCATTGTAATCAAGACCTGCATCTTGCTTTGAAAAATACACATGCGATACAGATAATCAAACACCGAATTGCCTTAAGGGCTTGCTATTGGCGTTTCAGATTGTTATTTTGTGACCCAGGCGTCAGCGCTTTTGTATATTTGTCCCTGCTAATTCCAAGGTTACCGAAGATTCGCAAACATGAAAGATTCAAGAACCAATTGATTCCAGGACTTAAGAGACCTAATTCCATCAGCGACCCGATAATTCGTAGCATCTAGAAATATACTTTATTCACAATACGGCCTTATCGCGTTAGTTCAGATCCAATCAAGCTATCCGGGAATCCAGTGGCTTAATAGACTAAAGGCATCTTGCTGCCAGCGCATAGCCATCTATCGCGGTCGGAGTACTTGAGCCGAACAGTTGGCATATTCGCAGAAAAATCATGATTGATCTCTGTACATTTCTATCTGATTGCAAGGTTGTATTCCTTTGTTGTGCGGCTGTTTGTTTATATATCACGTGACCCTTCCATTTTGCTGAAGGACGACGATGTTGAGTCCAGCCATCTGCATTGTTCCTGGAACCCTCCCGCGGCACTTCAAAATCGGCGCCATTTCAAAAATAATGTTGAGTATGGTCTAAGACCCATCCCCAAAACGAATGTTCTGCAGTTCTCCCTCAACGCCTTCTAGAAGTCTGTTCGCGGGCGGTCAGCGCGAGTCGGACTTCTGTCCGACCATACTTCGGGACGCATCCGGTTCGATGTCGGAAATTTAACGCCCCTGACACAGGAATTTTTCGCACGCAAACAAACATCGAGACCTCACATTCGCCGTCATCGAACATACACCGAAACAGGAGGAACCCAGATCGCAGCAGGTCTAGCTCGGGATGATAACCGGCCAAATTTTATAACGCCGGCTTGATGTTGACAGGTGGAGTCGCATTCGGCCAAGGGTCCCGATGGAATGAGTCAAACCCACCACCTCGGCAGCCAGGCTTTGGTGGCCTTCTCCAGGCCTTTCCCCGCGCCAAGGGCCCTGTCACTGCTAAGACTTTGGGAGGGATCGGATCTAGGGTGAGTCGTGGATGCTTTTGATCATGAGAACATGTTGCTCAACCTTCAGACCGATCTGGAGCGTTGATCCTTGAAAGTAATCTACCACAATCCCTCGGTACATAGCGAGTCTAGGTCGTTGGGTTGATCTGCATGGCATTGACCCCTCTTTTTCGTGTTGGAGAACCGACTGCCCAAATACCAGGATGCATGCGGTCGAGGTATCTGTATACCATTCATATTTGTACAGATTGTAGAATTTTCTCTCGCCATGCCACGATAATTATAGCTTCTCAGGACGGCGATCAATTGGAATTCCATAGGACATCTCATATGAACTTCCACTAAACAACGAAAGCACTAGACTGAAGATTGCCACTTGAAAATCTTTCAAATCTTGGGTCTTGCCCCGTAAACCAGAGTTTCCTAGAAGCCGTCCTAACCGAGAAAACCCTTGTCGTATCTTTGATCAACACGTCTAATTACTTGATTGGAGCTAATTGGGCATGAATTCCTCGCCATAGCACTGAGAATTATCACCTGCAGATATCAATGTCAAGCCCTAGGGCGTAGAAAATGCAAAATGTGGCAGACGGGGGTGGAGCTCGAACCACAAAAACATCGAATTTTCATTTGCTTACTCCTCCGCAGTTAGAGAGTGGATTCGGGACCTGCGAGAGTGGAGCCGGAATGGCTTTCCTGAATTTTCGATGTTACAATGCCCTTTATAAGCCGCCAGCCCACCTTTTGATCCTCATCTATCGCTTTCTTGCTGGTTGAATGGGTGACCCAACTTGTGCATGATGTCAACCCACTTCCCCACGGAGGAAAACCTCCAAAAGGTCATGTCCGCTACAGGTACGACTTGTGATGCAATGTGTACCTCCTGCTGGCGCTAACCTCGAATTACAGAGGAAGTAGCTATCTCGCCTCATGACTCACATGATTCGCATCGTGATTCCTCAGATCAAGAATCGGAAGTCGCCCATGAGCCTATCCAGGAGCGCTATGACAATCCATCATATTCTCGTTTCCGCCGGGTGGCCTCGAAGACAGTTGTCTCATTTGGTCAAAACGACCCAGAAAACCCCGTGAACTGGCGCAAGGTAATGTGAGCATACTGGAGGTCATGTGCCATACTAACGTAGTGCAGACAAGGAAGTTCCTAGTCCTAGGGTCGGGTGTCATGCAGGTCATGAACAGCACCATTGGGTCCAGCATCTGTTCCAACGCCATCCCTCAGATTGCAGAAGAATTCAATATCAAGAACCAGCAAGCCCTTGTCCTTCCAATCTCTATCTTCCTGGTCGGCTATATCCTGGGTCCTTTATTGTGGGGACCTAGCTCCGAGTACTTTGGACGCAAGAAGCCATTGTTAGTTGCGTATTGTGGGTTCGCAATCTTTACCTTAGCCTGCGCCGTGGCCGACTCATATGCATCTTTACTGGTATTTCGACTTTTAAATGGCATGATGGCTTCAGCACCGATTGCTACTGTCGGTGGACTTTTTGCCGATGTTCACGATGATCCCACTCGACGAGGCCGCTTGATGGCTTACTTCATGGCATGCACAACATGCGGACCTATAATGGGTCCATGGATTTCTGGGTTCGTTGCCGTTGTCAGTTGGCGGTGGTGCTTCTGGATTGGCTTGATCTGCACCGGTATATCCATGCCCTTGGTGATCTTCATGCCGGAAACCTACGGCCCCGTCGTCTTGAAGAATCGTGCCCGGAAGCTGAGAAAAGATACCGGAAACTCGACCATCATATCGCCCTTGGAACTGGAAAGTCGAAACCTCCGCGAGAAATTTATTACCACAATTTCGCGACCTTTCCGCATGATTATCCACGAGTCCATTGTATCATTGACGTCGTTGTACCTTGCACTGGCATATGCTATCTTCTATCTCTATTTTGAGGCATATCCAATAATTTTCCAGGGTAAGTAGGACACGATTCTCCTCTGTATTACTTGATATGCTAATGAATTCCCAAGGAATCTATGGAATGAATGCTGGTGTTTCAGGCCTAATGTTTCTACCCAGTGAGTACTGATCGAGCCAAGACTTGCATACTTGGATCTCTTTTGCTGACGCATATCCTGTAGTCGGAATTGGTGCAGCACTTGCATGCGTTGTCTTCCTGTGGTATGATGGCTACCTTGCCCGCGCTAAGGCCCGCAATGCTGAGTGGGCATTTATCGAAGAATATCGAAGACTTCCACTTGCTTGCATTGGAGGGCCACTTTACGTGATTTCACTCTTCTGGGTAGGATGGACGGCGTCGCCGAATATTCACTGGGTTGTGCCATTCCTTTCTGGCATTCCGTTTGGTGCGGGATACCTTTTGATCTTCATGGCCATGCTCAACTACCTCACCGATGCCTACGAGACATTGTCTGCCAGTGCTCAATCGGCTGCTAGCTGTACCCGAAGCATATTTGGTGCTGTTTTGCCTCTTGCCGCGAAGCCAATGTTCAATCGACTTGGTGTAAACTGGGCCTGCAGTCTGATTGCATTCCTCAGTCTGGGTGTTTCCATCATCCCCTTTGCCTTCATCCGTTATGGCGACCGTATCAGAAACAACAGCAAGTTTTGCCAGGAGCTCAAGCGTATCAAGGAAGAAGAGAAGCTCGAATTGGAGAGAGAGGAGCGCGGCGAAGGTCCAAATAATATCGAGCCCGTACAGTCGAATGTTACTGGACACCTCTCCAGAATCGAGACAGCTCGAAGCCACGCGGAGAAGGCCTCGATCATTTGCGGCTAGGCTGACGCTACACACCACGACACGATCTTATGACCCGCATCTGCCTGCCCAAGCTAATGTCCGCTTCGGTCGGCTCAAAAGTTCTATTCCATTTTTCTTACCTCTCAGCGATGTTTATGAGTTATACCGTCTACACATCGTCTTAATTTTAATGCATACACCAGGATGAGTTACTTGAATCGGATGGTAGTCTTGATTCCATGATTGAGAAAATTCATGATTATTTGTACTAATTTTCAATCATATGGTCTTTCGATATTCTACAGAGACTACTCACATGCCCTCGTTGAAGGGATAGAGTGGTCGGCTGTATCAGACTGAGTCTAGGTGGGTTGAGATCGATGTAGCTTTAATAGCATCAAGACTGAATCTCCATTTCAAAATCATGTCGTAAACAATGAAGAAAGTACATACGATTTATTGCGTGGACCAGTTTAGTCCTTCTTCAAACCGACTTTTCCGGCCTTGCGCAATCCCCAAGCCCCAATCGCAGAAGCAGCAACCATCAAGCCGAAGCAGGTCCAGAAAACAGCTCTGTATCCGACCATAAGAGCACCAGGAGAGCTCTTGTCGGTGTAGGATGATCCTTGTGTGACACCAGCTGAGATTATAGCGATGATTGTCAGTCCGATAGAAGTACCGAACTGCGCAATAGTATTGAATACGGCGCCTGCGAGTCCTTGCGTTTTGGAGCTGAAAGAGTCCGCGATAATGAGATTTGCGACCGTGAAAATCACTGCGAGACAACTCTATTAGCAATCTCAAACCGTCGAGTAACCCGTTTTTTTTCTTACCATCCGCTGAGAGAGGGGCCAGAAGAACGGCCCAGAAAGCACAGTACCACCAAGACCAGTTGGGATCAATGATGGCCATCAGCAAAGGCGATCCAGCACTCAAAACTGTTGTAACCAGGACAAGCCAATTGGCGCGAAGTCGATGCACGAGAAGCCCGGTCCCAATATTGAGAACGATACCGGTTACGACGCTGGGCATGAAACGGATGGCGGTTTCAAAAGCAGATAGATCCTGAACTTCTTGGAAGCTTTTCGATCGATTAGCATTATTCAATCCTATGGAGATTGAAAGCTTACAAAAGACTCAGTATTGTCTCTATGCCATTCAAAACAGCCCAGGAGAATAGAACCATGACACAGATGGAAGCAAAGGCAGTGTTTTTCCATAGCGAGTTTGGAATCAGTGCCGACTTTCCAGACTCTTCTCTCCATCTCATCCAATACCAAAACGCGGGAATCATGGCACCTGAGATGCAGAGAAGCGCAATATTGTCTGGGTGACGAATATTCGACGGGTTATCGGTGATTGCACTAGATTGCAAGTCAGCGTATGATTTTGAGATATAATATGGATGGGAAAATTCACGAGAAAACATAGGAGATAATTCCTAGACAAGCGCTGGACAGAATGATACCGATCCAGTCAATCTCTGTCTGGAGGCGGTGGAATGTGACAGGCTCCCTCGGCCTGTCTTTGGGAAGCTTGAAATAGTTGACTGCCATCAGGATAAAAGATGCACCAGCGCAGAGATAATATCCAAATCTCCAGCCCAAGGTAGCAGATGCTTGAAACACGCCTCCAAAAACAAGACCAACCGAAAAGCCGAGGGGCTGCCCGAGTCCTATGCAGGCAAACCCAATATTGCGTCGTTTTCCGATGGGCATCGTATCCGTCAAAATGCTGAATGCCGTTGGTAGGCACATGGAAGTTCCAACTCCTTGCAAGGTGCGAAATAAGATGAGCTGAATACCGGTTTTAGCGACACTGCAGGCCAGGATGAAGACACCCATCAAGAAACAACCGATTAGATTGATGGGTCGGTTTCCAATGAAGTCGGCAAGTGAGCCTGCCAAGAGAAGACAGCAGCCATTGGAAAGGCTGTGATTCGGATCAGTGAACTGGTCAAGCGACAGTGTCGAACATGAGATACGTACGAATAAACCGAAACAGGCCTTCAACCCCAGGTCATTGTTAGTCTGGTGTGGACTTGTGCGGTGAGTGTTTTGATGGTCACTTACCACAGCAGCAGGTTGTCCGGAAGCCGCAAGTCCTTCGCGATTGATGGCAGACCAACAGTCAATAGGCCCCCGCTCATACTACCCACGAATGTAATGCCCGTAAGGGTGGCAATGAGAATCACAGCCCGAGCCCTCGATAGTTGCACATTCTGAGGGGCGGAGACACCTTCGCCGGAGTCATTATCGTGAGCAAAAAGACCATGGGTTCGCGAATCTTGGGAAATTTGAGATGACAATCGTAGAGTGGACGCTTGGCGTGAGTCATCTACCTCCATGGGCCGAATCGGACTCTGGGTGAGCACGGTGGTTGCCATTGCGCGAACGATGCGAACTATCTGATTTTGTTGGGGAAACGAATTCCGAAAATAAGACGCCGATTCACTTGCAGAATATCAGTTTCGGAATCCGCGCGGTTTGAAACTCCCCGGAATGAGAGGGGAAATGGCCAAGCCGGGGAATTAGTCATTTTGGTGTGTGGGGCAGTCCTGGACTTGGACTTCTGTTTGCACTTCTGTTCGGGGCATCAGATTATCCTATAGGTAGAACTTTGCGCAGTTTGCAGGTGGCAGCGGCTTATTTTTTCCGCTTTTTAGTGGATCGATTTGTAGAGAGCCTTGGGGTAACGCGTGATTTCCTCATACCGCGAGGCGAGTATAAGCAGGATGATAGCTTCCATATGGGTTAATACTCAACTTTTCGAGACATGCTGTTCGACCCAATTTTAAATACCTCGATACTGAGAACAACTTGAAATCGAATGAGGTTATGGAGTGAAAATAACCTGGGCAGGACCTCGGGAGCAGCATCGTCAGATGCGACAAGGTAGTAGTTGTGGATCCAACCACATATTTTGGACTATTGATGGCCATTGATGACTATTAAATATTCAGAATAAGTGAGCATGATACTGTCGCCGACTCCATTTCTCTCGCTCTCCAGCAAATATCAAACTTATGATTACTTACTGTTGATGGATTTGATGTCTAAACTCCGTATGCAAAGGTTGGGACCGAATTGGACTGGCAAGAGAGAGCTACTACTAGTACTACTAGTAGTAGATGGCAGCAGCAGCCTAATATGCATCTATTAACCCCGAAACTTCAGCAACCTCGCATCGGAATTACACTTAGAGTGCGTTGGAGCCGCCCCGATCAAATTCGTGGCATTCGCGTCATGAAATATGGTCACCGACAATCTATTGACCTACTTATATAGATATTTAAGTACACCGCACCCCATCTTAATAGATCAATAAAGTTCTAATCAACTTAGTTTGCCATGTCTCGCTCTCTATATCCCTCCGCTTCCACAAACGATGGTTTCACGTATCCACTTAGTAGAACTGCGTCGCTCTCCAGATGGATTCCATCCAGCTTTACAGACCCAGCATCCATTGACCATATACTGATGGCAATAGTATTGATGCCATTGTAATTCAATATACCTTCAGGAACTGGAAACCTTATCTGTGGTCCAATGTGGTTCACTGTAATTTGTGAGCTAGAGCAGAAGAAAATCCTACAAAAATAGATAATATCGAACATACCGTATTTACCAAACTGCCACCCATTCACAAACAGTTGAGACCGGAAGGTATATGGCGTCGAAGAAGCCTGTTTAGTTGAGTTTGTGAAAACAACACTCATGGGAACATCGTATCCTTGGGGTATGTTCAGCCCGAACTGGGCAACGAAGAATCCAACCCCGGGCTTTGAAATCCCGTCCAATGGCGACTTTTTCTTCCAGTTATGAATGGGCGCCCCGGGGAGATGCAGGCCCTGTCTTTCCACATACAGGGCACCTTCATTCAGCGGCCCACGGCTGATGTCGTGGTATTTCTCCCCCCCCTAGGTTGCCGGTCATCTTCCAGGAGATATCTGATTTATCGCGGCTCCATTCGAAGTCCATGATACCTCTTGGATCTTTCATTGTTTGGACATTTGTGACAAAGTTCAGATCGAGGCCCATGTGATCAATTAATATAGTGAGAACGTACGGACAGTTAGCTTTGAGCTCCTCGGGAAAAGCAAGAGTCTGATTGTGGAACATTTCTGCGTCAGTACCGGACCAGGACCCTAAGTAAGTCGAGTTCAGCCAGACAGAATGGCCATATGCGTAGCCGCCTTCTGTGAGAAGATATATGAATGACTCGGACCCGTCTGCGATGAATGATCCGCGGTACAACAATGAGCCTGTGTGGTAGCCATAGTCGCCAGCGTATAGTGACGTCGGAGTAGACAGGTTCCGAGTGTTGTGTGTACTGGCTTGCTTACAGGGTGTCCAATCCCTGTCATCGAAGAAAGCATCTAATTCGGGGAGAGAATCGATGTACCGCCACTCTAGAGATTCCAGGTCGGGAAGATTAAGTGACGGTGGGTCGTAATCCACAATTCCCACAGTGCGATGTGATCGCAAGGATGTTTTGATGGCTCGTCCATTAAATTCCAGCCCGGTGATTCTAGTAGGTGCAGAAATAACTTCTATCTCAGTCGTAGAGTTGATATCGCCATTTAAACGAAGTATTTGGCCGGAAATACTTGCGTTGCGAAGTAGATACCCACCCTTCACAATAACAGATTTATCGGCTCTGGATGGCGAGGAATAGAGGCCTAAGGTCCCTGGAATAGGTAAATCCAGAACCCAGTAATTATAGGCTTCGTTTCTCCAGAGCAGATGAATCTCCAAGCCATCGCCGAATGTAATAACTCTGCGCCCAGGCTGAACATACCATTGCACAACAATCGCGGACTTGGTGAGGTGAACTTCTACGCCCTTTCCCTCGACATGACGGTGGGCACCAAATTCAATGGGCAAAGCAAACTCATGAAGTTCATGTTCACCTCCATAAAGCACTAGCGTTATTCGTTCGCTCGACTTCTTCCAGGTAAATATCTCTGCGGTGGAGTATATCAGATTAATACCACCGACATCGTAGTCTACCACATGGAACTTGGAATCTCGGCCATTCAGGCTGAGCCGTCCTCCCATTTGGGGAAGAATCAAGTTTCCAATACTAGATGACACGCGGAGACGATACGAGATGCGATCAATTGATGTCATATCGCTGTGGCGGACGATATAGAGGTCGGTCGGTGACCCAGTCAGTCGTGTCACCACAAGGGCACGAGTATCAGTGTGAACACCGGATGTACCGTTATCGGGCTGGGATAGTAGATAGCTAGGTGATGCTTGTAAGAAGGCGGCTTGAAGCTTCATTTCGCTGTATTTCTCCCGATGAACAAGGCGATTTTCAGAGATTCCTGCCCCAACATCGTACGAGGTGTGACCGCCGGGATGGCCTAGATTGCCCCAGTTCGTCCCTCCAAATAACTGTTTTCATTAGCGACGCACTTTGATGGATGTATTGTATCATCACCATGTAGATATTCTGTATGGCAGTTCGAAAGCCATAGTTTAATTTATAGAAGACGCGGGCGAACTCGGCATTGATGTAAGAAGCGGCTTGTTCCACACCAGGCCCTCCCCTAGGATAATACAATTCAGTAAAAAGAACCATACGATTGCAGTAAAGTACGTAGAGCTTACCAGGGATCCGGCACCCCTCCCTGAAACTCAGAGATTGACATGGGCGACCCAGGGGCAATCCTGCTATGGATCGTGAAGTTGTACATACTCAATGGATTAAGCAAAGCAGACCAGTCCGACGCATCCGGCGCTGTGGGGAATGGTCAAAGAAAGAATTATTATGCTAGGAAAGATAGCACCACTTACGTGCAAAAGCCCATCCCAATGGATAAGAATCAAAGCTGTAGATATCACCGGCCCCAACACCAGTTCCAGGACCGAAGTTTCCGACGGAAAAAGCGTCATTGATAATATAAGGAACCGTAATTCCCGCTTTGCGATATTCTTTCTGCACATATGCCATGTATTCTTTGTCAAGACACGACGAGTCGATACCATCCAGGGTCATATTGTTGATCTGCGTGTACTCGGTCGTATTCAGGCATAAAGTATATTCATTTTCAGGTTGGAAGAGAATCACGGGTCCACCGTTCGTGATCTGCGCGCTGGAAATTCTCTCACCGGTAGCCTTGATGTATGGAGTGATGGCGTCGAGATAGTCCGCATCCGTTGATCGCAGTCGCCCTGGCAGGCGTGAGAGCCATCCCGGGAAGCCACCGCCAGAGACTTCAGAATTGATATATGGTCCAGGGCGAGCAATCAGGTAGACGCCTGCCTGTCCAGCGGCGGCGAAGAACTCATCCAGATCAAAGACGCCTTCGATGCGGACTTTGCCGCGTTCATGCTCGATGAGTGCCCAGTCGAGATAGAACGAAACAGCCGAGTACCCCAACGCACGCACCTTTTGGAAGATGTCTAGCCAGAGGCCCGGAGATGGTAGTCGGAACGGGTGAAATTCACCGGACAACAGTATGATGCGCTCACCGCGGACAAGAAGAGAGTACTGATCCCATGTTACGAGATCCTGAGTTGGTACGACTTGTTTTAGCTCATTGGCTTTAGCAAAAATTAGTCGTCGTGGTTGCGAAGCGAGCAGCGCGCTTAAAATGCAAAAATTAAAAATGAAGTTGGGCCTCATCTTTAGCAGTTCTGGACTAATGGACTGAGTAGTGTTGGGATAATCAAGATATTTCTGAACTTATATACCGCATACATCTAGTTTTCATGGTGGCGTGGGGTTGACTGGACAATTTTGACTGAGCCGGAATAGGATTAAATTCCAAATCATCTCCCCGCCTTTTTCACTGGGGAACTATCGCAGACCATTAAGTCTAGGCAAGTACTAACTAACGCTGGATATACCTCTTTGGCTGATGGAACGGAGCCTAGCCCTGGGCGTTTTCGCTATCATTGGACGATAATTCTTTAGAAAATGGTTAAATAATAAATGTATCGGTACTTATTTGTCATGGAGGGCAATCAAAAACCTGATTTTTAACCAAAAGCCCTTCTCGCAATGCATAAGTAGCCAAATAAGGATATGAATACGAATACATACCGCTGAATAGTCGGGGTTTCACACGGAAGGCAAAATTCCTGCGGGGTCACTACCGCCGATCTCCGCTGTAGAGGATTTTCATTCGTTTAGTTGAAATGCACTAAAATATGCGAATACGTTTATGAATTGGTCAATTCTGCCATGCTTCCTATTCCGTACTACGAGTACTAGTACAGGTATTGGTTTACATTTACCAGCTGCTATTCCGTTGTATGTACTAGATTCCAATATTGAAAATTATGTTATATCTCTAAACTATTCTTTCCAAGGTTCCGAGTCTTGATCGAAATCTTTAATTCAATTCAAATCGCGACTTCGATCCCTGAGCCCCCGTATTTTCCGATTCCACGGCTAGCTGTTTCCCCCTAAACTGATGAATATGGTCCTTCAGCCCCTTGTCGAAATTAAAAACACAAAGAAGCAAGTTGACGAGCGTGCATGCAATCAACAGGATCGCTATAGAAGCAAAGAAAGACAAAGATACTCGATAGAAACTCAAGCCATCACTATCTTCCGACGAACTATACATCTTCTCCAAAGTTTTAGCTATGCCGGCAACGATCCCGCACAGGCAAATCTATCAAAAGTCAGATTATAAACCCAAGAATGAACCTGAATTAACTTACCACAGGGATAGTCATGAGTTTGGCTTTCTCCCTTTGACAGAAGCGCGCAGCCAAACACAGCCCTACCATTGCAATAGGGACCAGAGCTGCGTTAATTATAAATTCTTCGCCTATTTGGTTCAATGCGAGGAGAAATTGTAATTGACTTCCAAATATGAAAAAGAAGTCAAACTTCAATAGAGCGATAAAGATCTAGTACGTGTCAGTAAAGGATATTATATCAGATCTTTCAATAGCGCCCAAACCTGATAAATATGGTACCGCCGATTCATTTTCAAGTCAGCGCTGACATTCTTGTAAATCAGCCAGGAAAACTCTGCAAATAGCTTCCAGGCCACAAATGTCATGAAGATTGTAGCTACACCCAAGATGATTGGAATCAACATGAGCTGGAGCCGATATATTGATAAAACACTGGTACTTAAGGCGCCATCATTTGCTAGGTTTTTAACAAAATGCATCACTTCTGATACTTGGAGGATCCCATATGTTAGGAGTCCAAGATTGCAAATGCAAAGCCCCAGCAATTGGAATGTGTTTTGACGTCGCAATGCATCATAAGATAGTACTAGTTCATACAGTAGAGCGAACATGTAGAGACCGAGGAATGATTGGAGACGTGATGATCCGTCCATTTTTCCATGCTCCAGAATGCGATCGGATATGCTGATGAAGATCCAACTAGACAAACAGTTAGCCGGCGAAGCTGAATTTGATCCTAAGTGGGTAATTAACGTTTCAATCGCGACAGTAACAATCGTCTCGAGGATCACTGTTATCAAAAAGGTGCGCGTCCATAGTGTATTCGGAAAGTAGAGCCGCGAGTGGTGCTTCTCAGACGGAGCACACGAATTTCCATCGGGAACAGGTGTGTCAGGTCTTGAGAAATCATTGATCTCGATATAGGTCTGTTTTTTGTGGGACACAGGCACTAAAGAGCTCTGGTTATCGCGGCGACCCGAGTAGGATGCAGCATTAGAGCCCGCCGTATGTCGCATTTGAGTAGTTGATAAATCGCGCGAAGAGGATAAAATTCCGCCGATAAAATAGGTTGTTGTAAAAAAAGTTATTAGGCTGAAATTTGTCATTGCCAGTCAAAAAGGGTAAACGAATTGTGGAGTATCAATCCGAATACGAAGCGGGGCGCAGAGAGACACTATGCATTGCGAGCCCACTAGAGTACCAAGCCACACTTAAATAAGAACGACCCGACTCCATCGAGTAATTTACCAGGCAGTGCAGCTATGATATGGTATAATTTCTGTTAATTATGGAAACTCTTCCTAAATAAAAAAGGCGACAAAAAGAAGAAAAAAATTATCCTTCCTGGTCTACCGGTGTATAAGCTTTGGTAGTCGCGCCTGGCAAGCCAGAATTGGCGATATGAATAAATAATAGGGCTCCAGGATGCTCGTTCGCCTTCTTGATCCGTTTTTCTCCATCCACATTATGATGCCGGGGATCCCAGCTGCCACGCAGGCCAAGCCGACGAACAGCCCTGTCGTCCAACTGGGTCGATCGAATCTATTGAATGCCCACATGCAGACCGCTAGGCAGACCTGAAAAACTGTATTCAAGATATTTCCCCAGACTACCACATCTAGTTTCCAACTCGGGGTAGGTGTAGCATAGCCGCCGTCTCATTTCCCGGGTGCCTGTTCCAAGTGATCGTCTGTAGCAGGGTCAAAGCGAAAAATTTTTGAAACCAATTTGCGTGGATTTCTCCGAGGTGATCCAACGCTTTCTGTTGATTGGTTTTCCCTGGCCCCAGACGCCATCGACACCACAGGTAGAGTTCACGGGCGCGCCAGGGGAAGAGGCCGAATCCAGTGACGCAGAAAAGCGCATTCAGGATTTAGGAGTCATACTCAATCCCCATTCGGCGTGATGAATAGAGATCATTGCAGCTCGGGTGGCACATTTGCGGGGCTGCGTTGCAAAGCAAAAGAAATAACATTCCCCCCCCCCGCGATTATGTTGAGGCCATAAATCGTGATTGCAAATCCCATAGGCTTCAAGAGCCAACGACCAAAACCATGGGGCATAGTTCTCCACCTGTCTGACTTATACTTGTGAGAAGCGTTCTTCTATTGAGCTTATCAACAAAGTTCCAAAAGTAATGAGAGAATATAAAGAGGTTAAAGACTGACAAAGCCCGGTAGCAGCCCCGTAGACTGAATGGTGCTAGTTAATTCTATGCGAGCGACTTGCTGGTCGACCGATTCATGAGAATTATTAGATTTAGGGTTCGCCATTTTCCTTTGCCACTCTTTTCAATGCTGCTGAATGCGTGAGATTGGCCGAGAGAAATAAATGTGACGCGACGAAGGAGCGACAGTTGGGTGGATGAACTTAAGGACTCGGATTAGGTCTGGTTTGAACAATCTGGACAACTACTAGGAAGTACTAAGTACTAGTTAGTATCGGCCCGGGGGCTACCGCCAGATGTGAGCTCCGAGTCTTAAGAAGGGATGCAGTAATGAGAGAAATTCAAGTCTTTTTTTTAAAAAATCCCCAGAACTTTAACATGGTCTCTTATTGGAGCATATACTAGTATACGAGTATGACAGCATCGGCTCTAGCACCACCGTACCATTTCAGAGCATTAGTTGCCAATGCAAATACGGCAATTCGAATAATAACTGTATCTAAATTCATCTAAGGCAATAGTGAGCTCAGTATCTCCATATGAGCAGCTCTTGCTAATTGTATGAAAACCTTCGCGAGACACAAGGGCAGCGTATCACGAAAACCCAAAGGTTTACCCATGAAATACCGTGGAAATGTCTGCACACCTAATCCAGCGACTAGCGTGAATTTTTCATGCATGAGTCTATTCTTGTCCCCTCTTTGCCACGCTGCGGTGAATCGGACGTTCCACTATTCATTTCCCCTGCGTTCCAATTCAGGTAAATGATACGAATACGGACACTATTGATCTAGCCAAACCTTATCCATCACTGTACCAATTTTGCCGCCTAATATTATAGCCTTTTTACGTTTGCAATTGATCTTCCGGTGTTTATACGAAAGATTTCTTCTTGTTGCACCAATGTACCAGGTCCAGCAGTGCGAAAAAAACAAGAACAAAAACAAAACAAAACAAAACAAAACAAAACGAAATTCCCTTGGGCGATCCGAGTCACAGAATGCCCGATCCACAAGAGCCTTCAGGTCAAGGCCAGCTTCCTCCGCCCTACTCGCTCGGTGGAGATGAAGGGTCGACCTTTGATTCAAGCAACGTTCAAGTTCAGGGTATTTTTTTTCTTTCCTGTATAGCGAAACATATTTTTGTGAGAATATGCTAACTTTCGGTGTGTAGCTGACGGTCGCGTGAATATCAACCTCGAATCCAAAATCGCCCAAACCCTCGCTCAAATCATCGAATCCCAACAAGAAGACCTAAAAAATCCACCCCCTGACTATGATGAGACGGAGGGAATTGAAGAGGGTGACATTGATTGCCCCTTCCGACTGAACATCGTGATCCAGATAGTGGGTAGTCGCGGGGATGTGCAACCTTTCATCGCGCTGGGTTCAGCATTGCAGCGATGGGGTCATAGGGTTCGCATCGCGACTCACGATACTTTTGCAGATTTTGTCCGTGGGTCTGGGTTGGAATTCTATCCGATCGGGGGCGACCCAGCGGAACTGATGGCGTACATGGTGAAGAACCCAGGGCTGATTCCTCAAATGCGGACATTGCGTGACGGCGAGGTGAAGAAGAAGCAAGTCATGGTTGCAAAAATGCTCGATGGCTGCTGGAAGTCATGCCTGGACGATGATCCAGTAACGAAGGAGCCTTTTGTAGCTGACGCTATTATCGCTAACCCACCTAGCTTTGCACATATTCACTGTGCTCAGGCACTAGGTGTCCCTGTTCACCTAATGTTCACTATGCCTTGGACAAGTACTGTAGGCTGGGACATGTTATCAACCGCTGGCGAGAATCGATTAATCTAGATCCTGTCCCCAACATGGAAGGTCCTAGCTTGGCGGAAGCGTTAAACGTGCCTTTTACTTATTGCTGGTCTCCAGCTCTGATCCCAAAGCCGCAGGATTGGCCATCACATATCGGTACGCTATGAAGAAAAGTCAGATTCAGGGGATGTTGAACTAACCTTTTCAGATATTTGCGGCTTCTTAATTCGAGACACTCCTACTTACTACCCGCCTGTGGATTTAGAGAAGTTCTTGCAATCTGGTGAACCTCCTGTGTACATTGGCTTTGGTAGTATCGTGGTCTCAAACCCTCAAAAACTCATCAATACAGTCCTTTTGGCGGTGGCACAGGCTGGTGTGCGAGCTATCATCTCGAAGGGCTGGGGTAATATTGTGGGGCCACCAGATCCCAACATCTATTACATCGAAGATTGTCCACACGAGTGGCTCTTCCAACATGTGTCAGCTGTCGTTCACCATGGAGGCGCTGGCACCACCGCTTGTGGCTTATCGAAGAGTCGGCCTTCGGTAATTGTGCCTTTTTTTGGGGAGTAAGTATGGCAATTTGCTATCTGAATTTTCCTTACTGACAGAGTTCAAGCCAACCATTCTGGGGCAATATGGTCGCCAGATCCGGTGCTGGTCCTAGACCCATTCCATACGCCTCTCTCACCGTTCAAAATCTAGCGGATGGTATTGAATTTTGTCTCACAAAGGAATCAAAAGCGGCGGCGGAATCAATTTCTTATAAGATGCGGATGGAATCGGGAGTCAAGGCTGCCGTCAACTCGTTTCATCGCAATCTACCGTCAGCTAGAATGCGGTGTGATATCATACCTGGCCAGCCTGCAGTGTTGAAATATTCTAAGGGCAAACATCCACTCAACCTCTCCACGGCTGCAGTGTTGACTTTGATTGGAAATAATAAGGCCAACGAGAATCATTTTAAATCGTATGTAAATAAATGACACATTTCCCTGCGTGTCACACCTGGAAATATCGGGTGACAGGATTTGACTAACATGACTTTGCCTTCGTTCATTCAGTTACAAGAGCAACCCAATCTTCATCGATAAACATCGTTGGGACCCAGTGACGGGTATTCTCTCTGCAGCAACAGCCACCGGCTCCAGAATGGTGCAATCCACTGGCGAGATCTTCTATAGCCCGTATAAACAATATACACGCTCTCGGTCTCCTATGCCATCCGAGTCTTTGGCCAGCTCATCGCAACTTGGCTCTGGTATATCTACCAGCAATGATGGGAAAGAGGCTGGAATAGTCACTGCTGGCAAAATGGTGGGTGCAATATTACAAGGCTTTGGTAAATTTACAGGGGGATACTTCAAGGGGTGGTAATCGATATTCCCCATGCGGCTGCCGAGGGATTCCGACAGGTGCCCCGACTATATGGAGACAAACCCAAGGAATATGAGCCTGTGAAAAATTGGAAAAGTGGTGCAGTATTTGCCGGTAAGAACTTTGTGGATGGAATGAGCGAAGGGTTCTCGGGATTAATTACGCTGCCTATCAAGGGTGGCAAGGAAGAAGGAGCTTTGGGGGTTGTCAAGGGTCTCGCCAAGGGTACCATCGGGCTGGCAACGAAAGTACCTTCAGGTAAGGAGTGCCGTAATCTCTGAAATGGTAAAAATCTAATTGATTATCTTTATCACAGCTGGCATTGGATTGGTAGCTTACCCACTTCACGGAATCACCAAAAGCATCGACGCGGCATTCCGGAATAATATTGACAAAGCAATTGTGATCGCACGGCTCCGAGATGGCCGCAATAAACAAAGGAGAGAGCCCTTAACTGGCGAGGAGCAGAATGGTACCCTACTATTCTGGAAAGACTTTCAGCATGAGGAAATACGAGCTATATAAATGTCAACTAAGCTAATAAATCTGCATGCCATGGGATGATACCTAGGTAGCAAATCCTTACGTAAACCGAAACGAAGCTGATGAGGCCTCTCTACCTACTGATTACCTTTTCATGCTTCAATGGTGCCAATCTAAGCAATTCGATGAATTTCTTATGATAGAGCATGGTCATACCAACATCCATTTTGTAGATATTCAAGTTTTAGTGGATAGGTTACCCGGTCTATATTAACCTCACCGTCCCGTAGCCATTTCCATTTCACTTCACATATTCAAGTCTCTCCTACTCGTACGTAGTACACTGAACTTACTGGGAGTTTATTAGATCGTTTGGGTAGTAGACATGGTCGCTGTAAAAGCTGCCCCGAGCAGTTTCTATGAAGTAATAAGTTGAAGAGAGCTGTTATCAAAGCATGGTATTTTATTTCGGGCTGTACGTCAATTTAGACAGAGCTGGCTGTGGCGAAAACAGAATCCCAAAATTATCTTCCTCCAAGTGCTATTTTCAAGCTATCGGGAGTGTGAGGTCACGAGATACTCATATTCTATACTGTTGGGCTGTGTCACGACAGCTAGATACAGACAGGGACCTGGGCTAAAATGACGTAGATCAAGATAAGACCTCATTCTAGACCAGGTCTATTGAAACATTAAAATAATTATCAAGTGAATGATTGACTGGAAAAACAAGTTTTCGGGTACAAACGTACCAGTACTTTGTCTAGTCGACTTTTAAAAGTTATACATTGACGTTTGTGCTGCTTAGCGTGAAACCACTGAAGACTGCCCAGGTAAAGTGATGTCTCAATAACATCTAACTATCCAATCCAAACCTTGAAGACAACCATTTAACTAGTATTTGCCCTAGTACCTTCCAATAGGTATTCATTGCAATTATATGATTATGGCCAACGTGTTACAAAAGCTTTCAGGATCCATGGATATACTTGCTGGAAACCAATCCCAGACGTTAAATTAGCCCTTACATCCCCGCCACACAAGGACATTTTATTACAAATATACTTTCTCCGATGTCTCCAGTAATATGCCTACTAGAGGGACTAATGCAAAGCATTCAAGCACGGCCCTCGTGCTGATCCACGGGGATGTCTGGAATCAACATACTCCCAACGACTGAAGATACTCAGTCGATACGAACTGCCCTTTCAGCTGAGTACCAGGAGTATGACAGACAGGGATCAGTTCAACATATCTAACAGGTCAGGTTGATGACATATTGTCTGTGCGTATGCGTGTGGGGGGCATCGAATGTGTGTTCCTGTGGCGTGTGGCGGCGATATTTGAGTCTCGCTGATGGATTTGACATGCATCAGCCTCCACATCAATCTGTCAGTGCGGTCTTAAAATTTTCACTGAAAAACAAATCGATTTCCAGATATGGTGACGTATTTAGCTTGTCAACTGGCCCCTCATAGAATCTTCATTGTGCGCTCATTGCACACAGCCCAGATAGACCGTGGGCTGTGTATACAGGCTTTAGATATCAACGAGGCTCTCAAGTTCACAAGAATTGATCCGATATGATAGAGATGAGCAAGAAAAAGCAGATCATGTCGAGAGCATACACGTGCATTGATATGACCTCATGTTTCCCTGTTGTTTGTGTCTCGTCGAAGGGCCAATGCGAAGGGAAGGAATTGCAACGGGAAGAAAAAGCAAACACTACTAACGAAAAGAGTTTTCGCCAGGGTACCACGTCGTTCTAGGAAAAAGAAATGAGAGATCCATTCGGGCACCTTCAAAATGGAGCTATGATGCCGCCACCCTGGGTAGAAAGTCATAGAACCACCCCCAACATATATACCAGAAACTAAACAGGAATCGGAAATTAGCAAAAAAAACCGTAGAACTAAATTGGAAAAAGGCGAAATGCATTTATCCCTTGCGGTGGACTCGTCCAGCCCGGCTTAAAGACTGCGGCAAGCGCGCAAAGCGCGAGAGGGAGGGAGCGGTTGCAGCGGGAACCCCAGATGGACCTGGTGGAGTCACAGTGGAGACTGTGGAACATAGCACGAAAGGAGGGTCCTTCATTGGGGCGCAGATCTGGACCTGGTGATCTTTTGTCCAGATTCTGCTGCAAATGCAGCAAAAATGGGGTAAGCAGTGTGTGAAGGATGTGACTTTTTCGAAACATACTGTAAGTCTCCCTGCACTTCTGCCCTATATCCGACCAGGGTAAGAATAGCCCAGCTGGCAGGACGGTCCAGCGACAGCAGCGATCCACGGGGCGAAACAGCCATGCCGGTAAGCCAGGGCTGGAACTCAAACTAGGACCAGGACCGGGGCCGCGGAAGAAAGGACACTGGTCCCCGCTGGGGGATCCCCCCCCCCACACACGCTTTAGGGGCTATGTACCTTGGGGTTCTGATACGTCAGGCTTAGTCTTGTCCCTATCGTGCTAGGCCGGTGACGGTGTGATGTACGCCTGGACTGGATCGAGGTCCCTGGCCAGTCGGATTGGGCGTGTTAGAACAAGAACTCTGCGCTTGGTCAAGAGAACTGGGGCCGAGTCAAACATTGCCTCCACCCCCGAGTTTGAGCGGAGTTGTACGTACATTATTGCTGATGTCGGTTCGCCTCCCGCGATAAATCACCTGGTCATCATGCAATCCATCCCTAGCTGAAGGTTGCGAGGCTACCGAGGCGATGTATACTCCCCGACGCTATCCGTCGGGGTGCATGGTCTCAAGAGATATTTCCCCAACGATCGAAAGATCCCTGAGGCACACCCAGGTTCGTTCACGAGGGGCGCGTGCACGGACCTGGGATACGCGAGCTTGACGATTCCTCGAACCTAACACGGTCGTTGTGCCTAGATCGTGCCTAGCGACTGGGTCAATCCACCGGATGGTGCGACCTGCCCTTTTCTTTCCCTCTCCAAGCGCCGATAATCCGTCTTGGAAAACTGGCCGGCTTGCCCCGCGCCGTGTTATGAGTCGTCTCGTGTTGTCTTAACTCCACCGAGAGGAGCAGTGGAGCTAGGGGGTGGCAGATGTACGAATCTTCATACCGAAAAACACAGCCTGGCCTCGACCCGCCCAGTTCAAAGCTGAGGTCAGTCCCGATCATGGGGCTGCTGTCAATACCTGCCGAGCGATGAACTAAAGAGGCTTTTTCTCCCTAAAAAATAAAAATAAAATAAAATGGATTTTCATTTTAAATTTTCTTTTGCGGGGAATCCCTGAGCGTATCACGGCAGGCCCGCAGACTCAGTCGCACTCAATCTGGAATGTGGAATGTATCTGCTTGGTCTCTTGGGTTGAGTATCCATTTTTTGACTGAGCTAGCGTGGCTGACCTTTACCGTCTGGTGATCTTGGTTCAATTTGTTGCCTGGGCCCAAACGGGATCATATCATCGACCGTGGGAGGCATGTTATTTATGGAGCCTCCTTCCAGCACTCATTTGGTATTCAGATCTCTTTACTTTTTTTTCCTTTCTGAAAAAGCTTCTTCGTCCCCTTTTTTGCATTCCTTTATTTGAATATTCCCTTTGCGATCCTTCAACTTCATTCCAACTATCTAAACCCAGCCCAACAAAAGTATAGACGTGGAACGGTGGCCGCATGGAAAAAGAATGACAACCTTCTCGCTGGTGACGCTTTGTATCGTCGCACTTTTGATCGTCGTGCGATATCAAAAAGAGATCTTCAACTGGTCTAAGACGATATTAAGACAAAAAGGGCTGTTGAAAAATGACGCCGCAGACGACCCGTCAAATGTTAAGCGCCTCGCGCCATACCCGGCACAGCCTATTCGAGGTAGAAAGCAATACCGCGTCATGATGGATGTTCGCAGGATGGACTCCCAGAACTGGCTCACTCTCGACAAGCACTACATAGAAGAACACCGCGTACGGGACCACCTGCTACGTGAGAAAAGGTCCGAAGTCCTGCGATGCTTGCCCGAGTCACTCGAGGCCTGTCAGGAAGCACTAGAGGATGTATCCGACTTTCTCTGCCAGCGATTTCCAAACATGTTCGAAAAGAGCTCCGAAAACGACCAAACATTCATTCGAAACTGCATGACCGGAGAAAAGTTTGATCTAGGCAGATCAGCCCCAAGTGGAATCGACACCGACGCCCTGGAGGCAGCTGTGCGACTCACGATGGAAGACTTGAGTATTATAATGCTCAATGAGGAAGGTGAATACTATTTGTACGTATTTATTGCTCGATTACTGCAATCTATGTCTTCGTCTAACTTTGATTATAGGGCAGCCAGTGCTAGCTTATTTCCTACGGGCTGGACTGTTCAGGAACGAATCGGATGGACAATTTCTCGAATGCACGAGCCTGTACCATTGTGGCATCAACAGGTTGCCAGTTCCGTCAGCAAGTACGAAACTCCGTCAAACGAAATTTTCGAAACCCATCAACTAATCCCGGATACAGGTTTCTGGTACGCCTCACCCCAGCTTCACCCATGGAGCGCTCCAATTATTTTGTGGAAATCAGGCGACCCGATGAGAATCTCTTCGAAATCTTATACCGCCCTGGATCTCTCTGTGAGAAGGAGCTGGATAACCCGTTGCCCGAAGAAATCATTATTCGTCGAGAGAGACAGACTTTCCGCCGACTTCCTCGTACCAATGCCATTGTCTTCGGGGTCAAGACATATCTGACTCCGCTTGACCAGCTTCCCATGCAAGACTGGAGAATCTCGTTACCGAGATGAAGAGTTGGCCCGACCATGTGAGCGAGTACAAAGGCAAACATGTTTGGAGTAAGAAGGTTTTGGAGTTCTACAACAAGCGTGTGGCTACCGCTCCTTGCGAAACTAAGGAGAAGGTTGAAGTTTGAGGGCGAAATCACGCCATGAATGAATGAGATGTTGACGACCTTGCGTGTTTTGCTTTTTCTGTTGCCTTTCCCCCCCTGTCTAACATTCCCTATATTTTATATTTGGCGTTTGTCATTTAGGTTTTGCGATCTTCATAAACTGGGTGGCTGTCTGAATACTTTTTTATCCTTGCTTTTTCAAAAGCCTGGCATTGCTTTCTTTTTCCGAGTCAAAGTTCATTTTATTATCCGAGTGGTGCCTATTAGGAAATTAGATCAATGAAATTTGATAATTGTGATCGAAATTCTTCATAATTTATTATTAAATCAACAAGGGGACTTCAATTAATAATGTAGATTTGATTGGTTTGATCATTAGCTACTGACTAGCAGTTAGATCGTGCCTCCACAACATTGGAAATCGAACGAATCAGAAACAGAAGAAAAGTATATCGAAAAGAAAGATAAGAAACGATAAGAAACGATAAGAAAAACAAAGTCTATGATTGAAATATGTGTATAGAATGGAAGAAGGTTGGCCGAGAACAGGAATATGTCTCGAGGTTAAGGGGTATCAAAGAATGTCGAGTTAAATCTTCGCCAGGGGTGGTTTATCTTGCTTCAAACGAACAACGCCCTAGAAAATGGTTAGTAATTCAGTGCTTGTCATGGAACCAGGCTATCTTCATACCTCTTGTGTGCATGTGGCAATCAGCACGCCATCCTTCGACCAGATCTTTTGGAGAGCTAATCCTCGACCCTCGCCAGCCCACGGACTCTCCATTTCGATCAACATCCACTCATCGGCCCGGAAAGCTCGAGGATTGTGGAAATATATTGAGTGGTCCAGACTGACCATCATGCCGACCTCCTTGTGTTGTTGTTGATTCTTGCCATTGGTGGCATCGCTGAGAGCTCCTTCGAGTCGTCGTCGGAGATCGGTCGCCTCTTCCTCCTTCAGTTCCTTCAGAGCCTTGGTGATATCCTCGTCGTCAAGATCGGAAGGGTTCTTCAATGCCTTCAATAGCTTCTCCAGCTCTGCGGGGGACGAAAATCGCGGAATATCGTGTACTCGAGCGACTGTCCCAATGAAGAAGCTGTCGGTAACATAGGCGAGTGCGGAAAGATGAGCTTGGAAGCCACCCTCCTCAGAGATATGACCACGAGCCCGGACAAATCGCCGCATCTTCTTATCTTCGGGATAGGAGGCACGGTTCACGATTCCCGCTTTCTGGGACTCAAAAGGACCACCCCCGGCTTCACTCAGCGCTTTGACTGTGCCGGGAATGACCGGTTGTGGGAGGGGTACATCGGGTTTCGGGACCGCGTGGTTCAGCGTTTTCTCACCTCCGCTACCGACGCGGCTGAAGCTGAGCGTCGTGGTGAAAATGGGGCGACCGCGTTGGCGCGCCTGCACGGTTCGGGTAATGAAGCTTCGTCCGTCACGCACGCGCTCAACATGGTAGAGGATAGGGATTTCCGAATCTCCGGCTAGGACGAAATAGCAGTGCATGCTGTGTACGGCGAAATCGGCGGGGACGGTGCGCATCGCGGCGGATAGAGACTGGGCGATGGCGGCACCGCCATAGATGCCTCGAGCTCCAGGGGGTGCCATAGTGGTCTTGTGTTGGTGAATACATCCTATCGAGGGCAAAGCAGGTAAGGCATTAGTCTGCTGTTGGCATTTGCTGGAGTGAGAAGGGGGGAGGGGCGTAATACTGGGCCGAGGTCCACGACTGGCGTCAGATCCAGCACATTCTCAATGGTGGCCTTGGAATGATCCTGGGCCGGAGGATCTAGTAGTGTCACGCGGTTCACCATGTTGCTCTTTCATATAATGTGAATAAGGGGGAGCAAAGCAAAACAAGGCAAAGCAAAGCAAAGCAAAGGGGGATGATGGAGGGAGTGGAGGTCGGACGGCGGCGGCCTCCAACTTTTGTAAGCGCGGGATGAGCCGAGGTCCAAACAGGCCTGCCGCTTTGGGCGATTCTTTTTATACTTCACTCCATTAAATCACATGTACCACCTCTCTATCCTATAATTTATCGCTAATCATTAGAAGTACTTCTTTTTTCGGTTTACTAGCCATCACTCAAGCCATCGTCCGACCCGTGCTACTCCATGTTCTGGACGTTGGCGGGCTAGATTGCCGATCCCAAGTCTTCTGCGGAGGCTCCATACCGGGTAAATCTAATCGATAGGTGCTATGAACAATATCGGGGGATGGGGCACCAGAGTTTCTCTCTTCTAACAGCCGTCGCAACTGTGTCCGGGTCAGATCTTCTGGATTGACACGTACTAGTAAAGGGGTGTCGTCTTCCCCCTGTTCGTCGTGAGGACTGTATTCGCGATACATCAAGAATGCCGAGAGTCCGTATATCACAGAGAATGTACTAGGAAGTCCAATTCCAACAACTCGGAGTGCGCTGAGCGGTACAAGGCCACGACCAAGGATGTTGAAAATAACATTGAATAGGGACAAAAGGTTGATCGTCAAGTAGGGCCTGGTGATATCAGAATAACTGCGCGGCACGATGGACAAAAGAACCAAACTGACACGAAGACAGAACGCAACAGAAATATCTTCTTCCGGCGCTGAAAAAAGGCGATGGCTATGGAGCCAGTATAGCCTATCCCGATGAAGAACAAGGCGAAAACGGTCGATGCGGTTTGATCAATTCGTATCGTATCGTCCGCATCGCTGAAGACCACGGGGAGAATCAGATAACTAACAACCCACACAGGGTTAGAAAAAGGCTTTGGAGGTTCATAGCTGCCAAATCACTCACCCGAGGAGCAGTAAAATAGCCGAAGCAGCTGTCATCAGCCGCCAGGGCTTCGAAACGTATTTCGCATGTGGAGAAGAATTCCTAGGTGTGATCCTTGGACCATCAAATGGAGTGGCCTGCATTTTTGAGTGGCATATTAAGGTACCTCACGTTGAATTGCTAGGGTAATTAGACAGGGAGGTTGATGCCCAGAAGCAAGTGGTCATCGGCCATCGGCGTGGTGGTCGTATCGAGAGGTGTGTCTTCAACACGAAGTGAATGGAAAGTCAAGTTCGCCAAAGGAGGCAGGACAGGATAAGAGAGAGAGAGAGGGGGGGGGTAAGCATCCGCCTCCTTCCACGACTTCCTGTCGAGCAGAATCGGGCACGAGGTGCAGATTTTTGACGCTGAGCCACCAGGTCGATTGGCGATCACAACCATGTATGCAGCTTACCCCATGCTCCACCAATGGAATTGCCGTCCATGACTTGGTTATGCGGGGACTCTGCCTTGACGTGCGGCTGAAGGGACTAAAAAGGGTCTAGACTGTCAAAAAAGAAACGCCTCGCTGCCCCGTCGCGGGTTGACGTAGAATCCTTTTTTCCATAGGCAAATCATTTCATTTTCCGTCCCTCCAACCCCTTGATAATGCATTCCCATCACCATGAGAGATTGCATAAGCCTTTAGCAAAGCAGACCTACAGGGGTGGAGTGTCCATGTTTCCCGGCGGTTTTAGGTCTTAAACCAGATCTTGCCGTGACTCTCTCTTTCTGACAACCATTAAGTTCTCCTGCATAGGCAAGCACCTGGGGCTGAGGCCTTGTACCTTATTTCGGTGCCCTAACTGTGATTGGCTCCGGCGCTGCCGACAGATTTATCAGGGTCGGTCGAAGATATCTGAGTTGCACGCCTGACATTTACAAGCCGGCGACCGTCAGATTTTTGGTTTACGAGGATCAACGTGATTTTCTTTTATCAATGAAGGTGCTACTAATAGCAGTAGCCTCGATATGATGTGCCATTGAAGGCTTCAGTGTTCATAAATCAATAGCTTGAATTTATTGTGGACCAAAAATCATAATGGTATCCTCCTATTCCAACCCGCTCATAATGATATCATCTCGCCCCCCTGGATCGCGTATTGTGGCAATGAGTATGTATTTGCGAATTCAAGGAGGAATATCATTCGTGCTTCTTTTTTCTCGATACATCAACGAATTTTTTGGTTCTAAAATTGTGTATGTCAAGATTGCCGTCAGGCACTTCGTATCTGCAACTTGAAGTATCAGCCGGGAATTTCTCTCGACACTGATACTCTGGGAGAAACAAACATTGATCCATTTCGAAGTCGACGAGTCCTAATCAGTTGACCTCCATTTTGCGCAAGTTCGGATGTGAAACTGAGGGTTTGTGATCGATTAGAATGACAGACCACTGGCAAGAAACTTCGAAAGATGAAGTGCATACTCCTGTCGCTCGCTCTCATTAACAAACGGTCTGAACTTTACCTATATCCACAGTCATTTCCGCATCATTGGTTTCTGAATAGGGTAACATACGAGAAATTGAGGCATTTTTTTCTTCATCGATTGAAGCTAAGATTAAAATCTGCACTGGGGGTAGACGAAGAGGCTCTACATATACGAGATGTGTATGTCATGATTTGCTCATTGCAAATCATTGACACGTACTACTATCCGCGGACCAGTAGTATTGTCAGAAAACGGCATAAACGAAACAAGGATCGATTGACATCGTTGAAATTAAAGACCCTCCTTGACCACGGTTGAACATGAATGAAGTTTGACAGATAACTATCGTGCTTTCATCTTCTTTTCACCAGGTCACATATCAGCCCTTCCTGCTGGACAAACCAGACATTCTTCGTTTTCCAAGCTTTCAATGGATCGTGCAGGCGAATCTCAAATTCGCGCAGTAGTTGCGGAATAATCTTGTGCATCTCCATCAAGGACACATTTTTCCCAAGGCAAGTTCTCGGACCATATCCAAAGTTAAAAAAGCTCTGCTCCATCTCCTTCAGTTTCTCTGGTGAACTCGATAGCCAGCGTTCGGGAATAAATGAGTCAGGCTCAGGGTAAACTTCCGCATTTCGATGCAAAACCCATGCGTTGATGCCAACAATGCTCCCCCCTGGAATTTGTTTTCCACAAATGAAGGCACCTTCCTTCGGAACTTCTCGCTCCAAGATCAGTCCCACAGAAGGATGGAGACGCATGGCTTCTTTCAGAACCGCAGTAAGGTAAGGCAAATGTGTCATAGACTGTCGGTACGAAACTGGATTCCCAAGCTTGCCTTCATTATCCGCGTCGTCGAGCTCGGCTCGAAGCTTTGTCATGGCTTGTGGGTTGCACAAGAGGCAATGAATGACTGCTCTGAGTGCGATGGCGGTAGTATCCGAACCTGCAAACACATTGCCCGAGAGGTGTACAATGACATCTCTTGTAGAAAACTTTTCAGGATCCGCATTATGAGCTGCCATCCACTTTGACATCATGTCTTTTCCACCGTTCTTTTCGTCATTATCTAGCTCACCATCACGTCGTATAGAGGACCGTGAGTTCATGGCTTTCAAAGTAAACATAAGAACCTGGTTCCAAGTTTCCATGCTAGGCATCAATATCGGGAAAAGTGGGTTTCCAAGGAGTAGGGGGTGCATCTCGGGAATTTGGCCACATAGACTAGCATAGACCAGCATCCCTTGAATTGCCTCCATCATGCCGTCAATATCTTTTCCTTCTTGGAGAAAGCCTAATTTCTTTGCAAAGACAAATTCACCAACTACATCAAATGCATAGTATTGAAGCCAGGCTCCCAGGTCAACGGGTGTCTTTCGATCAACAAATTGACGTAACTGTGAAATTAATAGTTCAGAGCACGAGTCCACTGCCGGTTCAAGTTCCAGAAGCGAGGTCATGCTATACGCATTGGCAACATTTCGCTTTTGCTCTCGGTGGTGCGTTTCATCTCGAGTGGAAAACAAATTCATTTGGAATTTCTTCTTCCACGAAATGCTTTGGATAGGGTAGAACGCAGTCTGTTCCGCTTAGTATGATTTTGTCCACAATTGACTTCGTCCCAGTTGACATGAGAAATAAAGTCGACCTTTCTCAAATGGATTTTTTCTGACTTCATACCTTGGTAAATCCGTTATTTAATCCATAGATGACCGGGATCGCCTCTGGATCTCCGACGGATATGTGCTTTGGACCAATACGGACCAAAGGGCCATGCCTTCGGTGAAGATCAATAGCGACATCTTGGTGATTGCCTTTCCACACGCTATGAAGTTTCCATAATCGGCAATATTTTGCGACGAAGGGGCCTGGGATGTCGCGAAGTCCGTGTTTGTAGCGATTGGAGAGTAAACGAATAGCTATAGAAGCTAGAATGAGCAAGCTGGATAATTTCAAATAGTCCATTCTGAGTCTCTCGCGGAACAAAGTAAAATGGTCTGAGATTTTATTAGGTTAAAATGGTTGAGGTGTGGAAGTTTTCTGTCAATAATGTCCTGCCTGTGACTGCAAAACTAGAGCAGACAGTGCGGGGTCATATTGAGGGGCGTCGGTAGACTGAGCAATGACATGGGTTTTAGTGGCATACGAGTTCCCGCTTGTCGCCGTTGGAGAGGGGAAGTCAACCTGAGCATTTGAGCACATACTCCGCGACTAGGTCCTGGCGACGGCGGAGAGGTTGAAAACACGTGAGACAACAGAACCGCATATACATTAAGAAAGGAAAAACACGACTGAATTGTCTTTATATAATAGGCACCCCCGATATAAATCTCGGAATCGTATAGTTAACTACACAGAGGATAATCCACACTTCAGCCATTTCCAAGTCACGTCCCCACTACGCCGTCAGCATCGCAAAAGTACGTAAATTATGAATTAATGACTAAACACCAAGACTAAATAGAAAATGATCGCCCAAGATAAGCCAATGAATTCACTCCTCTCAGAACTGGCAGTCCAGAGCACCTATAAGAAATTCTCAATAACTAATCCACGTGCCAGCCAAGCATCCAAGCGATCCGAGCCTCTCAGAACACCTCACTAGTACTAGTACTAGTAAAAGGAATATCTTACACCATGATGCATTTATTAATCATTCTTGGTATATCTGACTAGCATAGGTTCGTAAGAATTCCACTTTTTCAATACTCTCAAGGTCGTCAAGTGCCAGTGATATATCAATTTCCAAGGTTTAGCCTGCGCCAGGCCTAATAGGTAGTACCCATGATATATCCCAAATCTTACTCCTGCCAGTGGGTAGTAGTATTAGATGACTTCCAAGGTTCCAACCCGAAGGTTGATAAAGGTCCCCATCTCACGTGAACGGTAACCTTCATGTCGAGTTCCGAGTCCCGGCTCCGAAAGCTACGGCGAATTTTATACTCAAAACCCTGAAAAAGTATTAAGAATCTTGTAACACGGTCCCAGATTGCTAGAAAATCACAGGACCGTCCACGAAATATGGTTGCGGATCAATTGTGGTGTAAAGTGTCGCTTTCAAAACTACAAGGGCGGTCTTTCGAGGACATTAGAGATATTTGGGTGAAGCTGGATTCTGGCACAGAGCCGAAACAAGAAAGAGATCAACCGGCCATCGGTGTTGTCATATCTCAAGACACATGGGGGATCTGCTTGGAAAACTGCCGACTGGACTTCCGAAAGCCCCAATGATGACGATGTTCCTCCGTTGCGCCGTCAACTAACCTAGAACTTAGTTTTAAGGTGAGCCCCGCAAACCCCGGACCCGGATTCTATGTCGCCGAATACGGGATAAGTAGACATGGGGATGATCGGGTAGCGAATAGCTGGGCCGGAAGTCACAAATCGGGTAGCTTCCGATCCCTTCTCGGGGTATCGGAAGGGCAGAACCGCACAGCGGAATACAGGGCGGAGGCTGATTGAACAAGGTTTAATGGAGATAAACCTTAATTGCCCCAGGTTACCCCAGAATGTGGGAATCCGGACCATAGATCTGCGTAAATCTGCCGACCTATCTTCCGATTTAGATTTAAGCCTTACGCCCGCCCAATGAATTAAATTAAGGCCAGCGGAATCTCCATACCGCAAATCTAACTTTCTGAAGAAACCAAAAACCTGGGGATCTGCATCATGGATATGCCGAGCTATCTTCCGACAAATTTTTGGTAATAGCTAGTTGAGACAATGACACGTTCACTGTAGGATAATTATAAAGGTAGACGTAGGTCGTACCAGAAGAAGCTCAAGCGATCGCTTTTTTCAAATTCTAGTGTTTAAAAACACCTTTCTTTCAACCTCAAGCCCCTTTTGCCTTCTAAATAGAAGGCCAAGATACAACAACATGGACGGCGACATTACCCGAGGAGATTCGAAGTTCTCTCACAATGAGATTGGAAACATGCCTCGTTTGACTCAGATCCCTACCTCCATAACTCTCTCCGCAGAGCAGTTTGAGAGACTCTATCTGAATCCCATGATGCATCGTCAGACTGCATTGACCAAGAGCTTGGGAAACCCAACTCCACTGTACGTGATATTGAGATATTAAACCGCGGGATAGCACAGGCTAACATGCAAAACTAGGGGGCTTGGCGCTTTTGTGCTCACAGCTAGCCCACTTGCCTGTTGTTTGATGGCATGGAGGGGCGCCGGTGGTGGTGGCGCTGCGTTCACGTAAGGCAGCCATGCCCATTGGATACATTAATCAGAACCTAATTTTATGCCATGTAGCGGAGTTTTGATTTTGATGGGAGGTTTGCTCCTTGTGCTATCAAGCATTCTCGAATTTATTCTTGGGAATACCTTTTCTTCCGTCGTATTCGGACATTTGGGTAGGCTCGATCATCAAGGCGAGCTTGTTACTTTGTATACTGACATGCATTAGGGGCATTTTGTTTGGCTCTTGGCGCAACTCTAACACCTGCATTCAACTCCGCAGGTATGTCCTAATAATATGCCTTGACTCTTCAAATTCTGACCGTATTCCCCAAAAGCCCCCTACTCGCCGGAAGGAACCAACACTCTAGCGGGGCTTCACAGTCCTGGATTTGTCAATACATTTGGTTTGTTACTACCACTACTTGAACTAATTCTATATATAACTGTCTTTCTAACAGTTGATTTCTAGCATACTTCTTTGTCTTCATGGGATTATTGATGTTAATTTATACGATTTGTGCAACGCGCACAAATATTATCTACGTTGTCATTTTCGCATCCCTCATTTTGGTCTTCGCTCTTCTCGCTGCAGCTTATTGGCAGCTTGGTAAAGAGAACGAGGTGCTTGGTAATAGATTGACGGTGGTAAGTTCTTGCTATTATTGTTCTTTGGGTATCAATTTATTTGGTCGAAATGATAACTAAGGTTAACATCAACAGGGAAGCGGTGCTGCTCTGTTCCTAGCCAGTATGCTTGGGTTCTATCTATTGACGGCACAACTCCTTGACTCTGTTGGATTTCCTCTATCCCTGCCCGTCGGCGATTTGAGTGGGGTTTGGAACCGTGTAAACGCTGGGTAAGTGTCATCGCCCTCTTGGATCAACAATCGAACCATAGATTCTCATTCTGACATCCTTTCAGAAACTGCTCACAGGATCTCGAGTCTGGCTCTGACGCCAATTTCAAGGGATAATTGAGTTTGAAGAACTTCCCCGGAGCTCCCCCCCAGTGATAATACACCAACCCGAGGAGAATTCTGTTCCGGCGTATAATACGCGCTTGGTTTCGTTCGACCTGGTTGTAAGGAAATATGTCTCCTGCTTTTTGTCGGAAATAACCGACAAGCAATTTTCGTTACACTCAGGGTACTAGTACCTAGGTACGAGTATGCAATTTTCAATAATCATTTTATTACCTTTCATTTCGGGAAAAAGTGATTGGTCTTTATCAAATGTTGGAATGATTAGCTATTCGTTCGTTACATATAATGTAATTTCCTACTGTTAAATTTGGCTGTGAGCTCATCTGTCTCCAAGAGATCAATCAACCTATTACCACAGATACTACATAATCCAATTTTCGTCTTTTTTACCTGACTTGTGTCTTCAAGCTGTGCTAGAATGTACTCTAGGAACTTGTCATTTGAGAACTTGAAGTGAAGACCTGCCAAGACCTCAACTCCAACGCCAAGCCGCTGATAGATTACATGGTAATCAGGAGTAAGCAGGGTCTGTGGGGCAAAGGTCCCTAACCTCCGCCTTTCTCTGCTCTTCTATTGGCCTGGATGAGGCTTTCTGCGATCTAGCCGATGAGATATTTGATATTCGCAGAGATCCCTGCCGAGACGAAGGCGTCCAGCGGTGACCTGGCGCAAAGACCGCATCTACAAAAGGGCATAGTGTAACACCCAACCTGGATTTGATGCTAATTAAGGCACAAGTGGGGCACATGGCGTAAAATTGAGAGTTCTTATTGCTGGATAATCCTCCTGATCTCGGCCAAGTACCGTTCAGTCACCGCCGTTGGCTCAACGTTCGGGTTGACGTGCATGCTGACGGTATCCTTAGCTTATAGTTTGTCAGTCACTAATTAAGCTAAAATGAAGTGCTGTAGTAGACAGCTTCGGTTAGGGATGCTAGACCGACCAGGAAACCCGCCAATTTGTCCCATCGAGATATTTCGCATTTCGTATCTATTTTGGCTTGCTTGGTGGCGCATAGGAACTGCAGTGCGTGTGTTAATTTTGGCCACTTCACCTTGCAAACCTTGACCTGTAATTCTATTCTAAGTCATGAGATAGTCAGCATTCCAAGCCAATCATGGAAAATCCCAGGAGAAAAAAAGTCCCATCAACTATTCTTTGGGTGTTTGAGGTGTTGAGACGAAATACTAGTATATCCAATTAGGTTTCAACCCGAAATCTTATTTGATCTATGGGTTTACATGAAGGAGACGGATTAGGAAAATGGATGCCATTGGAGATTCAAAAGTGCTTGGCCGAGATATTCCAATAGTTCTCAATTCGAAACACGTGCTATTGCCCCGCTGCTGTATCTGCAGGCCAATGCCGCCATAGACTACGAGAGCATGAACTAGATGCAAGAATGAACACCGGAAATCAGCACTAAGCAGGTCGGTTGTTACCAAGGGCTTGGTCAATATTATTGATCCATATCTAGTTTGTATCATCAGGGTCTGTATAGACTGACAAGCTCGGAGGCAAGTATAAAAAGGCCATCCATCCCGGAAGAAAAGTCCAGAATCAAAACCAGAGTATCAAACAATCTTCCTTCTAATCTTTCCGACAACTCTCTCCAACAACTCTCTCAAGATGCGTTTTTCCAGTGCAATCCCTGCCTTCCTGTTGGCCATCACTGCCCCGGTTCAGGCATGGAACAGGCTTGACAAGGACAATGCTGTGCGTTTTCCGTATGCCCTCCGTGAGACTTTCAAACTTAACAAGTATACATTAGGCTCTGTTGGTGATTGATCACCAAGTTGGTCTTTCCCAAGTCGTCCGTGACTTCAGCACCAACGACTTCCGCAACAACATGCTGGGCCATGCCGCTCTCGGAAATGTCTTCAACTTGCCAACCGTCTTGACTACCTCCTCTGACGCGGGTCCTAACGGCCTCATGATCAAGGAAATCATGGAGATGCACCCCAATGCTACTTTCGTCCGTCGCCAGGGTGAGGTCAATGCTTGGGACAATGCCGAGTTCCGGGCTGCTGTCAAGGCTACCGGCAAGAAGCAGTTGATTATTGGTGGAATTGTGACTGAAGTTTGTAAGTTTACGCCTGCTATGATACTCACACACTCCTCTTGTTATTTTCAAGATACTTACCAATCAACCAGGTACTGCATTCCTGGCCCTTTCCCTAATTGATGAGGGGTATGAAGTTTACGCCAACACCGACGCTAGCGGTACCTTTGACACCCGTCTTGCCGAGGATGCGAACCGCCGCATGGAACGCGCCGGTGTTACTCTTATGGGACTCTTTGGCATTGTTTGTGACTTGATGCGGGATTGGAGAAAGACCCCTGGCCTGACTGAGCTTCTGCCTTACCTTGACAAGTAGGTTTACCTCCTAGATACTTTGCCACTCTATACATTTGCTAATTCACTGTGAAGGTACCAATTCGCCTACGGTCTTGTTGCTCGTCACCACGCTGGCGCTCTGCAGAACGGAACTCTGGCTGCTGTTGAGTTGGATCTCATCTAAAGCGCTGATGTTACTGAGTTGGAGGAGGAAGGGGAGCACGACTTTCTGTCGGGGAGCACTAAGGTCATCATAGTTGTCAAGAAAATGGATGATGTTTAGAGAGAATACTTTTTGTCCAGGTATGTCGTTTGCAAGGCCACACTATTAGCATATTGAAAGAGTACCGAATAAAATGTTCTGTGAGTCTTGTCTTTGACTGTAGCCGCGTCCCCCGGTAGCCTCTTATCGAATCTGGGCGACTCGGGCCCCAAGGAACAGGAGGATCTGATCAAACCCTTCAGGCTCCTTAACCCAATGACCGTCAACCTCCGCCCAGTGAACTCATGCCACTCGACGTGTGCCATGATTTTGTGTAGAATTTGAGACGCTTGTCGGCCGAGTTCCACAGATACCCACACATCATCTGTTCCGTGGCTTAAGAAGACGGGAGTAGATAAGATGGAACTGTTCGGTGCCTGGGTAATTTGCAAGGTCCCATCGCCAGCAATTTCGGAAAAGAAGAACGATGAAATTTCGTGCTGAATCGGGTAAATCTGGGAGGCATTGACGGCGGGTTCTGATAGCAAAGTCTCGAGTTGCTGGGCAAATGGTAACCAGCCACAAAATCCTAGCAAGCCACCCAGTGGCCCCTGAATCTTTCCTAGTCCGATTGCGGCAAAAAACGCCCACAGAGAGGTTGCCATTCCCTGACTGATACCTCCGAGATAGATGTTGGAAAACCGCCCATCAAGCAGCTTAGCCTCCCTTTCGATGATATCAATAATGTGTAAGACCGACTCTCTTAGGCCGTCTTTCTGAAGCTCCTGTCTCTCCTGGATATCATCCAACGAGTAAGCATCGAACCAGGAGCACATTTCTTCTTCAAACCTGGTAGTCCATCGATCGCGTGAGGTTGGAAAAACCCAACGATAGGAAGGTAGACAAGACGCCAAGCTCTTTCCATTCGAAGTAACTGAGGAGAAAAATTCCTCGGCAAACTCTTCACCATCACTGCCCCGGCCATGAAGCAATATCACTGTATGCGAGTGCAACGTTTGAGAAGGTTGGATGTGGGGTGGAGGAAAGTTCATGATAGCTGTCTGTGTTATCTTGATCTGGGGAACCTTGGCTAGTTTTGAACGCGATGGGACGAGAAAAAATGGAGTGAGAGATGAGACAAAGGTGGTGATAGGATAAGGCTACCTGAAGCTATCTAGAACGACTAAATGGTGGGACTGGATGACTCATCACACTGGTGCCTGAGGCCGTAGAGGAGTTGACCACTCGATTTCGGAACTCAGCCATGCCATTCACTGAGCATTCTGTCAACGGCATGTTCTTTGGGCCAAACACCTATTCCTTTGGGCAAATAGGCCCACCAGTCATCCACATCGCACCCCGGGGTAATAGTATGCAGGGCCTTCACATATTCCCAGTACGCTGGGTACCAGCCACAAATTTCCCAATCAAGAATCGCCGTGATGGTCATTTGAACAGTTGGTTGAGTCAAAAATATTTGGTGGTTGTCCTCCAGGTATGAGCTTATCATTTCAATGTTACTTTCCCAGGTCCGGCGGTCGTTAGAAGTGAGAAATTCGTTAAACTCGTGTTCGTTGCTGATGCACTTCTAAGCAACACGCACTTCGCGTCGCGTATCTTTGCATCGGCGCGAGGGTTACCCCCGCCGAGTACAGCCCCAGTCTCGTCGGATACTGGAGCGGGCAAGAACTGAATTTCGCCGATCATTGTGTCTGATTGTTCTCTGATCGAAGCTTTCTCGTCCTCGCCCATGAATTTCCACTTTGACTCTAGCGGCTCGCCAGGGGCTCTTGACATGATGAAAGAAATGCGTTTGCTGTTTGGCTTCTGGAGAATCCCATGCATATCTGGTATCGGGACCCGCGGCGCATGGTGCTTGATATAGTCGAGAGTATGGAGGTGATTTATGTCAATATCATTGCCAACCTTCATCACGATCTCTAAAGTGAGACCCAGCACTGCGGTTGACCCAAAGTGCGAAATGACCTCGCTTGTTGCCACCAATTTGTTGAGACCGCGTATTATGAGAGGTAACTCAAGAGTCAAATTCGCAAGCATCGGATTCGTTCATAACCGCTTGTGTCACAGCTTTGCTGAGTGGTCGTATGAGTGTGGCATTGTTTGGAATCTTGAATTCAGCTCTTTCATCAGCCTCGCTGTTGACGTCTGTCGAAGCTGCGGTTTGCGTGGATAAATTCACCGAGATATCACGGAGGGCTTCCCATAGCGCAAGAAATGTTTTGTCTTTGTGTTCTAGCATTTCCTTCATATCCCTGCGAGCGGGGCATGCCTTGACCCTCGCATTCAAAAAATTGAGCCTCACTGTGTTGATTTGGGTGAAGGCTGCCTTCTCGGCATCTTGAAGGCGTTTGGTGGTGTTCGATGCCATAGCTCGATATTCCTTTCGTGCTCGGGAGTTGTTGAAGTTGCGATGTGACGTGAGGTGATTTTCCAATGTTGGTAATTGCGGCAAGGGCATGTGACTGCCGCCTAGACGGACACTGCCGCGCTTCACACCCTGGGCAATAGTCCATGTAACAATAGTAACATTATCTGCACTGTTGAAGATCGAAAGTTAAAACCTGTATTATAACTGGTTGCGATGGTGTCTCCATTCAAGTTGGAAGTTGGTATTTTGCGACTTCAAGTAGGTTATAGGGTCGATCCTCAGTGAGTACAAGTAGTATTGTTAGGGATTTCAGATTGCAATGTAATATATCCATTTATACATAATAAATATTGACGTTGAAGTTTGAAAGGCAATGCTTTCATGGGTGGAATGAAGATGCCTTTGCGGCGGGTATCCTTGAGATTGGGTAGGCGTGTGGCTGTGTGTGTATCATGATGTCTAGACACCTGGATTTTCCTAGAATGGAACAACAAGCGCCGATGACGCGGCTCGTTGATGCATCAAGGAATTTGGAAGAAGCGAAGTATCACATGAGTTTTTGTCTCTCTATCTCCCATCACTTTGCGAGAGATGAAAGGAGCTAGTGGCGCAATAGAGTCCATATCCGATTGCAACCAAGTAGAAATTATGCTCTCTAGATAATACTGGCAATAGTCATGCGAGATTGCGTCGAGCTGGGCCGTCTGTCCTCACTTGAGGCTGAAGATTCGGGCTGAAGCATCGAGACATCCTGTCTGGGTTCCATATTGACATCCCGACTGTCAGTTTCCATCTGCTGCGGCAGATGCTGTTGTAGATGACTGGGTCGGATCTGGATTTCCGGCTGCAGCTGTTGTGATTGGTGCAGCTGCTCTTGTTGTCGCTGCTGTTCAACTAGTTGCTGGTGCTCACGCTGGATCTGCAATTGCCGTTGCTTTCCAGTCGACAAATACTGAACTGTTTGTTCTATCCATTCCCAGCCCGGCCATTCCTTTTCAGGCCCCGGGGAGAATGGGCGTTTGGCTTTGAAGACATAGCTTCGAGCTGTGAGCCAGTCTCGCTGCCCTGCCAGACCCAGCTCCCATCACTAGTACCTTGCATGTCACCCGAAACATAGGCGATCATCTCTTCATCTTCCTCGAGAGTGTCGCCCCGTTGGAGGCGGTCAAGCAGAAGCTGGAGGAAAAATGCTAGATAGCGTCCACATGAAGCATTGATTGCGCGGTCGTCCCCAACAGCAGCCATAGCCTGCACACAAGCAAGTGCGGGTCCGAATTCCTGCTGGAAAAGAAGGAAAAGAGAGCATCGCCAGATGTGAGTACAGAGAAGAGTTCCTGCGGCAGAAGCGAATAGGGTTCGCCAGTCTGCGCCAGCATGTGATCGCATGCAACGAGAAATTATGTTTGCAGTGTCAATGCCGATCGAAACGCAGCGATCCATTGCTAATTCACGGACGGATGGTTGGCAGTAAGGTGAGATATTATGACGGTAGAGCAGGAGGCGTGCGTTTTGGAGGTAGATGGCAGGCGCTAGAGATCGAGGGTCGAGGTCTTGGTCGTTGTTCGGCTGGAGGTAGGGAGGGAAGGTGGCGAGGCATGTGCTAAAGTGTCGCTCGAATGTCTCAAGAGTCGCCGAGCTAAGAGTTGACCAGCGTAAAGTCCTCGTAAGTTGGCCGAGAGATCGAACAACGTGTATTGTGGCGAGCAGTGGTATTGTCTGATGGCCATCAGGGATCGCAGCCGATTCTGTGATGTATCGATCGTCCACAGGACAAGGAAGATCGATATCACAGTCCTGGTCATTGATCAAAACGGGCTTGCCCATTTCGAGAGCAAGTAATCTAATAGGTGAGTATTCTGTGAACGAAAGGTATAGACGGAGGTCCCATGAAACCTACCTATCCCAGGTATATAATCCCCACCATAGCCGTTTCCGCATTTCGCTTTCAACAGCAGTCCAAGGGCCAGATTCAATATGCAGTCCAATTTCTTGGGCCACGCGCACCGCAGAGCCTATCCATACCCAACTCGCCGATTTGGAGTTGATCTCGTAAGAAAGATGCTGGCCAACAAAGCGGCCCGCGCTCGGTCGAGGTTGAAGCTGTCCTGCCAGACGTCGATTATACCGCACGAAATTCGCACGTATTCCTTCCCTTCCTTTTCGCGCTCCGATTCAACGGTATGGATAGCACCGCACGCAAAAACACCGAATAATACGGCAGCCCATTCGCTAGAGATCCCGACTAACGTACCCGCGCGATAGACCTTCTCATAATCTGCCGTGAAGGAGGGCCAGTGCAAGACAGGTAATATTGAATGAATGCAGTTGAAGTACTGGGCTAAGAGGTGGTCTGCGAGATCTTTGGGCGGTAGGCTCGGGGCATCATTGCCAACAACTGACTGGGATCTCTGTTGCTGGTATGGCGTGGGCTCCTTCAAAATGCCTTGTCCATGCTTTCGAAGATTCGATCGTACTCCAGATAGATCTCGGGAGATGGGTTGTCTCGGCCTACGTGCTGGTTTATAATCGATCTCTGGAAGACTGATGACCGGCTGCACGATAGCTTCATCAACCTCTGTCGTGCTATGCTCAGGACGCATGCGCTCCGACTTGTACCGATCCAACAGGTTCTTCTGCTGCGCCACTGTCTTCTCCAAGTCCTGCACCTGTTTGATAGTCGACATGCGGCGGTTGGTATCTTTAGTAAACTGGCAGCGTACTTTGCGATTCAGACATTCGGTACAACTGGTCGAGTCCGATGCATCGCATTTAACTTTGCGTTCGCGACATGCATCACAGCTCGGGTCTTTCCTTCGTTGACGATAGGCGCGCTTCTGCTGCGCCTGCGAATGATGCCCGATCGGGCTCGTCTGGAAGAGGCCCCCTGGAAGTGGCCCCATAGAAGGTACATCGGACATACCACCACTCTCTGCTGGGGGACCCCGACCCCGACTCGTAGAATCGGGAATACGGGGATGTTGAAGGGCCCGGAACTGGACCGGACATGGGTCCCGGCCCCGGCACCGGGACGCTTGTCAACTGCTGATGCGGTGGAGGGCCTTGAGGCATGGGCTGCAGCAGATGAGCCATTTGCATTCCACTACCCGGTCTACTGGGTGGAGCGGAGAGCATCCCCGGTGTTGATGGGAATGCGCCCGACGTCACAGCCTGAACTGGGGGCAGCTCGAGCGAATTACTCGAGCTACCCATCATGGGCGGACGGAATGGCGAGGGCTGCATGGCGGAGAGTGGTCTCGGGGGGAGACAATCATCCAGCCGTGAAAGCCCACGGATAATCAAAGGAGGGGATGGTTTTCAACCAACAATCTGGACGGGAGGGTAACGCGGCCCAAAGACCATAGAAACAGCAATAGATCGCGAGCAAACGACAATCTCCCCAAATGATAACTAGTGGGGCCACAAGCGGCTATCGCCTGACACAGCCGATTCGCCTGGGGATAAACCACTAACACAGAACGTTGGTCATTCACGAATAGTAGATGAAGCCATTGTCGGGGTAAAATGGTACGGTTGGGCGGGATAGGATTGGTCGTGGGAGTGGGAGGCAAAATCAAATGACAACCAACGGGAGATCCGAGAGGGTAAAGTCCAAGAGATCAAAGACGGAAATAGAATAATAAAATAAAATAAGCAAATGGGAAAAAAAGAGGGCCGCCACGTCTACAGACGCAAGTCAAAACGGATCGTGGAGATGTGATGTAAATGCCGAGGTTGGGGCATCCAAGGGCACGAATGAAGATCCAGGAATCTTGTGAAGAGAGTGAACCCGACCTCTTGGGCGCGGTATTCCACAAAGAGTTTGTCGAAAACACTATAGTTTGATGGGTATGAAAGTGGAAGGGGAGCAACAAAAGGGAAAAAAAGAGAAGAAAAACGGAAGAGAGAAAGAGAGCGGGCGAAGGAACTAGATCGACAAGGCCACAGGCAACGATTCAATTGCGATCACCGTTCTCATGGGCTCCATCAGGGTCCCGGCGCCCACAGATCGCGGAGGGATTGGTGGCGGCAAGAGAACTTAGGAATCTTCAGCCGAAATGACACTTGGTTAAGTCGGGCCTGGCCCGAGGCGCTGGGACTAACTGGACTACACCGAAAAGGCCATTGACTGCGCCTGTTTCTAACTCGCAAGATCCATCGAGGGATCGACTCGTAGTGACTGTTACTCGCAATCATTGCCAAACTTCTGTGAACGCCGAGATCAGACCTCCAAGAATCCCGAGATCGGCTGGTGGATGGAGACGTGAAGCACTTGAGCGGCGTTGAGGATATTGGATGAGCCAGTGACGGGGCCTGGAGTCGAGTGCCCGATGTCCACACAGGCCCACCACCGGGAAGCCTGGTATTTGGCAAACCTTGTCTCGATCCGGAGATTGACTACGGTGTTCAACCGGGGGGAAAACTGTTAGAGAGGAGAGGGAGGTCTTGTCGGCAGAGTTAGCGGGGGCCCACTTGGTCCGAGAGCGCATCCCCTGTCGTGACAGTGCCGGATCGTCCAGGAGAAGATCGTCGAGTTGTAGGAGGCAAAAGAGGTGAAAGAGGAACAATCTTCTGCAGTTGGTACCAATACATACGTACAAGACAGGGATACCAATCATACTATTTGCTAGTCTACCTCACCCTTTCCTCGGTACAATTTACATCTTTTCAATTCCTACTTGGATTTATGTACATCTAACACCTCTTCTATACAGTTCATCTACCAATCTTAATTGAAACAGGGTTAGGCAACCCCAGCACGAGCGTCTCCTCTCGCAACCCAAAATTGACCGCGGTATGTGGGATGAAGATCTCGGCGCCCGCCGTGCCGTGCCTTCTTTTTTCCCCTTTTATTTTTTATTTTACTTCTTCATTTCTTTTGGTTTTATTTACGGTGCCTTAATTTTGCCTTTTTTTGTTCCACCTTAACCGCCCACCGCCCTCCGTTTCGTTTTTTGCACGGTTGGGCCCTGATGATCGACTCGGAAGTCGTGCACCGGACCACATGGGTACGCCGGTTGCTGACCCGGTGGGACCGTATGGCAACACGTCTTCTCAAAGTCAATCTTTGCTTGTTTCGTGCAGGCGACGCCTGCCGAGCCCATCGCCTATCGCTGGCTGCGTATTGAGGTGGATTGGGGGCTATGCCCCCCTAGCCCTCCCCCCCCCCCCCTTCTTTCTCCTCCCCGAGAGAAGGCAGGAGAAAAGCAAACACAAAATGGTTAAAGTGTCCGACCGCTGGTTAGTTCCGAATTTTGTCCGATGTTAAAACGGTCGACCCTCACTTCAAGTTGGTTCAAATGGGTCCTACTTCATACACGAAGTACACAGGCTCCGCAAAAGGAGATACCGATACGAGGATCACCCATCTCTCTACTCCGTAAGGCTATGCCCGTGCATGTTGTGTTCCATATCCACACGAAACTCATGAGCTTGTGGTGGACCAGCCTCCAAATTGACTCCTCTTTCAGGGACTACGAGTATTGACAGTGCAAAAGAGGATAAGCCCCCGGATCCAGCTCCACCATAAGGACAGGTAAAATGCGTCGAGCCGCCCCGGAGAAATAATCCAATACCACTCTTCTCTTGCAGTCGTTCCCAAGCGGTTGGGTCCTTGCCGGATCACAGGATATGAACAGCCCAAACGTGCACTTGCCATGCACGAGAGCACAGACAACTTCAGCCGCTCTCCTCGTTGGGCTAGTTCTCCGGTCTGATCCTGTTACTTTCGCCCCTCTCCACCACTGCAGTCGGGACGGCCCTGCGACGGCTGTTGCAACCGCTGAACACCTTGTCCCAATTGCATCAAACGCGGTGCACAGGCCCTTCATCCTCCGGCGCATGTTTTGAGATGCCCCCTTGGCGCGCGGGTCCATTTCCGACCACACCTAGTGATGCCAATGATCAACACGCATGTCTGTTGGTACTCCGTACCGAGTACATAGTATCTCTTTTCTGGAGATCGTCCATTCAATCCTCCCCCGCACCCTTCGCTTAGGCGACTAGACGAGCTCCCGGGTAAGAAGCCAGCCTCTAATTGAAACCGGTTCTGCATAAGGAGTAGTCTCATCGTATTGCGCCATCAACAACTCCACCAGTGGAATGATGACCTATACGCACCGGACGAGGAGGCAGTACGGCAAGGCTCTCGAAGGGCTAGCTATCCCAAGTCATGCACAGGGCTGGCTGGCTGCTGCTGTTGCTCCTGCTCCTGCGTGCTGCGGCCTGCATAAGCTTACATAGCGGGCGCTCGGTTCGTGCCGTCGGCCACTGCGAGCTGCGAGCTGGATCTGAATTTAGAGCTCCTGTACGGGGTATGCGCTGGACTATTATGCCGTCGTCTTTGGCTGGACCATATTCGCTGCTCATTGTTTCTTCTTCGCAATTCCTGTCTTCGTTTCTGCTGCACTCAATGCATTCTCACAAACGCATGGACCGCGAGCTAGACGGTAAATCAGTGACGCATACTCCGTAATATGTATCTCCCTCCCCGCTTTTCTTTTGTACGGGAGAACTGATAGGGCAAGGACCCCGTGATGAGTTGGCACTGGATGATCGACCCTGGTCTACCTGTTCGGCGGACCAGGTCACTGGGTTGAATCTGGCACTTCACCAAGCCAAGAGCCCTGGTGGCTTGGCTCGGCTATAGCTCCATCATTTCGAGCCGAAATCTTTGTGCATACACGTAGTGCAAGTTTCAACAAGTTGCTTTTCCGGTATAGGTCCGATACCCTCCGATCGTGAGGCCAGCAAAGGTGCGTCAGGTCGACGAGAGCCCCCCCACTTTTAAGAATGGAGCAAGTTAGGGCAGCGCAACGCTCGGCCGGCGGACTGGCGATCACCGGCCGTAGCGAAAATATCTCATTCAGGTGATGCCCCATCTTCCAAAATGGCTAACGGTGTCCTGTCTTTTGTCCCCGCCGCTTCACTGCCTACGGACGGCCCAGTGCGGTGGACTCGTACGGATTAAGGTGCTCATTTCGCTTAAGGATGATAGAGTCGAGGCCCGTGTTTGGTTCTCGTCGAGTCTATTTGTCCTGCCCCACAGCGGATCAACGAACCGAGAGAGATGAAACAGTTCCGCTCACCAACCGAGGCTTTCCGATTTGCCCTGTCTGGTTGCAGGGGGGGTCTGACGCCCCTTTTTATCTGAGACCGGAGCCCGCCGTGTGCTAAATCGCGGGAGTCTCAGGTTAAAATCATTGCTTGGCTTGTAAATGACGTTGAGGTTTCACCCAATTTGTGCGTTTATTCTGTCGTCGATTGACTCGATTGATCTCGATTCATGAGATCTTTCATATTTTGTCGACCTCTGTGCCTTACTTTCGTCACGGCTTTGTGCATCCGCTCGATTGACGGTTAGAGTTTAAGGCTTGTGCTGGAGTGTGGTTGCTTTGACCCACTGTAACGTTTACTTCTTAGGATTTAGTAGACCCCATTTACACTGGGGAAGAGTTGCATTTCGTAGTCATACTACTCCGTAAATTGACTTGTGATCATAGATCTAAGACAAGTCAAAGTTAATGTTCTTTGGTAGCAAAATGTCCAACCAAACACTCCATCGGTGGTCCCCATCTGGCGCACGAGCCCCCGTGAAGCTGCATGTGGCATCAATTGACATATGGTCGGACTATCAATGGGTCGAGACGACCAAGCTGGTCGAAGAGCTTGGGACGAAGCTCCATGTCGGACGAGCTATCTGATGATGCGCATTATATTGAGCAACAACGCCAGCTGAATTTTCAACACAGACGCAATACACAGACGCAAGACTATTATCGAGCAGTTAACCCGTTAACTGATACTACCACAAGCTGGCCAAGGATGCCTCTATCTACTGCGTCATTCAATACATTAGCTGAGCCAGAATACTTCATGTTGTGCATGTACATGGGGCGCCGGACCGGTCAGACTCGGCTGCTCGCGGCAAGCAGAAATATCCCGGGAGAGCCCGATAGTAGTATAATATCTCCCGATATATCGGGCCATGATAACCGAGGGAACGAGACATGTTTTTTTTTTCTGTCAATCAGAAAACTGGGACCGAGTTTGAAATGACTTTACAATACTAGATTTTCATCAAGCTTTGCGAAAGAGTCCGCAGGGTGCGGCATGCATTAAATTCCAAGGTTGGAGATCAAACTGAAGCTACATATTCAAAACTGTATGAAGCCACAATCGGCATGGGGGTGCCAAGCGGATTTTCCAATAAAAATTATATAGGAGCCCCCCTAAGTCACAGATTCCAACATATTATCAGATTGAACTTATCCGATGGGAGCTTTCAGGTAGCTAGGTTTTTCAAAGTCGTATCAAGGTTTATCTATACTCTCGTAAGCTTGACCACCGAGGACGCATACCCGAGCAAGAATTATGGAAAGCCTGTCTTGACAAGCTGATGGTTGACAAACTAAGCGACCGCTGCTCGCTATTTGCCATCTACAGAAAATTGATAGAGTCCCGATCCATGTCTGCAAATATATCCTAGCCAGACAAATTGGGTCACGCCGATGGGTCATCATTTCATACTTTGCCTTTTCGATGGATACCTTCCCGTAGTTCACCTGGAGTACCTAGGTACTACTAGTGATACTGGTAGTAGTATATCCTCGACTTTGCCCAGGTGGTTGAAACATACCTAGGTATCCTGCCGCTCCGGGTACTAGTAGCCTTTCTTGGTCATAGCAAGCACACTGGGGCCTCCTTGGCTTGAAAACACCTTGAAAGGACTTGGCAATGGAGGCTTATGCTATTGTGCCCAATTTACATTTATTAAGGCCATGCAATCTAAGATTTTCGAAAATGAGTTGAGATTGTCCTTCGTATGGGCCCATTACCAACTTAAACCATCCCCTATCGTCATAACTAGAAACGCTTTGGCCATTAACTAGCGACTCCAGATGGGCCCGGAGGCAACATGTGCAAGTCAACAAACTCTTCGAGTGCTGCAAATATGCCAATGTGTCGTTGGTTAGCCTGGGAAGCTAAGCGCTATAGTATATTTTATTCAACTTACTCCTGTAAATTGTCTCCGAGGCATCCACAAATCCGAAAAATCCAAGCTTCTTCGCTTTTGCCATACTAGAAAACGGAAATCTATGAGCTCTGCTCATCAATAAAGATGAAAGTCCGACTTACCTCTGTACTACAGGGTATGAAACCGAGAGCCCAAAGTCAGTAAAGCCAAAGACTCGATCCACATCTTCCAGCGCGATATTTCGAAGATTGTGTTCAGCGACAATCTCCTTCCACGCATTTTGCACCTCGGGCCTTTTCGCCCATTCGGCCAGGGTAAATTTAAACCGAATTGTTGCCGGAGGACCATAACCCCTAGGAGGTGGAGTGTAGGGAGTCTGGAACTCATGATACTCTGTACGACTTGCGTTGTCGTCTGGCCCCTTCCACTGAATACCGTAGAAAGCAGCCAATTTAGGCCAAAACATTTCCCAAGCAAAAGGGTAATCGTCTGTCGCGTTGAAACTTTCATTTTTCGCATCTTCGGTTAAAACAGCCCATTCTGCCAGATAGCAGTTCATTTGCGCGCTCGAGAGCATTTGTATATTTGTCCATGCTGCGAAGTCGGACGGGAATTCTAGTGGTTGGCGCAAATGTTTCTGAACAACGGCATATACGCCAAGTGGAAAGCAAAGATTCATGGCTGCGTCGGGAACTGCACCCGGTATGTTAGCAGGGCGTGTGGTGTTCCAGCTAATACCATGCTTTGCAGCAAAATCCTTGAGATAGTCTTCCTGGTCATAGTAAAAGTTAGGTTCCAAGTACACCCGTGGGTCGGATTCTTCGCTTGGCAGTTTGGTGGGACCTAAGTTGTGTTATCACTAGTACTTAGGACGAATTAAATAGATCTGAAGTGCCGTACCTAGGTGCGCTCCATAGTACTTGGCTCCTAGTTGGAGAAGTATGCGCTGGGGCAGTGAGTTGGCCAGGGCCTGGGCCTCGAGGAAGTTGACAAGGAGCGATTCTTTTTAATTCAAGAGTTAACTAACGATAGTCAAGCCTTATTTTCAAATACTTACTGTTGATTGTAACAAGATCCTCGGCCGCACTCCAAATATTTCCGCCATCTTTTGGTTTTGGCTGGATATAGGCGAAGAAGAAGACGTATTCAGCACTGATGCCTCTTTCTCGCATTTGCTTGGCCAAAATGTCTGGAGACTGAAGTAGGTCCATAGACACGTGCTCCACATAGGCTGGCCAGGTTCCGTTCGGGGACGGCGAGATAATGCGTATATCTTGGTCCATCGATCGGGCGATTCGCAAAGAACCCGAAGCTATGAAACAATGAGCCCATATTGCAAAAGCTAGAGCAAGAAGGATACTTGGAATACAGGGATCCATAGGGGGATGATAAAAGAAAATAGAGAGAGAAAGGCCATCGTACCATATGATCTCCAGAAATTCCGTTTGCGCCGGTCACGATAGCCGTAAAACCCTTTGTTTCCTGTGGGAAAACTGGCAACCCATGGTAGATTGACTTTGACTGTAATATGGGCATACTGTTGGATACTGACTCAATATCTGAAGAAAAATGATAAATCGTCCGTGAAAAGACTCGAAATTTCTCTGATGCCGGTGTGTTGAGGAGAGAATGTCCGCGACCTTCAACGCATCATCACTTCCCTTTTATGCCATCGATAGCTTATACCTAGGTATTAATTTCCTTGTCAAAACAGAAAGTCTCCGGTGGAAGAGCACATGTATTAACGAACTCATCTATCTGGGAGTCGGACTCGGCCACATAACCAAGCCGGATGGTCTGACCACTGGTTATCTAGTACTTGGTAAATTCGGAGATTACTCAACTACCCCTAATTGTATTTATCAGCACAATGGTCATTGGAATGAGGGGATTTGTCGATTTCCATATAAGGGAGACTACCACCTTCCCTATGGAGGATTGATTGGTCATACTCAAAAGTACTAGTAGTCTGACTTGCATAATTTGGCCTCGACTTACAACGGACCTCGGGAGTTTACTGGTACCAATGCGAGACTATGAGCTAAAGTGTGAATATAGGATATCGGGATCTCTAGCTAATTCTCTATTTTTGCGCCTCATATTTCTCAACCACCAAGTTCACAATCTGCGAAAGACCCTCCATCTCCTCCTCAACGGTCAATTCCAGCGCGTGAGGGTCAATACTACAGCCCACGTAGACGGGCATACCGATGCGCCGGGCAACAATTTTGGCCACGCGAGTTGTGTACTCGATACTTGAGGGTGAGGTGTAGATTGTTGTGGAGATTGTGGATTTGGCGTTTGTGCGCTGGGGAGGTTAGAGTTTGATTATGGAATGAATGGAATGAATTGATTCTGAGATAATTGATTCGCTTTGGTTTGTTGCTTGCATTGGGAGGCGAAACAATACAGGTGGGAAATGGAAGATCATGATTGTTATTAATGACTTACATCAGGCATGGCGTAGACAAAGCTGCCTAGCGGTTTCACTGAGCCGCCCGAGTCCCCTGGTGTCGAGGTTGCCAGGAATACTGTTGCACAGTGTCCCAAGAAGGTGAGATGGACATGGCCAGTTGTGTGAAGGGCCTTGGGAAGCGGGAATGAGAGCTCTTGGGGCTTCAGGTCGGGAGAGACTTGCTGGCTATGCGGGACTGAGGCGGTCTCGGTCGCCATTCTGCAGGGTCCGAGCGGTTTGATCCAGAGATAATGGAAATTATGAATTCGATAAGTCTGGGGTAGACTAGCGAATTATACTGTGCGCGTGTTGTGCTGCGTGGTGCTTTGATGTAGTGGGTAATGTGGTGTTGCAGTAAGAGAAGAAGAGATGAAAGAGGCTACTCAGTATTGACGACGGACCTCCCCCGCCTCCACCAATCCCGCCGAACTTTGCTTTGCCCGCACTTTCAACTCTGCTCACTCTACACTCCACTCTCTACACACTCGATTTACTATAATTACTCAGGCTGTAGTCATGTCCGATCATGAGCAGACTGAGGAGGAGTGGGCTGGGGATTTTGACCCTTTTTCCGACCCCGATGAGCGCAGGGTCCTTTTTGCTGCGCTGGACTCTTTCCGGTAGGTGATGCCGATGGTGGTGGTGGTGGTGGTAGTGCCAGTGATGATGGTGATGGCTATGCGATAAGTAGGAGCCTGGAGGTGGACGACTGGATATGATACTATTTTTATGTCCACCTAGGCACCGATCTATACATTCAATGGACGGCGAAATACGGATCACCAGAAGAAACACTAACATAATTTACAGACAATATCGACGGACCGCGCACCGCAATACGACACATCGGCGCCGTCAGGCCTTCTACGCCTTACCCTCTGAGCATTGGCAGATGCTCTCTGAGCCCCCATTCTCAATCCTGAACCATTTCAACGCCGTAGACGACGCGATCGACGTTAATGCTGAGATCGCCGACGCCATTCTGGCCGTTGGCCTGGAATCCTTTGGTCTCCCCGCCACCCCGGACAAGGACGATCCCAACCAGAATTGGCACGACACAGCCACCGCGTCCGATGTCAACAAGGCGCACTCGACTATTCGCCAGTTCTACCGCGACTGGAGTGCCGAAGGCCAGGTCGAGCGTGACGTCTGCTACGAGCCCGTTCTGAAGGATCTCCGCGAGGAATTCGCTGCCCGCTCTGCGGCGGGCGAAGAGATTCGCGTGCTGGTGCCTGGGGCTGGGTTGGGTCGCTTTGTTTTTGATTTGTGCCTGGCTGGCTTTGCTGCTGAGGGGAATGAGATTTCGTATCATCAGCTATTGGCGAGTAGTTGGGTGTTGAATCATACGGCGGGCGCGGCCAAGCATGCATTACATCCGTTTGCGCTGCATTTTTCCAACTTGAAGTCGCGGCAGCAGCAATTACGCAGTGTGGCTATCCCCGATACGCATCCTGGCACGGCAATTCATGAAGCGGCAACATCGGGCCAAGCGATTGGGTCGATGTCCATGTCCGCGGCGGACTTTGTGGTTCTGTATAAACAGCCCGAGCAAGAGGCCAGCTTTGACGCGGTTGCGACGGTGTTTTTCATTGACACGGCGCCTAATTTGATTCGATACATTGAGGCGATTCGACATTGCTTGAAGCCGAATGGGTTGTGGGTCAATGTGGGGCCGTTGTTGTGGCATTTTGATGACGGGCATCCAGGCCAAGGTCAGGCACAGGCACAGGGGCATGGGCATGGGCAGGGCAAAGAGGACACGGACGCAGGCATTGGAGAACCGGGAAATGTGGAGTTGACAGAAGAAGAGGTACTGGCGTTGGTGCGGCGCATGGGGTTCGAGGTTGAGGCGCGGGCGGGCGATCGATTCTGTGGGTACATTCAAGACGGAGATAGCATGCTTCAAAACTTGTATCGACCGGGGCACTGGGTCGCCCGGAAGGTGGAGATGGAGATGGAGAGAGCAGCTTAAAAATAGAGCAGAGCAAAATATCTTGGAGTCGTTCGTGACAGGATTGGATTGGATTGGAGTGTGAATGGATCTCACGGCCCCCCGTAATTTCCCATTGGTTGGGGGCCAAAACAAAGAGAAGAAGATGATGATGGGAGGAGATGCAGATTAAAAGACATTTGTGAATAAGAATTGGCATAAGTATTTACTAGGAGAGTCGAGTCGAGTCGAGAGGATATAGTAGGTACTTAGATAGTCGACCAGATATAATAGCTTCATATATCAACAGTCTCAACAGTGTACCTTGGTATAACTACACTATACTCGTATACTCGTACACACACAAAGTAGGCACGCTCAGCCTCACGATGATCCCTCGCACTCTTTCCTCTTTCTCTCTTCTCTCTTCTCTTTTCTCTTTTCTCTTTCTCTTTTTTCCCTTCTTTCCTCCTCAGCCACTGGCCACAATTCTCCCCCTTGGCCCTATAATCCACCAGGCCTTTCCCATTCGGATCTGTCCTTGTGTCCTGCTGTTTCTGCCGAGCTGACACTTTTCCCCCCTTCGTATTCTCTCTCTCAGCCTTGTCCTCCTCCCCCCCCTCCACCTCCACCTCTCTCCTCCTCCCCTTGTTCCCCCATTTCTTTTTTTTCTTTTATTCCCCCCCCTCTCCCTCTCCCTCCTCCTCCCCTTTCCTCTTCGCCGCACATGGAATCCATCGGCTCGAGATTCCGGTCAGGCCTTGGCTTCAAGAATAAACGTGATAAACATCAGCCAGCCTCGCCTGTCCCCTCCAACACTGCCCCCTCCACCAACGGTACTTCACCTACTGCGCCCCCATCCCACCGCAGCTCGTCGACTGCGAGTCTGTCAATCAATCAACCACCGTCGCAACAATCTCAACCTCCTCCACAACAACAACAGCGACCACCCAGTTACCCACCTCAACACCAACTCCAACAACACCGTCCAACGAGTCCCATGGTTCCTGGCCAACAACTCACCCAACATCCCGCTCCTCTACCAAACATGCAGCAACAACAGTACCAGCCCGGTATTCCGCAACAAATGAACCCTCCCCCCCGCTTACGGCATGCAACAGCCACAGGGCATGGGTCTCCCCATGGCCCCGGGCGCCGCACAACAATATCGCAACCCCGCCGAGGTCGAGGGTGCCAATCGAGGCAAGTCCCAACTCATTGTTGGTATTGACTTTGGTACTACCTTTTCCGGTGTTGCCTTTGCCTTTGCCACCAACAATGAAGCCCGCGAGGATATCATCACAGAATGGCCCGGCGCCGGTACACACACCAAGCAAAAGGTAAGCCCGCCATCGTTTTCTAACTAGGCCCCCCCGCCTCGCCCCGCCCTCGCCCCGCGCGTTTCTACCCACAGTGATACTTTCTTTATATCATTGTCGCATGGTCGCATGGTCTCGCTTTATGTGTACCTTTTATTGACCTTGCTTTGTATAGATTCCCACCGTCCTCTACTACGACCAATATCAAAAGGTAGTTGGCTGGGGCCCCGATATCGCCGATGCCTTGGCCCCGACAGGATACCCCAAGCCCGGCGTGCAAAAGGTGGAATGGTTCAAGTTGCAGCTGATGCTTTCCGGAAACACCTATATCGATCCCATCAATCTGCCCCCGCTGCCCCCTGGAAAGTCCGAAATCGATGTCGCTGCCGACTACCTCTTCAAACTGCGCCAGGCCATGCGGGCTCAGCTGCAAAAGACCTTGGGTGAGGTTTTCACTCGTGAAGAGCGCAACATTCGATACTATCTCACCGTTCCCGCTATTTGGAACGATGCCGGCAAGGCGGCCACCCGTGCTGCTGCTATTCAAGCAGGCTTCTTGCGCGATGAGAATGATAACCGTCTGACTCTCGTCTCGGAGCCCGAGGCCGCCGCTCTCTTCTGTGCGAAGAGCGGTCTGCTGAATCTGAAGATTGGCGACGCTATCTTGATTGTCGATTGTGGTGGTGGTACCGTTGATTTGATCGCCTACGAGGTGGAAGAAGAATCGCCATTTAGTGTGATGGAATGCACCACCGGATCTGGTGACTCCTGCGGTTCCACGGCGCTGAATCGTAACTTTAGCAACATCTTGCGCGCCAAGATCCGGAAGATGAAGCTGCCGGACGGCTCGCGCATTGCGGGCAAGGTTTACGCCAAGTGTATCATGGATTTCGAGAACCGTATCAAGGCGGACTTCCGCAACAACGGACAAAAATGGGCGGTGGATGTCGGTATTGAGGCTGACTTCCCGGACGCGGGTATCGAGGAAGGCTACATGATGTTCACCAACGAGGAGATTCTCCAATGCTTCGAGCCGGTGGTCAACCGTATTCTGGAGCTGGTTCGTAACCAGATCATCGCCATTCAGGCCCAGAATCGTGTTCTGCAAAACGTTTTGGTTGTTGGTGGATTCGGTGCCTCCGAGTACCTCTTCCAGCAAATCAAATTGCATGTCCCGCCCCAATACAACACCAAGGTTGTGCGCCCCATGGACTCCGTTGCCGCTATCGTCAAGGGTGCGGTCACCGCCGGTATCACCGAACGAGTCATCACTCACCGTGTTGCCCGTCGACATTATCTCATGGCCACCCTTCAGCCATTCAAGGAGGGATACCACCCGGAGCAATATCGTGTTCCCAGTCTCGATGGTCGGGATCGCTGCAAGTACACTCGCCAGATCTTCGTGCAGAAGGGTGAGCGTGTCAAGATCGGCGAGCCCGTCAAGGTCAGCTTCTTCCGGCAGGTGGCCCCCGGTGCTACCCTTATGTACGAGGACGTTCTGTACGCCTGTGATGAGGACGTCTGCCCCGAATATACCAAGGATCCTCGTGAGTGAATCCTTTCGACCCAACTGACTTTGAATCATTCCAAACTAACCCCCTCAAAGGTATCAAGGAAGTTGTCACCCTCACTTCGGACCTGTCTCGCAAGAATCTCGAGACCGACTTCGAGCGCATGGATACTCCCCAGGGTATCTTCTACCGAGTTTACTTCGACATTTACCTCACATTGGACGGAAGTGAATTCAGTGCCGAGTTGGTCTGCCAGAACGAAATCATGGGTCGCTGCCGCGCCAAGTTCCGGTAAACGGCTCGCACCAAAAAACAAAACAAAACAACACACTCTTGCAATACCCCGAAAAAAACTCCCCTCGAGGAAACGCGATTTCACTTCGCAAGTTCCAAGCCGTACATAAATGCTTTCCTCCGCCAGTGCTTATATAAAACATGCCCTACCATGCCATGCCATTGCGCACTGGAGTGGAGCGAGAGATACCCATGGCCTGGCCCAACCCTCCCATTTTGATTTTGATTTTTGATTCCGGGGTGCCCACCCTCTTCCTCTCCCTTCTTTTCTTCCTACTGGGCAGCTCTGCACCGTACCGCGCCGCACTGCACTGCACTGGAGAATCGGCGTTGATCTGATAACTCGTGTTGCAATTTGCAATCGTTTTCTTTCCATTCCTTGGCTTACATATATGCCCCGCACCGCAGCGTTGGATTTGTGATATCTTCTGGTGGATTGTTTCGTTTCTTCTTTTAATTTTTTTCTTCTTTTGGTCTTCTTAGATACCTCTTACCTTTATTTGATTGAATGAATTATGAGCTGTGGTTGATTGTTGGTTGTTTCGAGTCAGTTTCATGGGTTCGAGTTGTGTAATGAATGGTCCTCGGTGATATTCAACTTATTGTCTGCCTGTTTGCCAGTGTCTATAATCTGTCTGTCATGAAGTGATACCTCCACCTTCTAGTAGTACATACAAGCTCCAGGTTTCACGGACAGCAATCATAAACCAAAGAAAAATTCCACAAATACTAAATTGAAAAGAATAAATCCCATCTTCACGCCAAACAGACCAGTCACGGGCGAAACAACTCCATTATCAAAGACGGAGCCAAAGTCGAGACTGAAATAAACCCAGCAGTTCGGTAGTACTAGTAGCAGTAGCAGTAGTAGATGACAACTTCCCACCCATTCTGCCCACTGGCACTTCATCAGTGGCTTTAGCAGTACTAGTACCCTTAGCCATCGTGACAACCACAGCGTGACACTAGTAAGTCCCCGTCGTAGTCGAATCACTCGAACCAACTTGAAAACACCATATATTTCCCACTGCACCCCAGCGTCGAGACAGCCCGTTCGATTTGATTTTGGACTGACTGCGAAATTATCGGTGCGTATTAGGTATAGGACTTGAATATTTGGGAGAGGACTGTGTTACTTTCAAGTTATTTTGCATGCTACTAGTAGTATCACTCGAATTCAATGGATCAAAAGCGGCAGATCTGGGTAGTCCTAGTACGGGGTATGATATTATTTCTAGCATTTATGAAAGCGCGGGTGGCCATCAGGGGCCAGGTAGTGCCGGTGAGTCCACAGTTCAGTGTGTGAAATTTGAGATGATTTGGATTTTATTGAATAGATACATTTTGAATTGGGGGTCATGTCATCAAGATCTCGAACCGGAGTAAAGCATACAGATAATTCAATGCTTAGGTCTCCAGGTTGATACTGCGTCCGAATCGCGCATACAAGGCAACCTTGAGTTGCTGCATTTCCTCACGGATCTCACCCATGGAATCCTCAAGCTTGGAGACGTCGGTGTCAATCTGCTCTGTGGATGTGGTGAGCATGGACTGGGCATCTGCGAGGGGAAGCTGGAAGAAGGAGTCTCCGATTTTGTAGCTGTTTTATAGTTAGAATTGACTCTTTACCTGACTGGTAGCTTGGTGCTGCATGTCCCTTGGACAGAGACGAGGGGAGATGGAATGGAATGAAGGAGGACTCACGGGACGAGTTCATCTTCATCGGCTAGCTCGAGTTCCATGGAGATTTCCTCCAGGTCTTCCTTGTCCTTCTGTCAGGGCATTAGTATTGCTTTCTTCGCGTTCATGGCAATTCCAAACATGGAAACCCAATCGCTTCTCTGGATATTGGCGGGGTTGCGGGTCATACCTGCTTAGCCTTGAGCTGCTCCTCCAGTGTGGCTTCACGCTGGTGCAATCGGCTGAATCGATTGATCTTCTCTTGATCCTCACGGCGGACTTCATTCTCGTCGCTGCCACCTAGGCCTTCTTCCTCTCGCGAGAGCTGTGTGAGTTCGGAGTTAGTGGGATGTGGTGTTGTGAGAGGTTGAAAGGCATTGGTGCGTGGTGAGTGGGAGGAGAAGGGGCATCAGAATCAGGTATAGAGAGAGAGATCAGGTGAAGGTTTAGATACTTACCATGCGAGGTTGCATCATCTTGAAGTGTAATGGGAGTGTCAACACCGAAAGGAGAGTTGATGGAAAGTTCGTCGGTTGACGCAGTTGGTCCGTGCGCAGGCGGAGGGGCAGAGAAGTGGGAGTGGAAGTATGACTGTGGTAGTTTAGTATAACTATAGCTATAGCTATGGGATAATCATAGGTATATCTTATGGCTATACTTACTTATAGCTATATCTAGGTAGAATACTCCTTGGTAGACGGATATTAATTATTTCAGTATTTTGTGAGTAGAGTAGACGTGCAGTAATGTACTGACTAGTAGATGCCATCACCCACAAATAGCTCTACTTTCTAACTACCATTTGAATAGATTTGAGCTAAAAGTAAATAACTAGAATTAACTATACTTACTACTCACTAACAGTATACTACAATCATACCAAGTGTGGAGAGCAGTGTCCTATAGTACTGCTAGTACTAGTACTACCAGGCAGTCGCAATGGCAATCCGCGCCGGAGAAACGAAAGACCTCCGCACGCCGTCATCGCTTCGTCTCACTCCAACTCAGCCCCATCACTGTGGAACGAGTACACCAGCCATCGAGCAGAGCTATCACATTCTTCCTGCTCTGTTCCCCTGATCCGAGCTGGTCAGCCCAACCTTTAGCTTCAGCCTCACCTTCAGCTTCAGCTCCACCTCCCACTCTACCTCCCACCTCCACTTCCACTTCCGTCGCGAGTCCGAGTCCGGGTCCGCCTCCGTGACTCCAACCTCCAGCGCACACCTCCTCCCCCCGACATACACCCCAGCCCTCCATCATGCGAATACAATCCAGCAAAACACCTATTCTTCTCTCCGCGCTGTCCGCCAGCTTCGCGACCGCGCTCACCTTCGATTGCGCCCAAATCAAGGTCAACGATTACAAATACGATCTCAGTGGCTTGGGCGGCGTGCACGAGATCTACCACCTCAACAAGACCGAAGAGTACTCTACGAATACAACCTATGTCCTCGACATCTGTGCCCCGCTAGGCAAAGCTTCCAAACGCCCGAATGGAGCTGGCAGCTGCGAGTACTCTAAAAACAGTACGTCTGGCTCTGACCCTGACCCTGACCCTGATTCTCACCCTCACCCCCATCTGCAAAGCTCTCCTCTCTGCCCATCAGGCACCGACTAACTAACACTCCCTCCACCTAGTTTGCGGCTTCGAAGACCTAAAACCATCCGATGGCAACGGCGACCAGAAATTCGGGTTCCCGATCGCGGGACTCGATCCGATGGGCGGCGGATCTAAGGATCCGCAGTTCACGCGACTCAGCGAGATCGAGGGCTCTGAGACCGAGGGTCTACGCCTGAAGATCTCCGGTGGCTCCTGGAAGGGCGAGCACAATGATCAAAAGGCCAAGGATGCGGCCGCCGTGATTGATTTCCAGTGTGATCCGGACCGGTCTGGGTTGGAGGGTCTCAGTACCAAGGAGGCACAGCCGGAGGATGAGGAGAGTGAGAAAAGACGACGGGCGGAGGATGGCGAGGGCGAGGGTGATGGGAAGAAGACCTCCGACCAAAGTCTTCAGTACAAGAGCTTTGCTCCGAATGAGGATGGCCTTTACGTGCTTAAGCTTGAGTGGCGCACACGCTATGCTTGTGATGAGTACCAGAGGGGCAAGGAAGCTAGCTCCAATAATCATTGGGGATTCTTTACGTGGATGATTATCATGTGAGTGTTTGAAGTGACGAAACCCTTCGCCGTGAGACCGACAAAGACTAACCACCCCCATCTCTTCCAGTGTCTTCCTCTGTGTCGCGGCATACCTCATCTTCGGCTCCTGGCTCAACTACAACCGCTTCGGCGCACGGGGCTGGGACCTCCTCCCTCACGGCGATGCGATTCGCGACGTGCCATACCTCTTCAAAGACTGGGGCCGTCGAGTCGTTGACACCCTGCAAGGCTCCGGAACGAGGGGAGGATACAGTGCGGTGTAAGTAGGACCGCAGCATAGCTTTCTTCTGTACGATGAGAGAGGGAATTGGCAGACCTCTGCACTCTTTGCAATCTGCTCTGCAATTTTGTATGGCTTCGGCCGGGTTTTGTAGCTTATGTGGCTGATGGGGGTTGATTCACCATGGGTACCACGGTAGGCGCTAGATGTGAGTTATAGCAACAATGTGATTATACGTGATTGGAATTTAGCTGTTATAATATGCGAGTGCTATTATCTTGTGTTTGTTCAAGTTTAAGGACACTGGCAGGCTGCCCAGATGGTGGCAGGTCTGAAGTTGCTGTTGATATAACGGATGATATGCTAAAGCTTGTGAAAGGTACCGAAAAAGCAAGTCCCCCACCTGGGTACCTAGGTAGGGTTCGAATGGAAGACTGCCAGTCAGCCAGGAGACAGCAATGAGCTAGCCATTGGCTCGGGGTCTCTGTGGATTGAGGTTGATTTGTAGGATGATACCAAGTACCCATTCAGGATTGCATTAGGCTTACGAGGTTAGTAGCACGTTCGCACTGCGATGAGCCTGCACACCCCGGAAATCTCGCCATCGCCTGGGGTCCAACTGCCCGGGGGCTCTTCAATTTTAGTGCTGGAATGGAGATGGATTCTTCAGTGGAGCCATTCGACACTTTGTATAGGTGTTACTTTTAAGAATACAATGTTGTGTGGTGGATAAGTCAGGTATCAATTCAGTCTGGAATACAAGACATACGAGACCGGGAGATCAGATCTCGATCCCCGCAAAACAACGCACAAAAGCACGACATCGAAGTAAAGTAAAGTCGGTGAGCGATGAAACAGAGACAAATGGACCAATCATAGCAAAGAGAAGCGTAGACGGACGAGTGATCGGGGCGAATGATCGCGTCATCGAGACTAAATCGTTCTCATGGGGGAATCGGGAATTGCGAAAGCACATCATTGAACAACGGAGTACGGAGTCCGGAGCACCAGGGAGCATTCTTCCTCCTTGCTCTCTCCCTTCTCCCTTCTCCTTCTCCTTCTCCTTCTCCTTCTCCTTCTCCTTCTCCTCTCCTCTTCTTCGCCTCCTCCACCTCTTCTCTCTCCTCATGGTATACTTCATATACCAATGGTACAACAAGGTCAACCCAGTTAAACCTTGACGGCGAACTGCTTCATATACAGATAGTCCTCCATGTTGGCATCAACGGTCTGGCGGATCATAGCCGCAGCTTCCGGCCCATACTTCTTGCGCCAGTCCTCATCGAACTGCTCCTCAGTCTTGCGAGCATGTTTCTGCAACACGTTAGCCCAATCCATCCCATCCTGAACTCCCCTTCCCTCCCTTGGAAAGAGAATCTTGAACTTACATGAGTTCTCGCAACCAGACTAGTCGACTCGATAGCATCATTGTGAAAACCACGCCACTTCTCAAATGCATCACAAGCAACCTTATAATCCTCCGGGGTATCCCAAATCAACATGTCAGGCGTATAAGGCAAGCCGACACTATTGCAGAACGCCTCGATAGTCGCAGCCGGTGCATCGAGCATATCATCCGCATCAATGACACAGATCTCATCAGTGGTCTTCTTAAACTTGGACTCATCTTCAACGCTGAGATCAGACCTCGTCGCCACCCTAGGTCCAACAAGTCCCTCCCTCCGAAGATAATCGAAGTGCCGGCGCAACTCGTCGTACCCAGCTTCCAGCGGCGAGTAATTATAGAAGCCCGTCACTTTATCCAGCGGGGGAATCGTGCAACGGAAATACGAGGGGACACTGAAGTGCGGGTCGCGGATTAGGAAAGCCCAGTGGAAACGCTCTTGCAGGGCTCGAGGCATGACGGTTGGGTTGCCTGTCTCTGCAGGCGTGTCGTACGGGTACGGTCGGACGGAGCCGTGGCCGTTGGTGTGGCCATTGCTGTGTCCATTGCTGTGTCCATTGCTGTATCCGTTGGTGTGCCCGTTTGTGGCAGTGCCATTGGTGCCGTTGGTGACGCCGTTGGTGCTGCCGTTGCTCACCGCGCCGTTGGTGTCGGGTGTGACACCGTTGGTCGCGGTGTGGCCGTTGGCGTGGGCGTGTCCGTTGACATCGCCGTTCACGCCGTTGGCCTGGACCTCGCCGTTGGTTCCGTTGGTGCCGACGCCGCGCTTGATGCGGTGCAGGGACGGGGCCACACTGGCGGGGAGGTCATTTGGTGGGAGGAGGTAGTGGTCGATGTCCTTGATGAAGATTCTCTTGCCCTGCATACAGGTAAGTATTTCGTCCCGGCAGATTTTTCTTGACGTGTGACAGGTGCGAGATCCTGTTGCCAGGTTCTCGGCTCTGTGCTACAGATACAATGGCTCTGAGGCCAGTGGATGTGACGAAGGGTCCCCCAGATGGGGCGTTTGAGGGGGATCTCATCCGTGAAGGATCGAGGTCAAATCAAAATGACAAAAGGAAAGAACGAAGAAAGCAGGAAAATTCAGGGAAGAAAGGATCGGACCTCGGATGCTTCTCGTTCAATTCTCTCCAACACGGTGAGATATGTCGACTGGCTGAAGCCGCTGTCCACGCGAGCTTGTTCGTCGTCTTCGAAACGGTCGGAGAGACGCTCCGGGCCATAGTAGAAGGCGTCACCAAACGGCTCATGGATACACTGGATGGTGGAGCGTTGAGTCATGAAGACCTGTAGATGGCAGTCAGCACTGAACAGCGTAGATGTAGGTGGCGTAGATGCAGCCATTTGGTGAATCGCACCAAATGGCTACAAATCATCCAGTCTGAGAATCATAAATGAAAGACGAAAATTTCAAACATACTCGCTCAAAAGCCGTAGAGCAAGCACGAGGGTGCGTTGCCACGAAGATCGGTTTAGTAGACATGATGATGGGGTATCCAAAAAGTTGAATGGATAAATATTATGAATATAGTGATTCTTGATGGGTTCTCAGCAATTTCGAATAAATGCAGAGAGCAGAGAAGAAGCCTGGGTGAAAATCAGGGCGAAAGGCAAAGTGGAATAAACTCGTGGAGCAGACCGAGCAGCAAATGGCAAGTCCGATGACAGGCAAAAGTCAGCTCTGTGCTCTGTTGGCCACTGTTGGCCTGTACCGAGTACTCGGGAGTAAAAAAGATAATCCTCGATCGGCACAAAATAAAGTCAGGCCGAGACAGCCGAGTGCCTGAGTGTAGCGTGCAGTGCAGCAGCAAATACAAGGTCGTGGTGATGATTACAATCTGGGGGGCGATGGCGTGAGAGGATCAGGGTTGAGTTTTATAGCCAGGGCTCCAGTAGGTACTAAACTAGGTCCAACCTCTTAGGAATTTCCACTCCTAATTTCCACTCCTAATGGAAATAAATGGGTTCAGACACTTGTGGTCAACTCAAACTCAGTCTGGATAAGCTCGGGCTATCCTACCGGGTTTTCCCAACGACCTCGGGTGGACACAGCCTTGTTGCCACAGATCGTTCCATCTCGCCCGTGGAAACTGGAACTGGAACTGTGTTTGTTCTACACCTATCAGATCTCTACGGATGCTTTACACTACGTACCAGGATAGCAGGCACTGGGAATACCAGCCTACCTTAACACTTCAAGATGAGGGGAAAAATTGAGATCTACATGGTCTAGCACCTTGTCCTGTCACGATGGTGTACAGTAGTGTGTGGCAGGTTGTAGAATAATGCCGCACTTTGCAGTGAGCCAGTGACCATATATACGGAGTATGTATACTGCACAACAAGAATTATCATGGTCATGGTCGCAGGAGTTTGGTCCAGAACAAAGTCACAGGCAAATCAACGACCAGACAATTCTCGCCCCTCTCTCCGCCGGCCCCGCCACAGGAACCTTCCGTTGCTATTTCCTGCGCCATATCCGCGTCTCACCTTGCTCATTGCTCGCAGTGGCCCCAGCAAAAAGAGAGGGGAGTGGGAAAAAAAACCTTTGACTGGCTGCTGCGCTGCCTGGTCGTATCCAATCGCAGCCCCACTAAAGTGGGTGGTGGGCGCTCGATTCAAGCGATCCTCCGTCCTGGATGCGCCGAGGGATGGAGCCCTCCTCCCGCGACGGTCTCCACGATGTCTGGGCTTTTGTGCCCATAGGGTGGATTTTTGGGGAATTTTTGGCCATCCGGTAAAATCCCGAGTGTGAGCTGAGGGTGGAGTATGTAGGACCGAGGACGGAAACTACTGCTGCGGGCATTGCAAGTCCGAGTCCTTTTATTTTCTCTCTGTCTGTGGCCTAAGGTTCGCTTTGCTTTGCAGGCAGCTCGGCTGAAGATTCCAAGCCCTCGAGCAGTACAACATACTCCGTCAAAACGAGGTCTGATCCCGTTTACTCGTATTTTTGCATGTTGGACGGTCGTATTGACGTCATGTCCAATGTTTTTTTTCGCCGCTTATCGTGGATATCGCGATATATCTTTAGGGTCCCATCAAGATGGCAGGGGATCTCGTACTTCGTACCGTACGACCAGGATAAATAGAATAAGTTCAGCCACCAGCGCAGAGGCTGCAGATTGTTGTTGATTTCGGTTTCTCGGTAGTTACCATCGGGTTGGCTAGGGTTACAGAGTATTCCTCCATGGAAGGCTGGGCTTGAGAGTCTATTGACTCGATCGTAGAAAGAGGGGTTAATTGTTCCGTTCCTAGGCTGGCGTCAGCGGCACTGCGTCATGATCAAATCAAGACTTACCACTTCATTTTCTGGATCTGACCTCGTCAAGTGGACTCGACACCCTCCACACGAGGGATACACTTTTGGCTGTCATCCCACCAATGGAAGGTAATGGATTCACTGGACTGGATTGAAGGGGAATCTTCTTCCATGAAAGCAATTGTCTTCTTTGGGTTGATCATGTGACATGAGGGGACTGGGATTGTGTGGCTGTGTCAGAAACGTGACTGACCAAGTGTGGCTAGTGATAAGGCTGTTTGCAGCGTATCACGTGACTGGCAGATCACTCGCGAAATAAGGTGATGCTTCGAGAAGGCGGTGGAAGCACCTCGTGAGCGCGGGTGTCGTCATGGACTGGCTGGCTGTTTCGGATTGGCAGCCCAAGAGTATATTATCTTCAACTTGGTGGGCTGATCACTTTCACCTTTCACCACTTGACTTGACTTGCACATACATAAAGCATACACTGCAATTTACAGTTACTCACTACTCTGCAACGCACTACACTACGAACTGATCTTCCACTACTACTCCGTTCAACATGAACGGCGCTCAATTCACAGATCGGGCAAACAAGGCCTTGCTGGACGCCAGCGCTTTGGCCGAGCAATATGCCCATTCGCAAATCCTACCCCTCCATCTGGCGGTCACTCTTCTCAACCCGACTCCAGATGAATCCCAAGATCAACAGCCCGTGGGCCACTCCTCCCACGAATCCGCCTCTACCCCGCTATTCCGCCAGGTCATCGAACGCGCTCATGGTGACCCTCAGCTGCTCGATCGGTCACTAATGAAGCTGTTGGTTCGTCTACCCAGCCAAGACCCACCCCCCGAGACTGTCGCCGTCTCTCCACAGCTCGCAAAGGTTCTCCGATCGGCTGCCGACCTGTCCAAGACCCAAAAGGACAGCTTCGTCGCGGTTGACCACTTGATTCAAACCGTTGTACAGGATTCCCAGGTCGAGCGTGCCTTGCGCGACTCCAATGTCCCCAATCTGAAATTGATCGACAGTGCTGTGCAGCAAATCCGTGGATCCCGGCGCGTCGACTCCAAGACCGCCGATTCCGAGAGCGAAAATGAGAACCTCAAAAAGTTCACCATTGACATGACTTCTCTCGCTCGTGAGGGTAAGATCGACCCCGTCATTGGTCGTGAGGAGGAGATCCGCCGTGTCATTCGAATCCTCAGTCGCCGAACAAAGAACAACCCTGTCCTCATTGGTGAACCCGGTGTCGGTAAGACCACCATTGTAGAGGGTCTGGCCCGCCGAATCGTCAATGCCGATATCCCCGCCAACCTGGCCCAATGCAGACTCCTGTCTCTCGATGTCGGCTCCCTCGTTGCCGGCAGCAAATACCGCGGCGAGTTTGAAGAGCGCATGAAGGGCGTCCTCAAAGAAATCGAGGACTCCAAGGACACCATCGTTCTCTTTGTCGATGAGATC